CGATACGGCGCAAGCAGCGTTAACGGGGTGTTCTCCTTGGGCGACAGTTGAATGTTACTAGTAAAAATGTGATCATGAAAAGCCCGAAAAAGAAGAGACTGGGCATAACTTGTAAAATCGGACGCGAGACCGCCAGACTAAATAAACCAGACGTAAAACACGTGATGAAGTTGAATTAAAGGTGAATGGACCGTCGCAATACGGAAATTATCACCACCGAACATGCAAGATCGTGCCACTGGTCTGACACTATAGTAGTTGGTAGAGATCATCTTCCCTCAATCGTAGGCTTGTCCGAGGATATGATAACGCCAAAGAAAAGGGTTACAACCGTGAATGAAGATATTTTCACAGTAAAATAAGAAACAGTTTCTTGTAGTAGACAGAATGCAGCTAAAGATAGCTTCATCTTTTTAGCTTTCCCTTTTCCGGGACTGACACCCAGTAGAAGAGATTGGGTAAGTGATTAAAATCACTGAGCCGCAGCAGTTGTAGTTGCTTGACGGATTGGCATCACTTGAGGAGCCATCGCTGCCTTGGGGGGCGATATCATTTGGGAAACGGCCGAGGACTGAGCTCTCTGTCGATGGAAACGTCTCGCCTGGCGATCGCGGCATTGCATAGCATAAGCACGGTCTGTGGCCCGTTTATTCTCCAAGTATTCTTCATAACTTAGCTGTTGCTGAGTGAAGATTGGATCACCGGGGCGTTGGGGTCCTCTTGGCTTTCTCACAGGTCTAGGGCCATATACTATCTGGGCCTGAGCGTGAAGGGGTAGAGGACTGGGATTTCCGGGACCCGAGAAGCCTTGGCATCCTATAGCTGGCGGTGCGCTGGGGCCTGGGCCGTATGGCATTGGAGGCGGTCCCATTTGGAACGGAGGCGCTTGTGTGTCATGTACATGCGAGGAGGGTATGAATGCACCATTACCGTTGTGATGGGATTGAGCATTTGGTATCGTCTGAACTCCTGGCCACGGACCAGGCCCGGATCCAAAGCTTTGAATGCCTTGAGTATCTCGGGATAGCCCTTGGAGGACAGGACTCATGCCAACTTGACTGGCCATGTTCTGAATATGACTGAGTTGAGCCATAGGACTTGTCTCCATCATTGCCGGGCGCTGCAGAGACCCTGCCTCAATCCGTGTCAATTGTGCTTTCAAATCTTCTATGAATGTAAAAATCTTTTCTATGTCCTCGACAGTCGCAGAACGAGTTCCGCTTGAACCGCTATCCGTTGAGGATGTGACTTTACAGCCATTCTGTTCGAAAGGTACATTGTGGTTACGGTCCGGAAGGTAGTTGTACAGGTCTGGCTGGCAATTAATGCCGGGGCTAGGCGAAATTTGGAACTCGGAAGCTTTTGGGTTCAATGTAGTACCCTGGCTCTGCGATTTCTTTGTACTAACGCCGCTGATTCCAGAGTCGTGTGAGACTGATTTACTCAGAGGCACATTCTCTTCTAGCCTCTTGGGGGAGTTAGAGGGCTTAATATCACTGACTGACTGCGCGTTGATACGGTTGGCGGATGACTTTTGGAGTTTGCTAATAAGAGCATCGAAACGTGCTTGGTTCTTTGCAATCTCGGCCTCGGAGGAGCAAGTAGACTCGTACTCTTCTCTAAGCTTCTCGACCGGAAGGCCAGCCGTACGTGGGACTTGAAGTGTAGCCCAATTCTTCTCGAACTCTTGATCGATGCCATCCCATCCAGCATGGGCGAATCTCTTGGAATGCTTGATGGCCTTCACTGCGGCTATTGGGAAGATAGGTTCTTCCATCTTCTTGTTGGATGGGGAAACGAGAGGAATTGCTCTCACCGTCATGTCATTTTGACAATGCTTATCACCATAGCCATCATCACTACTTTTGAATTTAAAGTCTTCATCTGGGCCATAGTCACATATGATGCCAAATTGTCGAAAACCTTCGCTAGTGATGGGCGTTAGGGACTCGAGTCGAATCGTGGACACGTTGGCGGTAGGTGAAATAACAGGAGGAGTTGTATCGTTGCTAGAATATTGGACCTCCCCAGAGCTATCAGGCCTCGTGTCGTTGTCTGCCGTCTCAAAATCTTTCTTGGTTATGGGAGCAGAATGGATGAAATCTGGGTCAATAGGGGTATCTCGGTACCGGCGAACAGTCATCTCATTAGCAAGAGCCGTGTTAATAGTGAGCTTCTTGGTATTCCTGCCCCCGGCCTTTTGGAACTCGGTCGTCTCCACGGATGCGGTAACTGGGACCGCGAGACGAGCACCGCTTCCGTTACGGCGATTGTTTCGCCAATCAGAGTTCATCATTGCTTCGCTCGCTTTCGGTATTTCGTTGGTTGTGTCAAACTGGACTTTCCGGGGTGGAGCGGAGGCTACCTGAGTAAAGCCCATTCCGGTCGGGATTGTCGACACAGAATCCTCAATAGGAAGATCGGTTTTGACACTTAGCTTAAGGGTACTGGCCCGATCCTTGGCCTTACTCTTGGCCTTAAGAATTTGTGCAGCACGCATGTTTACTAAACTGAAAGACAAAATTTCATAGTTAGCAAACGGTGGCATATTACCTCCCCTAATAGGAGATTAGGCGGGATCTAGCAGACTTACCTCAAACCACGTCGTTGTTATAATCAAGTAATGGTAGCAGGAGTATGTAGAGCCGAACGGTGTTTGCTTCTGTTACCAAGTTATTAGTATGTCCAACCCCCCGAGTTATGAAGTTGATGGTAGAATCGAGTAAAAAGTCCTGGTAGTGGGACAAATAGAGGCCGAAGTAAAAAAAAAAAAAAATGATGATGCTACGAACTGGTCGCGTGCTCATACTATATTGTTTTGTCCCAGCTGGTGGCAAAGTGACTTGGGTATTCTGCGAGATTGGGCAGTAGACTGAGGGGAGTGTGCCTAAGGTTAATTTAGAGAATTGAACAGTGAATGCAAGTTGTAAAAAGGAATGGTAAGTATTGTTAGGTGGAAGCAATGGGCAGGCTTTTGTTGAGTTGAGGATGTATAGTTAAGTTGGAATATTGTCAGATGTTTGGGATGATCAAGGGGAAGGATTAGGTTAGGGCAAAGTATAGGTAACTGGCTGAGGAAGAAAAGTGAGTGTGAAAATTCGAGAGAGGGTTGAAGGCTCGTTGGAGGGGTGGAAGGTTGTTAGATCTGGAAAACGGACGCGAAGAATCGAGCGTAAATGTGCAGAGCTTGTAGGCGGTAACGTACCAGTAGAGAAGTTCGTGGCCGGTAAAGAGTACTCCGCGTTGTCAAGAGGATGGCTTGAAAGTTGATATCAAAGCCTAGCCGTTGAATATTTTGCTCACTTGATCGATGAATACTCGAGGAAGGGAAGGGTAAAAGTCGCGATTTATAGTAGCTGAAAGGCTCGGGAGTGGTACCGCTGGGTAGCGACCGAAGTTTGCTGGTTTTCCAGATACGGGGCAAAATTTGAATTTGAAACCTCGTGAGTCAAGGACTAGAGGTAGGAAAGATAAGAAAGTAGGCTGAAGAAAAATCTCGAGCACTCCTCGACTAAGGTAGATAGGCCTCTCCCTCAAAAACCAGCTACCATGTGATTGATGGTCTGGGCTAAACAACCGATAAAGTCCAAAAGAGGAAAACAACTCCAAAAAAGGCCGTTACTTGTCACCAAAGAACGCTGTGCGCCAGAGACCTTGACGGCTGTAAACAGATTGGAAGACGACAAATGTCATGAACTGGAGTTGTGGTCTACAAATCCACCCACTAACGAGCTGCGGAAGTGGAACCTCACTGTAATGACTCTGGCAGGAGGTCACCACCTTGAAGTTTCTCGGTACCTTCCTTCTCATGACACATACAGTTCCTACCTTAGATACCTAGGTACGTTATACCTATGATAAGCAGTTGCTGAGGTAGTTGCCATGGTCCAAGCTGCAAATTCGGATACATGTATTTGTAGCCACCATCAGGGTATTGCTCCTTCTTATTTATCTTTGGGTACGTACATGTAGCCAGAGGCAATCAACACAACAGGTCGCGTGCAGCACGTTCCTAGGTACATAAACAGCAGCTGCTACCTGCTAAGTGAGTTGTCTAATTGTTTCCTTCACCTGCATGTCTATGGTGTCTATGAACGTAATATCGCTCTTTTACCCTGCTGAACAATACATAACTGGAACTCACATTGTAAGTAGAAGGATGAATACCATACCATGCAGTGATATATATATATATATATATATATATTTTAATATGCGTTATCTAAACGGATACAAGCCCGGAATCGTGACATCTTAAGCCGTAAACCTTAGGTATATAAGTTGTCCTAGTTTGCTCGAACCCCTTAAAAAACGCAATACTACGAAAATAACTTCTTTCTCGGTTAGCGGTCAGGTCAATAATCATCTTTTATACCAAGGAACCAGAAGACATCTGCTAGTTTACGGTTGATATCTGCTCTAGAATAGAAACCAAGTAGACCAATGGCCAGTCACGATATTAACTCAACGATCTACTTTTAAATTATCCATGGCAATGTTGTGGACTTTCTAACCAGACTGATGTGGTGACTTTAGATTTGGTTTAATAGATAGAATTAATACTCACGTGCTTAACCACTTTGATGTTTAATAGACGTTGACTTAATTCTATTCGTATTCTTAATACCAATGAAAAGGTTAGTCCGTCAATCATATAAAAAACAAAGCTTTATATTTATAACTATTATTCAATCTGCAAATGTCATATTCGTCTATTAATGATAACTTTACCTTGTAGCCTCACGATTTGACTTTATCTTCCAATCCGACTTTATCACCTAACTCAGCCTCTGCTATTGGTGGTGGCTATGTTATTGACTGCCCGATATGCACCCAACGTTACCCACAGCCTCTACCCAACGGCTTAAAACCAACCTCGCTACCAGCTCATACCTGAAAGAAACAAAGTAAAACTGAAATATATCGTTGCCCTTTCAAGATTCATATAAGATTAGGTATATATTTATTGGATTCACCAAGTTAAGGCTTCGTTTAAAATCATGCGTCTTCTCAGTTCCTCGAGCGGGGAAATGAAATTCTTCCCTTCGCGTGCCGGTATCCCTCCTTATGCTATACTCTCCCATACCTGGGAAGAGGAAGAAGTGTCGTTTCAGGATTGGCAAGGAGAGCGTGAGAAAGTTAAAAAGGTGAAGGGCTTCCGGAAAATAGAATATTGCTGTCAACAGGCAGTCAAAGACGGGTTTGATTGGGTCTGGGTCGATACGTGAGTCTAGTCTAAAAAACCATTGAGAATACTACCTATGCTTAAGAGTAGATGCTGACCGAGTTGCAGATGCTGCATAGATAAAACTAGCAGCGCCGAGCTCTCCGAGTCTATCAACTCCATGTTCAGATGGTATAAAGAAGCATCTGTCTGCTATGCCTATCTGGCAGACGTGAAGCGCAGCCCCCTATCGACGATCGAGAGTCAAATCGCTGAGAGTCATTGGTTTGAGCGCGGATGGACGTTACAGGAGCTAATTGCATCCAAAAATGTGATCTTCTACTCTGAGGACTGGTGCCAAATCGGGACAAAGTTACAGCTCTCGACTCTCATATCCAGTATTACTGGTATCGAGGAGACGTATCTGGACAGCGCGAACATCCAAAACGCTAGTATAGCACAGCGTATGTCCTGGGCGGCAAACAGGAAAACGACGCGTGAAGAGGACATAGCATACTGTCTTCTTGGTATATTCGATGTGAACATGCCCCTTCTATACGGCGAAGGTGAACGTGCATTCCTAAGATTGCAGGAAGCGTTGGTAAAGGCTTATCCGGAGGACCACACGCTATTCGCTTGGGGAACCATTGTTGAGCGGTTTTCTGGGTCCGTACTGACAGACGCCCAAATACTGGGCTATGAGCCTATTGAGTACAATCCCGAAGGCGATGGATCGCTCCTTGGGCTTCTAGCTAAAAGCCCAGCTGACTTCAAGAGTTCGGGAAAATTTATATGTCATTGGGATTACCAAATATATTTCCGTGCCTGGCAATCGTATGTGGTTCAAGTCCGCTTCATCACTTTTTTGTCCTATCCCGCTTGCGAAGTCTTTTTGATGATATCAAGTTCCCCTCGGCTTATTAAAAGAGGCAACCGCTAACTCGAGTTATGATATAGGATACGAATGGTGCCAACCGTTGTTGGTTCCTCAATTCATGTGGAGCTACCCATGTTTAAACGTCTCAAGTATACTGAGCCGCAAGCAAGCCATGATTATTGCTCCTTTAGTGATGGGCTACCCGTGGGGCGGCTGCGGGAGACGACATTCGCGATACTAACATGCGGGTATTACGAGGAAAAAGGATTCATGGTAGTTGCAATTCCTCTCATTGTCTGTTCGGGCAGCTATGGGCGCACGCAACAGATTGTTATCAACGAATCTACTACGCTCAAAAGATATCCTAACCATGTACTGCACAACGCTGGCTCCAAAATAATCGTCGAACGTCAGCCGTGTTATCAACCGCATACTAGAGATATAGTCGTGAGGAGATTCGTATCTTCCATGACCTTGAAGACCTTATATATCCCCGAGACCATCGAGAAGCAGCAATACAGTTCTATCTTAAAGGAAGTACGTCCTACACGGGGCGCCATCATGGCTTTTCTATTTCAGTATGATTTCGCCACGGGTTTGGTGATATGTATAAGTCGTGTGGGAGAGCGCCATAATGGTACGGATAAGCTACATTTTGTCGTGCGGCACATAGATGCCACTGCTGCTATAGAAGATTCTATTCGTAAAGGAGAACGACATCAAGGATATGCAGATCAAGAAAATCCAGAAAGAATGAAGCTGGTATTTACAGAATCGCAGTACAGCCACACATATGACGCTTTAAATTATGTATGCAATAATTGGGATAGAATAGAGGGCGGGCAAACAATGGGCTTTCCCCAACAGTTTCAAGTTGCAGGAAGCAGATATGGACCAAGCGTGCGTATCGCCACGGAGCGGATATATATTGGGGGTGATCCCGAGCAGCCCATCGATATAGTTGACATTATAATCCAGCCTGAGCTGAACCAACCACGTCTCGTTACGGACTGGGAGGGAAAATTGGAATATGAGAATAAGCGGGAGGAGGATGGATACACTTGGCGGGATGAGACCGGATGGCGTAAGACGCGAAGAGACGAGACGAGCTCGCAAGAACGACATAATCTCAGATACGCCCGGACAAGAGGAGGTGGAAGGAGGCGAACGTAAACGTAAACGGAAAAGATCTCGAGACTGGTTCGGAGAGGACTAGCTCGGATAACATGAGCTTGGGTGAGATGACTGATGAACAATGTCCCCTTCTCTGCTCCCCCATATAGGCTTAGGCGAAATGGGCTTTCCTACCTACATAAGTTCCATAGTCCCTTTTGCTACCTCGGCTAAACAGCTATTGATATATACGTGTAAGAATGTACTCCTTGCTTCGACTATTTAACTATGTAGAAATGTGTTAGCATATAAGCTATCTTAGGTACCGATATACACGAATGGCAATCGTATAGTAATAGGGTACATAGGTAGAGATTATGTATAACTACATTGTTACTGAGTGGCGGGTACCCGCCACTCAATACCGTATACATCCTTCTAAGAGACCAAGGATGCATTCTTAACATTCTCAAGGTACCTAGATAGGTTACGGAATGGCAAACGAATCGAACCACTATTATTATACGAGGAATACAACGCAAGTACTTAATAAAATAGGTGCCTCGCCCACAAGATCACGAAACAGAACGAAACAAAACAGTATTAATTGTATATACGTGAATGCTTATTGCTTTTTCCCTACCTAGCCCCTAAACTAAGTTAATAAGGGTACCATACAATACGGTATAGCACGGTTAAACAAAGCAGAGCCCATGCGAAAACATGCTCTTGATAGAGCAATAAAGATCATTCTGATAGAGCGAGGGACATCTTAACCCTGCATCTTCTTTCTCTTGCCGACCTGGGCCGAGAAACCGGTCTTGATAGCGGTGACGGACCGACGGGATCCACACGAGTTGCACGTGATGAAGTAGAGACGGTTCTCTCCCTTGTTGAGTTCTGTGTCGGGAGATCGACACGTCTTGCAGGTAACATACTCGACTATAATCTAGTTAGAAATGCCGTAGACAAAAATACATGCGAAAAAAAGAATAATTAGAGGAGGCTTACTGATGTATTTTCGCAGGACGTTTTCAATTTGTTTCTGTTGGAATCGACCCTTGATGACCAATCGTCTGCTACCGTCGACGGAACCGTTTGTACCCAATTCGGCAAAGAGGTATGCAGTGACGTGTTCTTCGCTTCGCTTCATTCTCTTGGTAATTTCCTGGATGTTGGCGAAGATAGTCTTCTTGTTACCTTCACGTAGGCACTGAGGAGGCGGGATCTTGTAACTTCGCGTGCCGCTAGAGGCGTGATCCGGGTGCTTCTGAGCCAACAGGCTGAAGAAGCGGCTGAGGAGCAAATCGTAACTAATCGGCTTAGTCTCATCGTGACTCCAGATACCGGTGCCTTTCTCCATATCTCCGCTTTGCTCCTCGCCTTTCGTGTCGGCAGCACCCTCCGCACCGCCCTCTTTATCGAGGTCGAGCGCCGCGAGCTTGGCAGCGAATTCGTCGCCTTCATCGGCCTTGGCTGTCTTCTTCTTTTTCTTCTTCTTCAAAGTTAAGTCTAGGCCGCCTGCATCGGCAGCTCCGTCGGCAGCACCACTTGCCTCTTCTCCCTCGGCATCCTCGGCCTTCTTGGGCTTCTTCTTTTTCTTCTTGAGAAGATCCAGACCGCCTTCTTCGGTAGGAGCAGCAGCGTCTTCGACGGCAGCTTCTCGCGCATCAGTAAAAGCCTCAAGAGCGGCTGAGAGCGGCGGCGTACGAGGTGTATGGGATAGGGCAGTGTCCTTTGTATCTTCGGAAGCCATGGTGACTATCTTGCCGTCGGGTTCAACTACGAGAGCTTCGGAATTAAAAACGACGGATTTTCGTTGTTTACGGTCGGGGATCGAGGGACGTTGTTCGTGCTGGTTGCAGTTATGTTAATAAAGGATGTTTTAACTGGTCTTGATGAGGTGAAGAAATGAAGGAAATAAGAGTCCGCCGGTCGGAGGATATTTAAGGTTGGTTGATGCCGAAATGAAATCCAATGGTCCAGAAGTTGAACGTTGGATGTGGGAAGGTATGACTCTTGAGCGGTGGCTTATGTCTCGGATTTTTCAGTGCGACTCCAATGTATAAAGTAGTGGGGCCCACAATTGGTCCCTACCTATGGAATTGGAGGGGCGAAAATATTGGCCTTATCGGATCCCCTCGTTCCTGCTAGTGGGGGGATGGGGGGTACCTAAACCGAGTACATGCAGGAAGTACCAAAGGATAGAGAATAGAGGGGAGACCCAAGAAGGAGTGGTGACAGTGCGGATGCAAACACCGGTCCCGATCGATAAGTGAAGTCGAAAATGATGAGGCAAATTGTATCCAGCACCCGCGATCTGAATGGAAAGGATGTGAGAATAATGAGATAAATCAAGTTAAACTTACAGTATCTGCTGCATCTGTTGCATCCATCCTTGCTGTTTTTCTATATTTGACTTTGCTTTGTTCAGCCTTTTGTTAAAAAGAATCAGGTTGTGTCACAATAATTGTCGACGCCCAAGAAATAATGTTAATGTTGCAGGTGGGACGATATCTGTGGCGATCAAGACAGTGGCGGGAGGTTGACACTGGAATTGATGATAGGAAGCTTCCTCTTGATTTTAGCTCAACTTAGGATGATTTTGGGGAATGACAGAAGTCGAGGTTGTTGAAGTTGGATAGATCGAAAAAGAAAAATTAGGAGCGCAGGAAGATCCTATGACGTTTGAGCCCTACGATGGAGAGAAATGCATATTAAATTTGCTGCCTTCAACTTTCTCTACCACCTCCTTGGGGAGGTACTTTTGAATCTCATCCAACCCCCGTTAGGGAGTGAGCCCCCAGGGCTGATAGGCAGGTAACTTCTCGGCAGGTAGGCAGGCTATGACTCAGCAGTTTAGTTGTCTTACCACCCCACGTTAGAGCATCTCATCATCCCCCCACTAAATTGAAGCAAGCTCGCCAATAGCAAAGTCGACCTTGGTCGGCAAGTGTCCCACGTATTTGATTGGTCTTAAAGAAGGTACGTATTTCGGAGCTAACACCAGATAGAAGCTTAGTAGCTCACGTCCAACTTATCAACTACCACAAACAGAAGCGGCGTCACTTCAATAATACAGCAACTTACACCTTATTCCACACCACAGCATTCGCTATTCGAATTAGATTGTATACCTACCTACCTATGTATTGGGGATAAGCTAGCTGCTCCTAGCTGGTGGAACCCAATGCATCAGATCTGTTAGCAATAGCGCCTAGTCCCGCCGCTTTCTCGCGAGCCTTAACTACCTACGCATAGATATCCTTCCATCTTTCACTTCACCTTCGAATCATGTCGTTCTCCGGTTCCTTCGCCATGCCCGATACACCGGGCTCCGATAATGACGATATCGATTCCCTCCCTTCCACCTCTACCGAAAGTTTCACAACCGATGATGACGATTTCGATGCGCAAAGGGAATGGGAGCAGAGCTTAGAACAATTACAACTGCTCTTAACTATGGTCTTGGTACCATTCGCTGGAAAATATCTCGGCCGCAAGTTTGCCTACTGGAGTATGATTCCAAATCACTTCTAATAAATGGTCCTGGGCTGACACTTGTCTAAATAGGTTGGGCACGATATATGGAATGGATGCATAACGTTGAAATAAAATGGACGAATAAAACAGCATTTAAAGCTTCAGGTGCAGTTGAAGCAGCGGCGACGCTCTGAACGATCATATTTCTAGTCTACCTAGATTTTCGGAGGGACACTTTTTGCGGATAATAGACCGGATGGCACCCTATTTGTGTATATAAGGGCATTGATGTGGATACAGGGGATCGTCGGCATGTGACACCGGGATGCCAAAAGCAATCAAAATTACCATCTCGGCAGCCCCGTCCTCAAACCCGGATACGTCCCGTGCTACCGTTAGGCCTTGATAATTCTTATCCGAGATAGCAAAATAAGAGCCTAACAGCAGCTCCGAGAATCTTTCAGTGTCTTTGGCTTTAAAGATGCCTTCTTCCGGGGCTCTAGCGCGCCACGATAACAAGAAATAAATTCTCGCCGTCCAATTGTCAAGCTCGCCAGATCAGTCTGCCCTGTTTAGAGGAGTCGTAGGTAATCGAAACTAACTTGATATCCAATAGTAACAAAGTAAGCCTTCCTGTTTCAATTCTAGCCCACACCTCACAATCCATAGTGTTCCTCTAAATGGTTGAACCCCCGCTGCCCTCGCAAGAAATACCTTTGGTTTTGCGGCTAGACCTTCTAAGTATTACAGATTCGGCATGTGTGTTGTTCCCAACCTCGACATACCCAATATGAGTTTTTGTTATTAATAGAACTAATATTTGATCCCCTTTATCAACCTTCAGCCGCAAGAGACACTATGCACGATGTCCAGATACCCATATGTTGCGATCAGAATTCGATTCAATGGGTTACAACGTCTATGCATCTGCCACCCAGCTAATTCCTCTCATTGGCACATGATCAAATGCTAGTATATATGCATGGGGTAATTGGCATATCCTCATGGGTGACGTTTAACTCTTGGCGCCATAGCGGATATTTGAGAACGCCAAATCGCGATTAGACACCACGTAAGAAGTCGTGTGTTAACAGTAAAGTCCCACGTGTATAGCCTTGCGAAATTACCAGGAGGGAAGAACTGGATATAACAAACACGAGCCTTGTCTTGTCCTCTGTCGGCGAACTTGAAGTTTGGGTCAAAACAATATCCACGAAGAATGACGACTATCTTATTCACCTACACTCGAATTGTTCAGCCGGCTGGAGACACCGTATAATAAACCGGCTGTACCGGTGAATATGTGTACGAATTCTTTGAAGTTATTGCGGAAACTAAACATCCAAACAACATTTATATAATAGCATCACGATATTACGCACAAGACAACCCGACATTCCTATCATCTATACCGACCTTTTTTTTCAGCATGGCTCAGATTAGTTTCCCTAGCCACGACCTATATAAGGTCCTTGGCGTTGAAAATGACGCTAGTTTAGAAGACATCAAGAAGGCATACCGAGAACTCGCAAGAAAGGTTCACCCAGATAAAGCAGAAGGTGGAAACACGCCGGAAAACAACGCGCGATTCCAGCAGGTTTCGGAGGCGTGGGAGATTCTCCGTGACGAGGTTCTAAGACGTGAGTACGATATTCATCGTGAAAGCGCCGAGGATCTTGGTCATGACAGTGATACAGGTTCCAAGCGTCGTAGCCGAAAGGAACGTAGCGGTAAGGATGAACCAAGCAGATATCCTAGAGACGGTTCTTCTGACGCACATCCAGGTAGCTACGAAGCGAAGCCTAATCATCGCGGGAAGCCTTACTTTGAGGAATGGGGGCATGATAAGCCTAACGGTCCGGATGAGACCCGTGGTTCTAGAGCGCATGGAGCCAGACGACGGTCTAATACCTATACATATTCGTCGCCCCCATACGACATGCCATACCCCTTCGAGTGGCCCGGTACGACGCCGGAGCCACAGCCAGCTCCCGGCGCACATCAATATAGGGCCCACAACCCAAGAGGCCCGCCGCCTCCCTCTGTTAACCTTGCAGACCGCTTAACTGCTATGCGTATCAGAGTTGACATGAGGTCACTCTATAGTGATCTCGACGCCATAGCCAAGGAGATCCAGTACCTCGCGACGGGCTTCCATTCGACGCCGTTCAACACCTCGGACAAAGAGCGCCGCCGTTGGGGAAAGCTCTTTAACGATGCCAATAGCACCCTTAACGTCGTCGATGACATGTACGATGATCTGGACATTTGGGTGGATCATATCGAAACCGGGAGAGGAACGTCGCGGTTGCCAGCTTGTAACTTACCTGCACAATTCGCCTATATCTCCGCCATCGCCACCATAATGAAATACGCCGCTACGGCATGTGTCACTATCCAGGGACTAATTCTGAGCTCTCCTTACGAGCCGCCACAGCAGTACTTCGACGATCTGGAAGAACGAATGAGGATTATGATCACGGCCTGCGGATCACCGCAGAAACAAAAATAGATAGCATCAACAGGCGCCATGGAGGCTGGTAGAAGAACAAAAAAAGGAGATTGCTTGATAATATAGGTATCTATTTGGATAGCCCGGGATCTTGTTTTATATGGCCCGGAGAAGACGGGTACCTAGCCATATAGTATATGTACATAGATGTGTATGCTCCAATTTGGAGTGAACATACGTATCTTCTTTGTCTAATGGAACAATTTCTTGAATCGTGTAAAATATAAGGGAATCTATTATTGGAAACACGTGAAATATATGTAATCCCCCATAAATTTGGGGGCATGGTTTTGGCTTTGTGCACTGTATACGAATAGGAGAGTCATATTACTATACCCAATAAATGAGGCTAGACGTAGGGCAAGAACCGACTAACTATCTCAACTATATACTTCTATATCTATCTCCTAACGAGGCGAGTAGGCTGTATACCTCAGGGGATGGCTCATACACTACACGGTTGGGTTACCTAACCTATTCGAGGGAATAATGAAAGTGTTAGGTATCCAATTTACTGACCCACAGGCGCAGAGCCCGTACCTGATCTAAGGCTATAATATCCTGACTATTCAACGATCGTCATCTAAAACATGTATTCGCTTGATACTGGCCTTGTTTCATCTAGCCAAGTAGTTGAGCTTAAACTTGGCTTGCCGGCAGTGGCTGACCAAGATGACGGCATGAACCCACCTCGATGCAGTAGCTTGAGAACTAAAATCCAACGCTAATGCCAAGCCCGGTCGGTTTGCATTTGGAAGTTCGTTTAATCTGGCATTGCATTCATTTTCCGAGGGAATAAACTGTCTGATGCTGCAACGTCTTTTGATATGTTATGGATTTACGAACTCCAATTTAATACATAGAAGTTACGGTTCTCGCTCAAGCAGCAGAACCATCACGAACTGGCCAATTTCGGATACGAATCCCACGTGGATCACGGACTTGCCAGGTGGTATGACAAGCTTTCAAAGTTGAAAAATGACAAGAACAATAATGCTACAGACACACCATTACCTCGTACAGTATGTACATGTCGCATCGCCATTCTTTTCTTCGGGCGTCCATTTAAGAAAGTGGACCTGTAAGACAGGGTGGGTCCTTTCCCGGAGAAAGGGCAGCATTGGCGGGTATTGGCAGTGACGTCGGCCAATCAAACCGAGGTCAACCCACTACGTATCTTGATGCTTCCTCGTTTTTCGCAATACGTACAACAGAGGCGTCCCGCGGGTATGCGCACGTAGACAAATAAAGTTGATTACTGTTGTAAGTTTTCTCTGTTCTAATATATCAAAATTAAATAATTCGAATACCTCTTCCTTAAGTACGAGCGAAGTATAGATAGGTATTTATAATATATTGAACGGTTCTCAGATTCCTGTTACACAAAGGTAATTTATACAATGCACGCCACAGAATGCATAGCCCTCTCGCAATGTCTCGGTTTAAGACCCGAGGTATACCTACATGTACATAGGCGTACTACTTAGTACCTGTAGCCACCACTGAACTGTACATAGTAAGATCCAAGATGTTGCAGACACACCCTCCTTTCCGGTTATGTAGCCAAGGTGGCTCACACCTGCTTTTGCTACACTCCCCCTTTCCTTGTTCTTGAATTCTGGGCAGCGTACGGATTAAATATCTCCAAGCCAAGGAAACGACTTCTTGCCTCGTTCCACTCTCCTTTTCTCATTCCATGTCCGCAGTTTTTCCCCCTTCGCTCGTTGTTTAACTTCTCGACTCCGTCACCCTTCTTTCTGGCAACTCATTCGTTATTGTTGGCATCTCGTCTTCCAATTCAATCGTTTTGATAGTTCGCGCCCCTGATCTTGGATCTGCAGGTGGTTCTTAAACGACCCTCACTCGCTTGGGATCGCGATATACCACGTGTTTTCACATTTTTTGACGAAACACCCTATTAAAATTAAACTAAAGCAGCAATTGGTCACTTGGAATAGTAACAATACAATAATGCGTTCGTTCGCCTTCGCGTCCGCTCTGGCAGCGGCGAGCATGGTCCACGCAGGGCCTACTCCCACTGAAGAAGAGTTACCTAGGCGTGCTGATTCTCTGCCTACGGTAACCGCGTCTGGTAATGGTATGATACCAACATCCGCTTTTAAGGTAATGACCAGAGACTAATGACGGACAACAGCTTTCTGGGCCGGTGACGAACGATTTTATATTCGAGGTATCGACTACCAGCCTGGTGGTTCTTCCGCTAATCTCGATCCTCTTGCTGATACCGACCTTTGCAAGAGGGATATCGCCAAGTTCAAGGAACTCGGTGTGAACACGGTTCGTGTTTACTCTGTTGACAATTCGGCCGACCACGCCGAGTGCATGGAAGCCTTGAGCGATGCAAAGATTTACCTAGTGCTTGACGTCAACAACCCTCAATATTCCATAAACCGAGACAAGCCAGGGCAGTCGTATAACGATGTTTACCTCCAAAGTGTTTTTGCTACCATCGATGAGTTCGCAAAATATGACAACACGCTCGCTTTCTTTTCAGGCAATGAAGTCATCAACGACAAACCCGATTCCGTAAAATCGGCTCCTTACGTCAAGGCTACTACTCGTGATATGAGACAGTACATCGGCTCTCACGGCTATCGCAAGATTCCTGTTGGTTACTCGGCTGCTGATGTCAGTGATAACCGAATGCAGACCGCGCAGTATTTCAACTGCGGTACCGATGACGAGCGTAGCGACTTTTTCGCCTTTGTAAGTCTTATCTAATGCTAGCCGAGATATCAGAAACTAACAAGCCGTCTAAGAATGACTATTCTTGGTGTGCTCCGTCCTCCTTCCAGCAATCTGGTTGGGATCAGAAGGTGAAGAACTTCACCGGATATGGTCTGCCTATCTTCCTGTCGGAGTGGGGTTGCATAAAAGGCACCCGCGACTTCGGGGAGTTGAGTGCATTGATGAGCGATGAGATGTCTGCTGTTTACTCGGGTGGTCTCGTGTACGAGTATAGCAGAGAAGGCAACGGGTACGGTATCGTTGAGCTCGATGGAAAGTCCGACTCGGTCAAGGAAGAACCCGACTTCGACAGGCTAGCGTCAGCTTTGTCCAAGTATCCAGCTCCGACTGGCGATGGCGGTTTTACTTCCACCACCACTTCTGTTGCGTGTCCAACGGTCGATACAGTTTGGGATCTTGGCGGATGGGATGCGAGTGCGCTTCCCGCAATTCCCCCGGGAGCCGAGAAGGTATATATCGCAAATTTCGTTGGATTGAAAAGGGGCTAACGATATTCTAGTACATGACCGAGAAAGCCGGTAAGGGACCGGGCCTTAAGGGCTCTGGTTCTCAGGATGCTGAAGGTACTTCGACTGGAACTGCTTCGCCTGGTGCTGGATCTGTAACTGCAACCGCATCTGGTGACAATGACAACGCCGCTGGCCGACCAGCTCCCCCAATGGATATGAGCATTTTCGTCCTTACTGGCATTGTTGGTCTCTTCACCCTCGGCGGCACGTTGTTGCTATAGGTTGGCCACTAAGCCGTTTTCGGTAACTCTCGGTACGAGGATCATGGAGCTTGGACATCTGGGGAGTACGCGTTTTATTGGTTCGGTGATTAGGCGCGTTGACCCCTTTTGGGATCGACGGCGAACCGGGATATAATTAGTTTAGAGCGGCACAGTAACTCCATATGACGTGGGGTAAAGTATGTACGCATTATGAACACGAACGACATATAATTTAGACATGGAATGGGTGGATTGATGGATATTAAGTGTATTACTGAACTGACCTTGCTAGAGGACTAAATTGCTGAAATTGGGAGGAAGTGACATTGCTTTGTACTAACTAGATGCATTAAAAAGGGAGGACTAGATTATGACTATTCTACAGCAGGACTTCATCGTATAATGTGTAGATCGTGGCTAGATTTCTCCGATTTTAAGTAGCGGAACGCGTTTCCTCGCTATATATATATATTATAACATGTCTAAATAAGCTTGGCACCTCTACTATACATCTATCTTAATGAATACGCTATGCTGGATGTTGAACAAAAAGGCTTACGCACTGCCACCGAATAACCTGAAGCATATTATGTATACGCCCGTATTCCTTTCCTATATTATCTTCAAGTTGATGATCAATTAGCTCCCTCAGGCCTCCGGCCGTATATGACCTTGACTAGTGAATATGGCGATTTCCGCCTGTCGCGCAGCTCCTTGCGTACGCGGCTCAGATAGAGTATGACTTGCTCGTGAGTCCAGCCCAAACCTTGGGTGAAGAGGTACAGTAGAAAACCTATAGTGAGTAGTTCTTCGTCAGTGTCTATTAGATAGGTAGCTATACGCATATATAAGGATTCCGAATATATAAAATAGGGAGCACATACCCTCCATGCCCTCCTCCATCGTGGCAAGTGCATACATTCCTACCTCTCTTAGATGCGGATCATCCGAATTCGGCGTAAGCGGGCACTTAAACGTATGCGTAACGATATCGACGAACCCCGCGCGCCGGAACGCGCTCTCCATCGTCCCGTCCTCGACGATATTCATCGGCCTCGAAGGCCCCGAGTTCGCACTCCCCGGGACCCTGGAGCCGTTCCCGTACCGCCTAGCGCCCTCCTCAAAAAGCGGCCCCCAAGCCGAGAGCGCCGAGCCGTCGTCTTCGCGGACCGAACCGTCGTCGCTGCGGATTCGCAGAGCGGGCTCCAGCGCTTCGACCCAGCCTGTGCCCGGGCGCACTGCCCGGAATGCTTCGGCGTATGCTGCGTCCCAGTTTAGGACTGCCCCGCAGAGATACCGCATGTGTACGAAGTCGAAGGACGCCGGGGGGAAGGTCCATGGGGTTAGGTTGAAGTCGTCCATTTCGAAACGCAGGTTACCTGGGACCCAGGACGGTTGGGTTGGTGATATGTCGGTGCCAATTACTTCGCAGCGTGGGAAGGCGTCTGCGAAGTCGCTGGGATATAATGGGTTAGAATTTTAAAAAGTTAATTTTAGGGGAGAGGAGTAAAAGCGAGGACTAAGGATAGAGGAGGGAGAACGGTGAGAGAAAGGTGAATTTACATTGCCCAGATTCCTGTACCGGGCCAACCGTCTATTAGTACTGTAGTTGTGAGGGGAGGGGCAAGGAGGCTTACCTGTTCCACATCCGATTTCTAAGGCTTTCCTAGGGTCGTCGCCGATAGGGGCTAGGAATATCTTATCGTGTAGTAGTAGCGTGAGCGTGTGGTGACTATTATTTAGACGTAAGTACTAGGTTTTCTTGTATCTTATGACCTGGACACAATCTACTAACGTAAGGTCCATGGAATTTGCTTGTATTTCATCATTAGGGGACCTGGCCTGGTTAATATAAAGTTATCTTATTGTTGCACATTGGGGAACGGTCATACCAGTAGTCGGTGTCTCCCCAACTTTTGCTGTGATACCTCCGCCCGTGGATCGTGCGGTACTCTAATATGCTGCTTGATAACGAGGCAGTTGAACTCGAGCTGTTCCATACGATTTTGAGTCAAGGTATGCTTTTAATGTTGCTAAGGGCTTTAGTTGTTTACTTACTCGTCCTCGCCCAACGACGAATCTCTATCATCTTCATACGAGTCATCCTGGAGTTCGGGAGTTAATAAATTCATGACCGACATAATGATAATGGGATTCCTGAAGTCTTAGATGGGTGCCGTGCCTGTGATAATGTCCAATATGAGTCGGCGTCCGTAGCCGAAGGGCTGGACGATAACGGGCCGATAGTAGTCGGAACGGATTCGGGCGAGGCGCTTTCGGCGGCCCGTTGATCGACTTCGGCTGCTGCCGACGGACGTGGTGTCATCTCGGTTAGGTATAAACTAATCGGTGCGGACACTCAACTGGAGCGGTGAGCTATATATAACCCTATGAGGTAATTATTCAATATGAACCGTAGAACAGGAAAGTTGAAAATATTATTTTAGGGAATAGACAACGATTATTAAGAGGATAGCATGGGTCATCTCTTCTTATCACTCGGTAACTCGGTTTCCCAAGCCCGCCCATCCGATCCTAAGTCCCCTTTCCCAGGGTATTCCCTTTCGGGAGTCTATGAGCAGGGATAAAGGATAGGCGGATAGAAGACAATCCTGTCGCCCCGGGACGTCTTTGCTATGGCTGCTAGGGTAGGTCCAGACGACAGTTGAAGGGTTTGAGGTTCGTATATGCCTCGAACTAGGAGGAGTTCGTTCATATGCATTGTACCTACTCGGCGTATGGTTTTGAGACGTGGTCTGCTCTCATCCAATCCGGGATTTGTCCCAGCCCCATGCCGTAGATCATCGGGTTCTTGACCTTTCTCGACGAGAAGGATGCCTCGAGTTATGGCTGGTCTAATCAAGGGACCAAGGCCTTACCCATGTTTCAATACCGTAGGGTATCATCGCCAAGCTAGGATATGTATTTTCGATGGAATTTCCCGAGAGCGATCGATCCTGACACCAGACGTCTACGGAATAACAATACCTGTCAGACAGGGCTAGGTCATAGTGGAGTCCGCAGCGTATGTAATTCGGCATAAGAGGACCCTGGAATATGTGCATTCATAAACGTGGATGCGCTCTGTATAGTCTTCCAGCACACGATATCGGTCACTTTCAAAGTAGCCTTTTGAATCCGACAAAAGCAACACGCTAGAAGTTCTATATGATTGAACGGCAGCCATGGCGCGATAGAATGATGTTGTACCGAGATAAGTAGTTGGGTATATGAATTTCCTCGTGGTGTAGGCTAACCTGGTTACGGATATTGACAATTTAGGACGTAGACCCATACATTCACATGCAATGTAACGGTTCCCCGGCTCTGACCCTGGGCGCAGTTTCAACATTTATTAACTATCAAATTTCCTAGCTCGTTAGAAATGTTATCTTGACGTAGGGTAAAGCTGTTAAGTGTCAAGGGCATAGAGATTTGAGGGAAATTAATAATCATCTGATCATCTAGTTAGGAATTCTTACATAGTATAACTATAGTTAACGGAAGACTATGATTACCTAAACTTACATGAATCAAAATTCTATAATTAGGAGATATAGCTGAACCTAGGAACCACTCAATTTAACTTAACGGGCAAGAATCGTTGGCTACTTAAGTGCTCGTATTATACTAGAAGGTAGCTTTACGATGAACTAGTAATGGGTAAATTACTTAAGGTATCGGAACACTAACAAAATTATGAAACGATATCGACTATCTACCGAATACCTAAAGGAAACATGTTACGAACGAGTGTCTTATACAGCCATCTGTGTTTTGTTTGTTGGTAAAGATAGCGTTATGGTTTGACCACCCTTATATCCTTCCTGTGTTCCTAATAACCCTCATTCTTATATTGGAGCAGGGCTTCTAACACACCAGAAGAGGGGAAGGCCTACAATCTACTCGGAGAAATTTATGGCATGTACGAGGATACAATAAATAGTATCTCTAAGATAAAGCCGAATAAGGTACAATTTGCTTACGATATATTGGCGTGGTATACTTTTAGCTACTGTCTGTTGGAAATCGCAGAGTTTCGAACATGTCTACATAACCTGAGCACCGCAAAGATGATTTCAAATGTATTTATAGGGAGGATGGCCGTTAGAGAGATATGTACCTAGTGGCCTGGTCGTTATTATTGGCAACCAGTTTCTTGAAGTATTTCTGTTTGTGAACTATATAGCATTCTGCCCAGATCATCACTTCCGGCAAATGGACTTCCAAAAAGATTTACTGGCCGTATACCTACCCGCCCGGTATTAAACTTAGGTAACTATAGTACTGATTCTTCCCATCTCGGCCAGCCTACTAATAGTACATAGGTCTAGTTCGGACACACAGTACATGACGACTCCAAGCAACGATGGTATAGCTGCAGTTTCAACCCTAGGTAGTTTATGGTTCACCTTTTTCGCAAAATCTTTACAGCCACCGCATATAGGTCTGCTGACAAGTATCTTGGCCTCCTTCAAGGAATTGTCCGGAGATGCTTTAAATAAGTCCACAAGCCTCATCTTGTATTGCCACTCTTCCTTTCTGCGCAACTGTTCCGCCGATTCCCCTAGACCGAGCTCCGAGAATAATGACCGCACTCCCGGCTCCTCAGGGATTTGCAGTTCATCCTCCAAGAATAGGTGCTTGTGGACGAAGTACGCGATTAGCTGCTTCTCTGCGTGGCAAGCATTGTATCGCCCCTTGTCGCCCTGGTCACGGGAATGAGGTTCCCGCTTAAGCCCAGCTAAGTCATAGAGGCGGAGTACTGCATCTGTCCAGTCTCGGCCAGCGACATGGATGGTTTCGCTTTGTGCATGCGACCAACCGCTCATGGCGGCAATATCTGGAAGCCCTCCGCCGCGGATCATATGCGCAACCGTCTTCCACTCGTTGGGAAGACTATATCGAGTTGTTAGGGAGAGCATCGTGGGATCGTTGGGCGGGCGTTGATAGACAAAACCGTCTAGCTGGAGGGGACCTGGCTCGTCTGCCGCGTCTTCAAGAAGAAAGACAATGTCTTCGCGATCCTTATCCCTTGCGTACCTACGTATCTTCTTTATAGATGGGCTCGGACCGCCAGTCACACCTACCGCTGCGCATCCTTCGTGCCTCTACGTTCTGCTTGAGCGGCTTTGCAAAATCGGCAGCACACCAAAGTCGCCCGCTATTGTCGAACAAACCGCTATATCACTAAAAGGTTATTTGGTAATAGATTTTATTCTATTATGCTTTATATTTATATCGGACAGATAGTCATATCTGACAGCTATCGATGCATAGCATGGACTTGTTAGCCCTGTACTTTAACAGGACCTCGACGTTTTCCCGCCGACCCCACAGTGCCGCCTCCATGAGAGCAGTTCGACCGTCGCAGTCGGTAGCATTCACATCGGCGCCGTTCAAGAGAAGAAGTTTGACCATTTCAGACGATGACTCGCATGCGGCCATATGCAACGCCGTCTCTCCTGATGTCTCCGCCGTACTGTCTTCCGTGCTTTCATTATTGGACGTATAGTCCTGTCTTTTCCATGATTCGACGCCGCGAAGGAAGATATCGGCCTCTGAGGAGGACTTGAGGTACTCACGAACATGCTCAACATTGCCCAATACCATCTCGCTTACTACTTTCGTTATCCTTCTGATCGATAAATCCTCAAATATAATCACGGTCTCGATTGCTTCTGTCCACTTTCGTTTCTCCTCGATCGATTTCCTAAAGTCAGCTCTCATACGGTCTGCCTCGTCCGCCGGGACGCCACCTTCATCGTCATCGGGAACACGAGCGCCACCCGCTACGAACCGAAGATTGTCCTTGTCAATCTCGAAGGTATCCGCTGGCGACGCTGGGAATTGTATCTCGTAATAAAGGTTGTACCCGAGGTATTGTAATTTTCTGATTAGGTCGATTGAATCACAATGAGGGACGCGTCGATGGCGTTGGGAATAATTCGCGTTGAAGCCGTGGCGATGGATTCCCTTGCACCACGGGCACAGGATGTACATGTCTCGATTATCCCACCACTGTACCTTGGCTTTCCCGGTTTTCTTCGTGGTCGCTACGTTGGCCATTTTGTTTTTTGCAGTCTTCAATAATGAGTTGGTAAAATTGTTTTCAACGTAGTTGCGCGACACCCTCAATGGTGCGATTCTGATATTGTCTCCTCTGGTGCGGGGACGACCTCCTCTAACCGCCGGAGGCGCTGTAGAGGGCGATTCGATTCGGCAGCATTCCGCCAATTATTCACCACGGTAGCATTTATGTCAAGCTTCTCTTGGTGTAAGCTGACCATTGCATTGCTCACCCGATGGTAGACCATAGGACAGGTTGCTAACCAATCCAGTCGTCACTGGAGGATAGAGTAACTTGCATGTTGAGGAGGCGGTACCTAATACTAAGGATGATGACGGAAGTGAGTCCGGGAAAACTCTGCTTTCTTATTCAACACGCGTTTTAGGCATCGTTCCCACCATGTGATACAGTCTAATCAATCAGATCATCAAATATTATATCATCAAAATGGCTTTATCTCACCCCTTTCGGGTAGCCTCAAGCACATATATGTAATAATCAACACATCCAAGAAATATTAACTGACTTATATTAATAACCTCGCTAAATGAGTATAAGACTAACACTACCTACGCCGCCGCAGCAGCCGCCTCAGCAGCCAGAGCCTCCCTGCGGCTCTTACTCTCAGGGTCAAAATAAGGCTTCTCTCCCAAGCTCACCGCGCGGGAACCCGAGCGCTCGCCAAGCCCCTGGTTGAGGTAATCTGGCGTGGCGGCGTGGTAGACGCTGCGGTTGTCCCAGATGGCCAGGTCGTTGGGCTGTTGCCAGCGGAAGCGGACCTGGAGATCGTGGTTCTCGACGATGAGCTGGACGAACCAGTCTAGGAAGCTACGCGACTCGGCCTCGGACAGTCCGTGGATGTGCTGGACGTGGTGGCCGACGGCGAACACGCTCTTCCACCCGGTCACGGGGTTCGTGCGCACCACCGGGTGCACGGCTTCTAGGACCTCGCCTACGTTCTCGGGCGCACCGCGGGGTGCGGAGTAGATCTTGAAGTTGTTACGGTCTGCGGCCTCGTTGAAGGCTGGCTGTGCGTAGTAAGCTGTTAATGTGTCTAGGAAACCACGTAGCGGCTTCGAGATGCGGTCATAGAGCTCGTAACCCGAGGCCCATAGGGTATCTACTCGGCCGGTTAGTTTCAAGTTCCTTTTACCCCTATTCTTTATACTCCAAGGAAGAAAGGATGAATAGGAGGTACATACCACCTCCAGTCTTGGGTAGCTCAGTAAGCCTCAGAAGCGCATAATCGCTAGGAATGGGCTCGAATGTGATATCCGAGTGCCATTGATTCTTCTGCGACTGCTTTTTCTCAGCCCAGATGTCTTTCTTAGAGTAGAGTTTTTTGGCTTGTTGCGACGAGATGGTGCTAATCTCGTTGTCGTTTCCACCGTGCTCGCGACCGGCGTTGATCACGGGGTGGATGTGTAGCTTAGAGGTAGCCGGCTTGCCGGATAGTTCGCCAAGTCTTTGTACCAGCTCCTTTTGTAGGTCGTTGGTGATGTTGTCCTGCTTGCGGAAGAAAACCACACCGCGTTGGGATACTGAGGCATATCAATTAGACCAAATCAATTCGCGCGGTCCGTTTCTTTCTCATACCTGTGATAGCAAGGTCACGGATGAGTTCATCCGAGTTAGGGGCTCGCAGCCATTCGGCCAAGTCTACATCTACGAACTCCTTTCCAATCACGGGTGTAACATCAAACTGCTTGAACTGGTCCAGGGCACCGCTTAGTTTCAGGGGCTCCTTGTGGTTTGTCTCAAGCTTTGGTGGCTCATCCTCTAAGCTCGTCTCGCCGACCGCAAGAGAACTCTCCACCTTTGGGTTCTCTTGCGTTTCCTTCTGGGTGTCAGGAATGACCTTTTGCTTGATATGCTCAGCAATTGGAGCAACGGCTTCGGTAGCTGATGGAGCCATTATTTAGGATGCACGGCGATGAGACGTTGATAAGGATGAATCGTCAAGTTCACATAAGGACAGCGTATTTCAATAAAGATAGAATTTCCGATGCTGGACTTTATATAAAACTGTATATAAAAATCTCCCATTGACGCATAGATATTAGCGATCTGCCGAGTCCGGCCGGTTAGTATATGGCGTAAGCGAAACCATTCTAACGCCATATGCTTGGAAGCCATCCCTTAAGTGGAGGCGGATGTCGGATTGGATCACGTCTTTGATCAGATAAGCCATTTGCATGCAAGATAGTACACATCTCTAGGTAGAGATGTCGTGACTGGCGAGACACATCTCGAGTTCGCGATGCTGGGGGCCATATTGCTTTATGTGGGGGATTGTGAAATATATAACCCGCCTGACGTGCTCGATAGCCGTCCGTTCAACAAATTATCTTTCACTTAGAACGACAACCGACACACTAAATCCCCGCAACTCCATCTTTAAGCAGGATATCGTGGCTGTGTAGATATTGTATCATTTCTGGGGTTTCAGCCAGTCAGCTTAGTGATTTGCCACGTCGCTATACTCAAAGAGACATACCGAAGTATAGGCATTCAATATAATTCCCAGGTTCGTGCGTATGATACCCTCCGAGATAGGATGTTTCTATTATTATGCATTCTCAATAAGACTATAGATCATGTTGATCTCAGATAAGAAGAGTATATTAGTACAAGCAATAATCATTTGCAGTAATATCGTATCATGAGTTACATAGACAATTACATACTCCTCAATCTAAGGAAGTGAATGTTGACCAAGCCCTCTATTCGAATATTAGTTCAACTAAATGTCCTCGCAGACAACGTCACATTGACTAAGCTTTTCGGTATCATATAGATGCCAGCGAAAATGGGCATCCCAGTTAGCGCATCGGCGCGGGTTCTCAGCAATGGCCACTGGCCTTTTAAGGTAGTACACTCGACAGCAACACAGGTACTAATAGTGAAGAGAATATGAGTCTTCTTCCTGAGCCACTTGCACATTTATTTACATGTCGTCTCCTGCGTATTGGTATTTGCTAACGATTGAACCGTATTCATCAAACCTGACTGGCTCATACTTGCTGTGGTTTCCATTCGTAACGAAGCGTGGTAGAGTTTCTACCACGTGAGTGAAGTCGGGGCAAGTAAAGAAAGGAATGGAGTAGCGAGCGGGGATACCCGTCTCTGGTACTTCATCGACATTGGGAACTGATACTCGATGTATAGCAGAGACAAAGTAATCTACAGTAGAACATGTTAGCTACATGAGCGACTAACAGAGGGTTGGGATCCAATATATTACCTACCATTAGTAAAGCGTTGGAGCATGTCACCAATATTCAATATAAAGGTTTCGTCTTCAGGTTCCGCATGAAGGAATTCTTGTGATCGGGGGCGCTTTAGTTCTAATCCCCCGCCACCGTCTTGAAAAAGGATCGTAAATGTTCTATGATAGGTGTTAACATTAGCATATGTCTAGTCGTGCTAAGGTTGTATATTCGAAAAACTTACCCCCAGTCTGTATGGGGTGGTAGACGTGCTATTAGGTCATTCTGTAACTTTTCTTTGCTAATAGAAGGGTAGTGCAATAGGCGCAATTGGCAATGGCGGTCCGAAATCAACCTATCAAGCGCGGTACGTTCTTCGTCGCTCAGGCCTAAGCCAACACCAATGGCCTGAAGCAAGACCTCACTCACACCGGACAGTCTCTTGTAGAGGTCTGTCATACGACGCTTGAAGTCAGGGAGTATATCATCGGGTAGCCATATGTTCTGCTGCACGGGATCGTCCTCACTTCCTATCTCATAACTCTCCTGGTCCTTGGTCAGCATCTGACAGGGAACGAAACGCCGGGTTGGGTAAAGAGGGGTGGGACAAGGATAAGACTAGACCCTATACCTTAAAGTCAGAGATCTTCCGCAATTTTTGGGCAATATTGCCGGCCGCTGCATTGGCCTCTACATCTGTGGGGGAATAGACTTTCTCCCTGCCGATTCCTGAGTAGCCTCGGTGGGGCATGTTTCCAGGGGGATGGGGGGCTTTCATCTTGTCTTCATACGGCAGATCAAAAAGCCTCTTGGTCCAAGCAAGAGCAGTCTCAATTTCATGTTTTTCAATTCCATGACCGGTAACTTTGACAAACCCTAAAGTATGGAGAGCCCTAACAAGAGCCTGCCCGGCTCTGAGAAGTTCCGAATTAGAGAGGGATCCGCTAGTCTCAGCAAGAAAGGGGGAAATGTCAACTGTCTGGATAGGGCTTTCTCCGATATGAGGGGAATGTTACGCCATCTTTTTTGTGTGATCGTTATAGGAAACGCCGGTCAAGCCACACAGGTGTACAAGTAGGCAAAAGACTTGATGATCAAGGATTTGGGCGCTGGGGTCAAAGAGAAATGGTAAATTTGTATAAAGGAAAAGAAATGAACGCAGTCTCGCGTAAGTAGGTAATCCTACATTATTAAATGATAGGAATTACCTCCACGTCACCACGGTACATGCTTTGATTAGCATATGTTATCAGACTTCGGATATAGGGATATCTATATCACCCCTTGAATCATAAGGAGCATGCTTATCTGCGGTGCCTATCCGCTCCGAGTGATAACTAAGACAATGTAGTACAACCCAAAGGGAGATAAGAGAATAGGAGGCGTCAATGTCTCAATAAAAGGCGCTACTACCTCGAATCATATAGGCTTCGAGCAGTAACGCCAGGCGCCCAGAGGGGCTATAATTCTCAAAGCTTGACCGGTTACTAGTATAGGCATCTATAGCATCAGCGTGGCGCTGTTTAATGTGAAACCGTGTTCACCTATTAGTACCCCGCGTAACTGTGTCTCTGATATATGGATGAAATGTGTGATTAACAAAGGAATCTACCCCTCTTAGAGACCTAAATACAAGATTTTCCTTTGGTATATATTATGTTATCAATACAAGACCACAAAGAAGTATTTTGATATCCGGTACTACCGACCTCACCTGGCTATATTCAAATTTTACAACCTTCACTCATAAAATATGTCTGAAGCTGGCCAGGGCATTACATCTGAGGGTCTTTTGGTACGTAATCCTGGGAATAACATAGGAAAGGCTGCAGTTAACCATATACATGGATATACTAAGCAAATAGGTATACGTCTAACTTTTGTCTATAGGCTGTTATCTGGACACTGGCTAGTGTATCGACCGTGTTGCTTGCTGGCCGCTTGCTCATCCGAAGCATTTTACTGAAGGGTTTCCACTTGGATGATATATTCGCAGCCGTATCTTGGCTCTTAATGATCCTTGTTGTGATTATCGCGACAGTTCAGCTCCCACTGAGTTATCAATATGCTTCGATTTTGACGGGCGAGTCTCCAGCACCCCCGGAGTCCGAACTCGCAGACATGGCCATTAGGCTACGCAAATGGGATATACCCTCTGCGACGTTCTTCTGGACATCGCTTTTTTGTGTTAAGCTTTCCTTAATGTTTCTCTATAAAATTGTTTTTTGTTCTCACAACAAGTTCAATCGTGTCTGGTTATGGAGTTTGATTTACATCGTGCTTTGTTATGGGATTTGCCTTGCTTGTGTATATGTCCAGTGCGGTGGCGCAAATAATTTATTCTCTTACGGTTCGTTCAACTGCACATACCTATCTCCTCTATTTGAAACATTTCATACTAATTGAACTACCCACAAGAGAAATGTAGAACGCCCTACGTTTCATCGCTTGTCTCGAGGCTGATCTGGGTCGAATATTTCTTCAATGTTACCTCTGATATTGTTGGTTAGTTCCTAATGCCATGATAGTGTGAGGCTTTGAGCCGAACAAAACGACCTCTTACTGACTATTCTAGTGATTGCGCTTCCGATGCCTGTTATTTGGCGCTTGAATATGAGGAAGAAGCAGAAGTTTGCTCTATCTGCCATTTGTAGCCTGGCAATGATTACAATTGCATTTGATACAGCGCGATGCGTAAAATTACACCTGTTGGACAGTCACCTCACGAAACTCTACAGCTATCTCCACCTGCTGGTATCTGTGCTTATTAGTCAGTTACCATCATACCGCTTCTTAGTTTCTCCTTCAGACAAGGACCGCGAATACCGCCGCCTATTTTGGAGTCGTGTTACTGAGGAGTTACCACTCTAGCTCTTCGGGATACTCTATGCAAAATTTTGACCGCACACTGCGTACGACCGAGTCTCGAGGGGCTATCCATGGTGACACTAGGGCTAGGGAGGTGCTACCTCCAATTTCAATTAATACCAAATAATAATTCCTAATAGCACTGTTTACATAGTGTACAGGAAGTCAGGATAGCAGGAAAGTAGACATAGTACGAGCTGGACGTGGAGCGTGATAGAACGGCTGAGACGTTCCCTACCTAAAAATATTTTCTAATGAGCTTATTTAACTTATTCACCTGTTATGCTTCATATTTTTGCAGTACTATCTTTAGTTATAGTTACATTTATCCCATAGGTATTGAAGATTGATTCAGTATAGTAACAGGGGGCTTGTCCGTCAATATGAATGTGTTGAACCTTTCCAAAGTAGCACACATACCTTATTCTAACTACAGTGCTTCAGTTCCTTCAATCCTATACCAGCATATAGTCAATAATGTGCCACCTCCATGGGTTCACATGCACTCTGTCACGTGACTGTATCGCAATTAACCACAGGAACTCGATCTTAACATCACTCATCATGAAAGAATTCTATCTTTAGCTTTGGAGCTTTTTCTTCTACCCTCATTACTATGAAAATAAGTTAAAATCCTGTATCCGAACGTAGATGTTTAGTCCGAGACCCAGGGATACATATTCATTTTCGACTATTATTATGAGTGATGCTATTTCTAGATTACCTTGCCGGGCCTACAATGTAGATTACCCCACAGAACAAGTGTATGCACCCGACCACCAAAATTATTAGTAAAATGACATGGCCCCATTCTGTTTCGTAACATTCTCAAAACACGGCCAATGTATGCCACAAAGAGGTTATTAATGATCTAATGACCTAATAATATAGTGGTCTAATGATCTAATGATTCAATTGATTCAATTTGTGTATTACTTAATATAAAGACTGAGAAATCGTGGGGATGTCTTTAAGGTCACCTGACCAGGCCTGCCAGGCTGACTACCTATCTCTTGTCACTCTCTAATATCTTACCCAAAACATGGTATTGATATATGATTGTGGTATCATTAGATTCGCCTTATTAAGCTGATTCAATTGATATAAGTGACCGTTGTTAAATATGCTGTTGTGGTGGAGGAATATGAGATTAGTTGGCCTTATTTGTAGATTACATGCCACTATTCGCAGATTAGTATAGTCTTATTTATAGATTAGTACCTCTTATTCGTAGATTACTTTTTTAATTGCATTACCAAACACGGTCGCATTCTTTTAAATTTTGGATCAATCAATTAGTTAAATCATAAATAATTGAAAGATATCAAAAGATTCGTAAATATCTATTGTTGTCATTAGAAAACATCAACGTTTTGTAAAGGTATTAAGGTAGATTTGAAGGGTGTCAATTTACAGTAATTTTCGTGGCCAAGTGCATACACCCGTTTTATGGGGTAATCTACATTGTAGGCCCGGCAAGGTAATCTAGAAATAGCATCACTCATTATTATAATGAGGCGGGTGACCTCTGAGTCTATGACCATAGAACTTTGAAACGCTCTGCTTATATTTATGATGTATACCTCCTGTATAACTTTCAATTGGAAATATATTAAGCATCACTCACCGCTAGTTACCAATTGTTGTAGAAATCTGATCGAGGGGTAAGCTACGAAGTAATACCCAAGAGAATACTTTCGGGAGAACAGTAGGTGATTGCCTACCTAACTATACTAAACGATTAAAAAATGAACACATAAATAGAAAGGAATAGGAATATAATGCAGAGGATACCTTGAGCTAGCTCACAATTCAGATGGTAGGTAGCCACGTAGCAACCCCGCGTTACGTTCGTAATGTCGCCAACGGCATGACAGCTGGCACGTACCTAACATCCTGACATCCCAATATCACCGGCAAGCTTTTCCGTCAGGATGAGAGGTAGGTACCTAGGCCATGTCGCAATGAAGGGAGCTTGGGGGGTGTGTACTTCGTACGACAGGGGTATTGGCAATAAGCCTAGCTGAAATACCACCATAACAAACAATGACGTTGCATGTAAATATGTATTTTAATTGCGGACCATCAGGTGACTGATTTTCCAGTATCATATGACATAAGTGACAAGATTTACGGAAGCTCAACCTTTCCTCCCTTAAGAGTTTTGCAAGGTGAAAAGAAAGAAAAGACGACGTAACTCTTTATTATCATGGTTTATTAAAGAAAAATAAAAGATTCTCGATTATTAATTGGTTATGCATAATCCAAGCTTAAAATTGTTTCAAGGCGGTCCAGTTATTTACGTGACCGGGTTTTAAAAAGGAATTATAATTCCCTATTCCCGTGCTCGTCACGGTTTTGATATAATAAATAGTGCCGTTGAGGTTTAGGATATCTCAGAAGAGAGAAAGAATGAGAAAGCCCTTCGTTCCGTATTTGAGAAACGTTAATCATTGCCCAGTGCAAAAAGGAAGTAAATTAAGACTTCCTTCCCATTTAAACCCCGTAAGTGACCGTAATCACCAGCTAAAGTTTGGGTTAATACTCACGATAAACAGATTTGGTATTATTTTGCAATATATCCTTTGCCAATATTATTTAACACGATAATAACGAAGCTAGTTGTCTGCTTCTGGATTACTCCGTGTTACCGTGCGCTGAGAAGTGACTAGAAGGAGATTCCGGACACGGAGATTGTGCCGAGCCAAGGCTCGACCCGTACAAATAATGGCCGACAAATCGTCCATTCGTATGGGAAGGGGCCTAGTGTCTTCTCTCTTCGGCATGTGGTTCAAGTTACAAGGCTTAAGAGGTGATCTGATTTAAATCCTTCTTGGTTTATCTTGGGAATTTACATGAATTAGGTACCTAGGTTTGTTTGCTTTTACAATAAGCGCGTAAAAGTTGATATCATCCAAAGATCGAAAGCTCACCGCCATAAGCAATCCCCATACTTACTTTGTTATAGAAAGGGTAGTAACACACATGTTAGGTTTGTAATATTTCTCGCCTCCCAAATCAATACGATACTACTGTCAAGCTTCCTTAAGGAAGTTGCTATCACAGAATATGGTGTGGATCGAAAATCGAATATGAAATACCTATAAGGACATGTTAGTTGAGATACATGGACCACGAACACGGAGTAAAATGCCCAAGAGAGACTTATTTCCGTTGTTGCATCAATATATATGCCTGTGTAATTCGGTGTGTCCGAAGGAACGTCGATGTTGTCCAACACTCAGATATAGCAGGCCCTTCTAAGCGAACATACGTTCGCAGGATCTGCCAATTACGTGGGTGGGATAAAGCAGACAGAACCCTGATCAGCGATCAGTGACATCAGTATTTCATATGGAAACAATATCCGGTCAGCTTTTCTTTCCTTGTCGCGACATGGCCGTAGGCACTTTGTCTTCGCTTTACCCTACGTCGCTAGTAGGGGGTTAAGGGGCGAAGGCCATACGGGATATGATTGGTCACCCCCCACTTCGGACAGTGCTCCGAACGAAGAACTCTCATAGGTCGGGTGACCTATGGACTTGAACTCTCACTACTACCGCTTGGGCATACGTTTGATATACGGAACCAACACTAGTGGAGACTTACGTATACCAACTGAAAGTTGTTCAGGGTAGAATCTCAACATCAAGGTACGCGAGACTTATGAGGAAAGTTTAAGGCATGTCAGATTCACCATCCAGGTGATAAATCAACCGGAGACCTGGAACGGTGGTACCTTAAAGGTTACGGCCTTATACCTTTATAATAAATATGGTTGACCATTCTAATAATATAGAACCAGTCTGTCTTCTTTAGCCAATCTCGATGTATCAATACTGAAAATAGTGGGTTTGCTGTTTTATGCCAGTTGAGGGGATAGTTTAGCTGTATGTAGACGCGAACAGTTATGGTTTACGCCATCCCGCATAGTTTAGTTCGGTATAGCCTCCCTCAAGAAAACAAATCACAAATTTCACCCCTGGTTATGAACAGTTAGGCATTATCCATTTGCGACATTTATATCCAATAGAGATATCCAAACAAGATACTAAGGTAGGCAAGAAATGACAATCTATTCTTTACACATGTAGATCAACGTGTTTATTATTTGATCTATCTTTTGTATTCCCTACCTTTCCACCACTCTATATACCGGATTCAACCTCACACACCGGGACACAGCCAGTACTTATTCGTATGGATCCCTCGTCCGAATTGTACGTAGACCCAAAATCGTTAGCCCAACTGAGAATGGACTTGTCAGCCTTCTCGTCTCCTATGCATGACTGCGTCTCTATATTGTCTTTCCACACACCACAACTACCAATGGAAATGGAATTCATAGACGGCTCACAGGGGTTCCAGAAAAGATCCAATACGGATGGTATACGCATCGGGCAAGACAGCCCTGCACATTTAGGCTACACTGTTGACCGGGACCCCAATATAACCAAATACTTGACACTACCCATAGACTCCGACTGTCAGCAAATGGGGTTAGCACGAGAAGATCGCAACGATACAATCCAGAGGCCACATTCTAGAAGCAGCAAACAAAAGCACGAGGACGATATGGTCTTCAAAAAAGATACTATAGAACCAATCGGATCGCATAGCCGCCGTTCATCGCGATCAAGTAATAAATTGACCAGCGATGAGTCTGGAATCGAAAAGCGTCAGCGAAACCGTGTGGCAGCCTCGAAATGTCGAAAGAAACAGAAACTGGCAAATTCGGAGCTGCAGGAGAGGGCGCGGGTTATGAGCGAGCAGCACAACTACCTCATCGCGCACAAAGCTTCCCTCGAGTCGGAGATGCTCAACTTGAAGAACGAACTCCTGCTCCACGGAAGCTGCGGATGCGACACCATCACCGATTACCTGATGCAAGCCGCGAAGAGGTTTGTTAGAGGACGCGAAGAAGGGATTCGGAGCGGGGAGAAGGCAGAGGAACCGCACCAGCACGAGCAAACTACCTTATACTACCGCTCATGAAGGCTAAGCTTGTATGCTACCGCAAGTTTGGCCACGTGTAACGATGACGATTAACGACCTAGTTACGAGATTGATGAAAGGATAGTTTTCGCCTATGGAGATTGCAAAAATGTTTATGGCACGCTAAATATTATTGTATAGATACCAAAATGCCGAATCATCTTCTGTTCTCCGAGAACCCCCCCCCATGTCATACAAAACGAGAATTAGTGATGATAATAGCCATTATCGAGATGATGGATTCCTCCACACACACACACTGTTTATGTGCAGAATTCCGAATGACAAGTTCGTACAAATCCCCTCCCTTTCAGCCCTTCACGACAATACCTCCATTAGGATGTACTACAATGAGTTAGCAATTGTCTCTTCGAAGCGCATATGCGTTAGGTTAGGTAGTTTTAAAGTAGACCTCGTGAGATTCATGGAAAAGAGGACTCTCGATGTTACGTACACGTCTGGCCGCTCATGAACGTGCTCTCGTTCCCCGCGAGAAACACGTAGCTCGTCGCAATCTCATCGAGTTGCTCCATCGGCGTCCAGCTCCCGAGATCTTGCCCCTTTTGATCTTGCTCGCTTGCTCCCGTGGTGACGAGAGAAGGCCAGACGGGACCGATAGCCACGGCGTTGACGCGGATCCCCTTCTTGACTAGTTGGTTAGACAGCGCTCGGGTAAACGCGATGACGACCTCCTTGTTGGCAGCATAGTCTACGCGGCTAGGTGTTCCGATGTAAGCGTCCGCCGATGCGCTGTTGACGATCGCCGCACCGCTAGATAGATATGGCAAAGCAGCATTGGTGAGGTGAAAAAGAGGATCGACGTTGGTAAGGGAAGTCGCCGACCACTGCTCACTATAATGAGGTTAACTAATGCATTGTAGAGTGATTCGGCCAAGAACAGCTTACTAGGTGATATCAGCGATGTCTCCTTTCTCGTTCCTTATGGCCGCATTGTTGACTAAGATGTCGATACCGCCCAAGGCCGCTATCACCTGATTCACTAAGGCGGTACAGTTCGCTGCTTGGGTTAGATCGCTGGCGATGAGATGGATCTCGCCCTCGTTCTTTTCCACCTGCGCCTTGGTGTTCTGTGCATCTTCTTCTTTCTCGCGGGGGTAACTGATAACTACTCGAGCGCCTTCCAACGCGAAGAGAATTGCTATGGCCCGACCGATCCCCGATTCTCCCCCTGTGATGATGGCTATTTTCCCCGCGAGCTTGCCGGCGGGTTGACAGGGGGTTAGTCCAGAGTCTGAGTCCGAGGATGGGGTATGAGTCTTGTTTGGCTCCGGATTCATGTCTTGTTCTAGGCTGGATCTCGCCCGGCTATGGATAGGGAGGTCATATTTATCTTCCTGCGTGCCGCCTTGAGTTCTGCCCTGCGTGGTATCTGTAGGGTGGGCAACTGTGGGAAACGTCCCATCTGTCTTATCCATGGTAACAATTGATGATAGTTCTTTTATTCTCGATATTGTCCAAGTCTAGTTGTTTACAATCGCGTTTACTGACCGGGATTCCATCGTTTACAGGACCAGCCTAGCACTTCATATACACATCGATGCTCTTCCCATATAATACGTCAGCCTCATAGTGGGCGGTTTTCATCCGTCGCAATATCATCACTATTCCCGGTAGTACTGTACATATGCCGTAAAATAATCTTATGAATACATCATGCTGTTGACGGAAGGACGTCTCTGAAAACAGGGCCTTGGACCTCGACAATATGTACGAAAACCCCACGATACAGCGGTTAATTGAATTGCACTAGGTACATATCACTACGTTGTTTGGCGTAATATTGCTTGAGTCCGAATATTGTCCTTACGGTACAATTATTCGTAGTGACATCGTCATATAATGTCATCGGTCGCAATTCCCTGAGATCTCCTTCCCAATTTCTACGGAGCGAGCCCCGGTGTCATCCATGTACCTTCACGTTTGATGACAGAAGTAGGTACCCCTTATTCCCCTTAACTAGCTCCCGACAGACTGACAGACCATACAGCCATAACGAGATTATCTCCACAGAACTGACATACATATGGTCTAAGCCACGGAGTGCCTAGTCGACCGATTCTATTGGATATCAATTATGTAGCCGTGGTCTGACAGTGGCGTTCAACCATTCTTCTAAGAAGTTTGGTTTTCTGGCAATACATATCACGCAGGCTCACGCATCCGGCTTCTATGTACTACTCGTCTCCGCATATATAGCACGAAGAGGTACGAACGACCTATTAGGTATCTCACTGCGAGCCCCATGCGGCTCAGAGCCTTATGGAGACGCGTGGCAATTATTTGACACGGCAACTCCGCATTGTCGCCGTGCAATAAGTGCTCCAATGGATGATTATTGGTCCGCGCAATATAAAAGTTTATAGGGGTCACACTCATTATCCTAATCCAGTGCCATTGACACGAGTATTAAGAAGTGCTATTTGTGAGATAAGTTCTTCTTTCATTCACACGATGAAACGATCTTGATCCGTATGCGACCAGCGCATCCTTCGGCAAATCATATAGGCATATCATCGAGATTCAGAAGGAAGTATCCTCGGGTATCAGCCAATAGATTTTCCCCTTTATCGCCACAGGCCCCCTTTTATACACCCTTTTTATACTAATGTGCTATAGGTATTACTACCTAAAATACCAACTATTGAGAAGACCGTAACTAGATTGAAGCCCCGATATTATTTTTATTTCCATAATAGTCTCCCTAACGTCTTATCAGTGTATACGATTAAATAAAGACACTAAAATAAAAAGGTCGTAAAGAATTCATGCGAGTTTGGGAATTAAGTTGATACTTTTGGCAATGGCCTGATATAGTACCCGAGAGAGAATTATTTAATAATAAGAATATATACTAAGAGATGACATTCATAAGCTGTGGGATTCAGACCTCGATCAAAAATTAAAAAAGATGTACTCATTCACAATTGAGGGCTTTTACATTATACGTATCTCTCTAATATGTATTCAAGTTGCGGTCCCCCAAAGGGGCCACTCAATATACCTTAATTTAAGATAATATTTGAAGCCTCTCAGGCAATACTTCAACCAATGACAAGACTACCTAGAACCTCCTTTGGTGAACGAAGTATAGGGCCAAGTGAGCTATAATAATAGAGACAGCCTTCGAGGTTTTAAACTTGGTCTTTACTAGCCGTTTTGGATACGTCCACCTCCTCGTGGTGGTTGACTTCCTCATGATGGATCTGCTTCTCGACAGCTTCCGTCGCGGCGTGAGCACGCTCGTCGTCTTCGAACACTGTTTTTGCGGTTAGCATATGTTCCCAGTCAAGGAAACTTAGGGTGATCTTACAGAAGGCAAGCTCTTCTAGAGTACGGCCCGAAGTCTCGGGCCAGAGGAAATAAATGAGAATGGCCTCGACTGTAATCCAACAGCAATATACGATTAAGAACTTCCAGCCGATGCCAGTAACTGGGTCCAAACCAACAGGGTTCACGTTAGTACCGAAGAACTGCGTTCGAGTTAGCGGGATTGGTATGAATAAATGCAATTTCTCATGCGTCTTACCTGAGAGGCTTTACCGAAGAATTGGAAGATTGAAATTCCACGAGCTCTCATGGAATACGGGAAAATCTCGATAAGGTACGCTGGAAGCCCATGATTAGCAAATATTTCCCATGTGGAATCTTAGTACTTACTGTATGTCAGAGCATTGAAACCAATGTTGTAAGCTGGTTGGTATGCGTAGATCCAGAACAAGCAGAGTTTACCCGCAGCTTTTGAACCGCCCACGATAGCCTCTGCCGCGGATATGGTCCATGCTACATAGATCACCAAGATTCCAATGATCGACGTCAAGTACATTGTTCGCCGGCGGAATCTCATTACCAGAAGTGCGGTCAATACCGCACAGACTAAACCCCAGACCTGGTTCCCGATGTTGTATTTGGCCTGGAAACTAGGGTCCGTGAAGCCGATTAGGTTAAGGATATCGCCCAAGTAATAGGAGATAACCACGTTTCCGGACAGTTGCGACATAACTCCTACGAGAGAACCTATAATCACACGCCTTCGGTTTCCTGCTGAGCTGAACATGTCCATCCAGGAGCGCTTCGAATGTTCCATCTCAATATCAATAGTAGTTTTAATCTCGGCCATTTCCGCCTTGGCGAACTCCGAATTCTCGTCACCCTCGGCATGGTATGTAACTAGGACTTTGAAGGCTTCCTCATATCGCTCCTTGCTAATCAAGAATCGAGGACTTTCGGGTAGGAACCTAGGAGGGGTTAGCAAGGAAGACCGTGGCCAATAAGCTACGAGAATCTTACAGAATCAAGGCGACTTGTAATAGGGAGGGCGACATTTGAAGGAGAGAGGGAGCTCTATGATATACGCGTTAGAACAGTCGGTAGTTTAATATAATGTTAGGGCATCGATTCACCTCCAGGACCTAACGAGAAAAGCATGTTAGACTTGGCACACGACAATAGAAATTTATAACAATAGACTTACCAGTCCGATGGGATTTGCTGAGTTCCATAGGTTACAGACGAAGCCACGATAGCGCCGATAAAGTAGGCCGCGTTGAATAGGGATGTCAGAATAGCACGCTCTTTAGGATACGCAAGTTCTCCGATCAAACTTGATCCCGCAACAATAGCGTAGGGAAGTCCGAACCCAATGATAAGCCGAGAGACAATATACATCGCGCCTTCGATCGTAGTCAGTTTGAGGGAACTAGGTATAGCAGTCCCATGTTACTTTTCCACATACCGTTGACAGCGAACCCCTGAATCAAGGACCCGATGATCATTACTACGCTACCAAACATCACACACCATCGTCGACCCAGGTTGTCGTTGAGGAGCGGGATGAAAGGAAGACCGACCACGGAACCGAGCGGTAATGCCGAGGCCAAGATGCCCTTGTAACCACCTGTTGGATGTCCGAAATCTACAATCCGTCCGCGATTAGCTCCCGTTCCTGACCATTCTGGCCTTCTTTTGTTGCCCGAAACTTACAGTTACTCCACGCGGGAACTAGCTGGACGGCGTTAATAATTTGCGAATCGAACCCGGAGGTCATTTCGATTCCCATCAGACACGGAAACAACATGAAGTACAAGTAGCGCAAATTCCTCTTCTTGTGCCATGGGACCGTATCCTCCATCGCCATGCGATGGACGATATTGTCCGTCTGAACGCCGCCGCCAACCATCTTGTCGAACTTTTTCTGACGAACCGAAAATAATTGACCGGGATTAATTTTCGCGAAGAGAGACGAAGTCCGATGAGGCAGACAAGTTCCGGTCTCTAGACTCCAGTGCTATCCATATCCATCCTACAGAGTCGGGCCATGGTGATGTGCTCGCTCATATATAATAACCAAGGCTTTTAACTCGGACCGATTGTTCCAGTAGGATTCGGCGGTTAATAAGGCAATACCAGCTGATACCTAGATTGCGCGCAAATCACGAGAGGTCGCGAGTAGCTATAGCCATTTTTCTATTTAGCCGCCAAACCTGATCCCCAGACCCTCCTCGTAAAGTACCAACCGAAGGGCACAGCAAATGGAGACCCCGGAATTTCATGACTTATGGTCAGACAGGCGGGCTCCCATTGGCTTACTAGGTTCCATCGCCACGTTCCATTTCTCCATGATCGAGGTCGTTCGAGAAAAGGCCCGGAACAGTAAGATGGGCCCCCGCAATATCCCACACAACATCCGCAATATCCCTCGCCGTGGGCGCTGTGGGCGTTGTGGGACGGATACAATATCTCGCCCGGATTCGAATGTGTTGATATTAATGATAATTATGCATGATATATGCCGACTTCAGCTCCATAACCCCATGAGCAGGGCTGCCATGCATAACTCTCAGCCTGTCACAGCTCAGCTATCACCTTGGCATCAGGCGAAGGGCCGTTTTGGACCCGGCTCGGCGGATAGTGCAACCGGGACTCTATATCGTTCCATTATAGACTCTGCTTGGGGGTGTTGTACAAATATGGATTTGCCGACTCGATGGACTTGTAGGTACATATCAAGAACTTCCGGCAACCCCTATTTTCTTCACCTAAGCTTTGTAAGAGTTCTGTACTAGGTAGGTACCTAGCTGGAAGCACTTTTGTTGCGTTTAACTACGTAGAAAATATCTTCGAAGGTTAGGACAATTGTCGTTAGTTATCTTGAGTCTTCACATATGTATATACCGTGCCGTACCGACATGCGTCAAAAGACATGTAACCTCGCCTAAGCAAAAGCCGCCTTTCGCGATATTCAACTGGGGTTACGGTCATGTAGTCCTTCGGACCTATTGCCATCGGATACCCCCACACTTAACGTTGTATAAGATAAATAGGTATTCATATAACTAGTCTTAAAGCAACAATGCTCGTAAGACGTCAATAAGTAGGATAGCAAGTGGAGTTGAAAGTATAACGACTTAATTATTGTTAACAACGTGAAGGTCAACTCCGAAAGTCGTTCTTTCTTGGATAGACTGAATACTTACCTGTCATGCTACTCTAAAATGATCTTACTGTGATGGTTTTTATATTAGCTTAGGAAGAGACAGCAGCCTGTTAAGCCATCCTAATTTCTACCCTCCTAAGCTAGCGTTAATACCTAATCGAAACACATTATCCAAGTCTCGTATACCAATGCTGTTTATACATGTTCTACTCGCAGCTAGTCGTATCAGACAGAGGCTGACTCGAACGTATAGATACTTGATTAATAAATATAACAATTAAATACTTCGTTTTAGTATTTTACTTTGCTCAGACTGTCTTGTAATTACTAAAATAAAATTGGTTTATATGGTATACTGGCGAGTTCTTGATCTCTATTCTAGCGATACTCCTCGTAGTTTTTCTTTGGTATAGTTAACCAACACACAAAATGTGTTTATTAGGTACCAGTCCTGATAATAGAGCCTAAGACAGCCCCAATCCAAATGCATCAAAAATATGACATCGTATTGAAAGACCTGTACATATCACGACTATCTCAACCGGAAACTAATTTACTCGTGAACTCATATTCAGCATGCCATTTCATTTGGTATCGTTGAGACAAGTATGCCCGCTGAATTTTCCAGTGGCCCTCCCTAAAAATAATTGCATTCCATATGCGACCCGGAACCGCATGCGTGCTCGCAAGTAAGCGGCGAAGTACACGATAAACCGCCCTAACTCCTAAAATTACAAGTGAGAGGATACTATCGTCCTCGGCGTCCAAAAGCGATTGTGAAATAAGTACCCAGGCATAGAGCCTAGTTCGACGTATTCATCCACAAATGATAAGACCTCTTTTCCTTAGATGCGACTAGGATTAAAGAGTTCGGTATCCAGAGGGGTCAATGACATTATCAGTGCTGGCTCCATTGAATTGTATTCAAGTCGATGCCCTCCTGTACGAGCTCCCATAGGGGACTTAATTCTCGAAGGAAGGTGACTCTTTCCTGAACGGCTTTGAGGACGTAATCGATTTCCTGTTCTGTAGTGAATCGACCAATGCCGAACCTGATGCTGCTGTGTGCGCTCTCATCACTGTTGCCAAGTGCCCTCAAGACGTAACTTGGCTCTAGCGAAGCAGATGTGCAAGCACTGCCTGATGACAGCGCAATATCCTTCAGAGCCATAAGAAGCGACTCGCCCTCGACATATGCGAAGGAGACATTGACACATCCAGGATAGAAGCTTTCGGGGCAACCGTTTTGAGTCGCATGCTCTAAGGCCAAAAGTCCCTTCAGCAGCCGATCGGACAATGCCTTGATACGTTTCGAGTCATACTATACATCAATTAGTCGTGAGACTTCACAAAGTGATCAATCAAGTAGATATGTAAAGGAAAAATCAGACACGTGTGCTTCGTCTCAACATAGCGATTCCGGTCAAGGAGCTCAGAAAGCCATGCATGTATTAAGCGGTTCATCATTTGGAAATAAGAAAAAAAGGATACAAATGGGAAACTTACTTGTAACTCTTCTTGAGCGATGCGGCAGGCCTCACCAAATCCTACTACCAGAGGCGGCGCAAGAGTTCCACTGCGTAGGCCACGTTCCTGGCCACCGCCGCTGATGATAGGCTCTAACCTCACACGCGGTCGTCTCCGGACGTAGCAAGCGCCAATACCCTTAGGGCCGTAGATCTTGTGTGAGGAGATCGACATCAAGTCGATATTCATCGCGTTGACATCTAAGGGAATTTTGCCTACAGCCTGGGCCCCATCAGTATGGAAGAAAACCTTCTTCTCGCGGCATAGTTTGCCAATCTTTTCCAGAGGTTGAATAACACCAATCTCATTGTTCACAGCCATGATGCTAACAAGTGCCGTTGTTGGTCGAATTGCAGCCTCTAGTTCCTTTAAGTCGATCAAGCCATTGCTTTGGACCGGTAGGTATGTGACTTCAAACCCGTCATCCTGAAGATGTCGACAACTGTCAAGAACACACTTGTGCTCTGTTTGGCTTGTGATGATGTGGTTCTTCTTGCCAGACCGGCCAAAAAATCTCGCCACACCCTTGATGCTCATGTTATTGCTTTCGGTTGCGCCACTAGTGAATATGATTTCCTTAGGATCCGCACCGATCAACTTAGCAACGTGCGCTCGCGCTTCCTCAACGGCCTTTTCACTTTCCCAGCCGTATGCGTGTGTTCGAGAGTGGGGATTGCCGTAGACGCCAACGAAGAATGGCAGCATAGCGTCTAGAACTCTAGGATCGACGGGTGTCGTAGCTTGCATATCTAGATAGATAGGCCGTTGACCTTCCTCTAAAACGGTTGCCTCCTTTAGCACTTCGGCCATGGGGCTAACTGTACCGTTTGTGAGATTGTCGGAACCTGGCATGACAAGCTCTCCCTTCTCATTCATGAAGTCCTTCTTGTCTAACCTGATAGCCGTCTCGACATTGACCTGAGCATTATCGCGTTTAGTTTCCGACACATAGCCCCTTCGGACGACCTGCGCGGCAGTTACACCTGCTGCTTTTGATATGGACGGAAGTCCTCGTAGAGGAGTTGATGCGACAGACTGTTTTAGAGCGAGGCGTGAAGCCTGTCTCAGTGCTGAAGATGCCACATTCGCCATGATGGCATCAAACGGAAATATGCGTTTAGCTATTAAAGGGAATATGAAGAAATAATTGTGTGTATGAGAAGGAGAAAGATGGTGGAGTTGTCCTAAGCTTGAAGGCGAATTTGAAATCAAATATCAAAAGTTCACGAAAAAAGATCCGAAGCTCGGCCAACGGCGATTTAGGCCTTTGAGCTCGGGGATAGCGGAAACGGAAAAACTAACCTAGAGTAATCTTGGCGTTTGATTGGATGAAAACGGCAACGATACCCAATCTTTGGTTTATCAGATCATGCATGTTACGTAAGCCTTAGTTCCACAGTGACACCTGCCCCTCATCATTCAGATGACGTTAGCGAGCTCTTTCTTGTCTTCTTGGCATTAGAATGAGAAAGGAAAGATTTAGGTACATGTGCTGTACACTGCCCGCTAAAGTCAACGCGGTGATTCGGGTTTAAAGATTCAGCGCTAACCGATCCTCGGATATCCGGCAAGCGGTCCAATATGTAGTCCGTACCTAACATCAGGTAGACAGCGGGATTGGTTGTATCGGTTCTGGTTCCGCGTATCATAATGTTTACTAAGATTTTCAGCTGAAGTTCACGATACAGTTGTATCAAGTACCTACCTTAAATACGCTAAGCCGCATAGTACCTACCTATGTATTGTAGGTACAATGCTTAAAGTTTCCACATGTTTTAGAGGCTTTTAGGTCCAAGCCACATACGCTGATAAGTTGACGGATCCTTCGCGAAGCCGAGCTGATGATTTAAAGCACTGCCACAGCAACGACGTCGTCAGTGGATGAAAACGACCTAAAAGTCACTAAGTCAGGTTTACTACAAGTCACTTCTACATACTTCGCTACTTTACTACTTTACTACTAATTTCTGCCTTGCTAACCGTCACCTGCTGCAACCTCTACTTCGCCCTTGATACTACTTTTCGCTTCTCAACTAGTTATTCAACTATTCAACTATTACCTCACAATCTATTAGTGCAGCATTGCTCCCCCCTGAGCACTACGCGGTAAAGACTACAAAGGAATATTCTCATCCCGAATCAATACCCCCCACTAAACCACCAAACCATACATCACAATCAGAACCACTACAAACAGGTTGTTTCAACCTCGCAGAGCGATGAGCTTCCGAGGTTTCCAGAAAAGCGTCATCCGAGTAAGTAACAATGCGCCTAGCCTCAAAAAGAAACATTGAAACTAATTACAATTCTCTAACCCATAGGCGCCGCAACAATTTAAAGCCAAGTTCAACATTGGCGAACATTCAAAAGACCCCGTATTTATCGATGCAGAGCGACGTTTCCACGAGCTCGAAGTCGAAACCAAACACCTCCACGATGAGAGTAAGAAGTATTCCGATGCCATTAACGGCATGCTCAACCACCAGATCGAGTTCAGCAAAGCGATGACCGAGATCTACAAACCTATATCAGGTCGCATGTCAGATCCCGACTCGATAGAGGTTCAAGGCAACCCCGAGGGCATCCGCGCTTGCGAGGAGTATGAGGCTGTCGTCAAAGATTTACAAGAATCGCTTAAGCCCGAGCTTGAGATGATCGAGTCGAGGGTTATTCGCCCCGCGAATGAATTACTTGACGTACTCAAGGTCATCAGGAAAACAGCTACAAAACGTGAACACAAGAAGCTCGACTACGACCGACACAATGCGACACTCAAGAAAATACAAGATAAAAAAGAGAAGAGTGCAAAGGACGAGAAGGCCTTGTGGAAAGCAGAAAGCGACGTCGAGCAAGCTACCCAGGAATTCAATTACTTCAATGATCTCTTGAAGGACGAACTACCTAAGCTGTTCACCCTTGAGCGCCAATTCATCAAGCCGCTATTCCAATCATTCTACTATATGCAACTGAATATCTTCTACACGCTCCACGAGAAAATGCAACATTGCGATATTGGATATTTCGACTTAACACTTGATGTAGAAGAGGCATTTGTGAAGAAGCGGGCAGATATCCTGGAGCAGACTGAACAGTTAACCATTGTTCGATTTAAGACTAGCGGTCAGAAGAAGCCACCCAAGTACGCGAACAAGCCAGCAGCATTAGAGGCGGGACCGCGCCCTGCTGGATTACTCACCGCAGGCACATCCACCTCATCCGCACCGAGCCCAACATCAGTTAAATACGGCCAAGAGTCGCAGGCAGAGCTTGTAGAAAATCCCCCTCCGCCATATTCCGCTTCCGCTTCCGCATCAGCAGCCGCCTTTAAGTCGCCACTATCACCACCTCTAAGCAGCCCTAAATCGCCAGGGCTAGCAGCGCTTGCAGCGGGGAAGCCAAAACCCCCTCCGCCGAAACCTAAGCCCAGCCGACTTAGCGGCGCGCCAGCCGTAGAAACAGTTACCGCTTTATACGATTACTCAGCCCAAGCCGAGGGTGATATCAGTTTTAGGGCAGGAGACATAATAGAAATCGTTACCAGAACACAAAATGAGAACGAGTGGTGGGTTGGCAAGTGTCACGGTAAACAGGGCCAGTTTCCCGGTACGTACTTATCTATTATACTAGAGGTTGTATACGATTCAACTAACTATTACGTGGTAGGAAACTATGTGAGAGTAGGCTAGAGATCTGCCTTTCAGCCATCGAGATGCTATAGGTGATTTCACTTACAAGACGATTGATAGAACAAGTCTACCAGTGGTAATTAGGAACTAGGGCATGATACAGCTCAGCCGTATGGCGCTGATCCATCAGACGGCAAGTATCTCGAGACTTCAGGGGGTGTCTTCGTGATAGCACTAGTCAGAAAATCTTGGGCTTTTGCTGGAAACTATGCTGGACTTGTTGGAATGGAGGAAGATATAACAAGCAAGCAGTTGGAATGGTCAGTTCAGCAATCAAATCGACGACTCCCAATGAAATAACCTATGGGAACATTGGACAACGGGCCGTAATATTGCTAGTCCTTGTATGTTCTCTTCCCTAAACCGGACCGGTAGCATGATAATCATCGTATCAGAAGCCAAGTCAGGCAAATTCTAGTTATACCCCTAGTACTCGGAAGCGAATGTTATATTGACTTCAGTTTTGTCTTACAGTGTATGCCTCCCAAAGTCTAAGCAGGTACCTGAGGTATAAATTTAATCTTGTAGGATTGGATTATGTACCTATCTATAAATATCTAACTTAAAGACTGTCTCGATAGCATTCGTACCTTACCTAAGTACCTGATCTAATCAACCAGCTAACCTAGAGCTATTCCATTATCTACGGCGGTAGGACTCGAGCTAAATGCGACGGGCCGCTGCGGTCTAAGGGAGGCACCTTTATAGCGCCCGCCACATTATTGGATGAAGTGATAGCCACACGAGCTAGGGGCAAGTTTACAGTGTGGGAGAAGTATGTAAACGAAACGTAATTATTGGCTTTGTCTCGAGGTAAAATAAATTATATAATGGGTGGTTTTGATTCGATTTAGGTCTTCTAGAGTCATGATACCAATAGCGCCTAGTCTGAAACTACTTGTTACAGTAGGTTAGAATGTGCAAAATGTGCTGTAGATGCCAATAACCTATCTTCAGCAGTGGTAAATAGTCTCGTGGAGTATATTCAGGAGAAACGCCAATAATGTGTAACGTTGTGATAGATTCGGCGTACTCGAATAGGGAGGAAAGCCAACTAAACAAGGATAGGTACACCAAGACTTGTAGTCTGCTGTAACCAATTCTTCTTCCACGTGGATACCTTATTTATAATATTGATTGCTTGGTACCTATATCGTGTTAAGTTGCCAATGTTTTACACTAGAAGTGCTCTCTCGACATGGACATAGCATCACCAATATCACTATCTTTTGGGTTCTTGAAGCCTAACATTATTCTTGCAGCAGCCATTCTCCTCACTACTCTGGCTTTGCATTTCCCCTCTAAGCTTCGTCCCTTTTTTCTTCCTCCAGCATGCTTTCTCGCCGCTTGAGAAGTGTTCATGTATAATTGAGATTGATGTCAAAACTAGATACCTTGTCAGGGTCATATCTCCCCGCAATTTGTAGGATGAACTTAAGATCCTGGGCGTAGATCCCCCAGGTCTCGACCTATATACCGAGCGATCTTGGCAGAGATCCCCAGATCTCGGACCAGGGGTAGGGATCCGCTCAAGTTTGATGAATTGGTAGTATATTACGTTATCTCTACCTGTATGCTTGACGAGGTTAAAAGGGGGACTTCTAACTATACCATAGAAACAGGTAACTATTACTATGCCTCTAAGTGCAACATTGATGTGATACCGTGCCATCTCAATTTACAAACATCTTACGAGCCAAGCATCTTGTGACTACCTAGAGTAGAGGTAAACCACCGTGGTATCTACCGGGAAGCTAATAAAGCTCCGCCTCAGAATCTCAAGATACTAAGTAGATACGCTTACCGACCGGAGTCAAAATATCGTGGCTACATATCTTGGAATACAATTGGCTTGAGCTTAACTGGTGGTTCATGTGCAGCCGCCGATCCGGGGTAGAGCTACGTACGCCTTCGAGGGTTTGATTTCTAGCTGAAGAATACCTAGTCCTATTGCAAAAGACATTGATCGGCTTCCTTTCTTGAAGAATCTAACACATCTCCGATATATAGATACCGTCGAGCGTGTCCGCGACGATTATTAGACAGGGGTTCGTGGGGAATAGTTGTCCACCCGACGCAAATCTCACAAAGCAACTGACCATGCAACATTGATGCGTAGAATATCCTCACATCCAACATCAACGAATTACGACGATCTAGAGAGTGGGAGAAACTAATGATTGGGGCAGTTCATGGGGAAGGTACCTATGCTGTGGGGTTTGCTCATCTCCCTGGACATGAAAGGGTGTGCGGTTAGGAATAGAAGTCTGAAGATGGCCCTGATGCTGGAAATCATTGTGCTTGACGGCAAGGTCCATAGTCTCGTCGACCTAAGAATTACACCGGTTTAAACCCGTATATATATATACCTATATATATATACCTATATATATCAAGACCGCCATCGCCACATTTATCGACGACTTTATATCAACAAGAACACCATCAGAAACTCGCAGGAACGAGAATCCATTCAAACGCCATTCCTTAGTACCTACCCCTGAAGACCTTTAAACCCAAAACCAAACAACAACATGCGATGCTCAACTCTCGCTGCTTCTGCCATTGCCTCCTTTGCATTCCTGCAATGCATCGTACACACCGGTTCCCCTGATGGCGATCGGCATCTCAGCCGCGACGGCAGAAGCCATAACCTCCGGGCTTACAGCGGGCACGATCGGCGCCGCTACCACCGTCGGCCTCGCCTGCGGCACCGGCAAATGCAACAACAACAACAGGCGTATTAGCCGCGCCGCGTTTATTTATGCTTCCAAGATAGCACACGAGATCGCCGAGCAGCTAAACATCCCTGCCGACGGAGACGCACAAGGAATCATCCCGCCACCGCCTACAGCTCCCGAGGGAGTGTCGCAGTTCGATATCGACGCCTTGAACGCGAATGTCACCATGAATGGCCCCGTAGGAGATAATCACATTAGGGTTGAAGGCCTTCCCCAAATCTGCATGGTTCTGAGCACTATTCTTAGTGGCAAGGTCTATGGCCCTCAACCTGTTCCCTGCGGCAATGCTTGTATTGAATACGCGGGAATGTCGGTGGATGAATACGAGAGCATTCGTCATATTCTCAATACGCAAGTGCTGAAGAACGGCGAAACTTGAAGTTGCGTCGGGTTAGGTATGCTTTCAGGGGCGGTATGTTTCGGTGGACGCGAACAAGTTTCTATTGTTTTTTGTGTGTTCCAATAATACCTTGGACCTCCGGAAGGCCCGAACTTGTTGAATATTGCTTTTGTTATATTGTTGTTGATAAACAATTGTTTTCATCGACGCATAAAACTACTATTGAAGATGTTGTCTGCTAGAGAACATTACTAAAAGTGACATATCAGATACTCATTAACGACACTATATCCGAACAATTTAACATCCACTAAATAATTGCTGATTTTCTTAACATTTCTTTGTGGCTTACGTAGTTCTTGATAAAATGAAATTAGATTGTGATGCTATTGTTCATAAATATGTTCTAAAATCAATGAAATTGTGCGCCTTCTTCGTATGTAGATATAGAGTAGTGTTGGCTGACGTTCTCTAAACCATGCATATTCATTTCTTGTCAAATCATTGCAAGTTACTTGTTACTAATACTTTTACTCTCTGCTTTACATTCGCCTTTACTAACACGAGTTGGCCCGAAACAATGTCTAACACATACAGCTTCGCCGCGGCAAGTGCTGCTGGTCAGATTACCGGCCGGAGGGTCTTTTCAGTATCGAGCCCTAGAGAGCACCATGAGTCTGGCCAAGGTTTTGACTTTTCCAGGCCCGATAATTTGAGTCGAGCTTTTGCCGTCGAGAGCCTCCAGTTTTACCGCTCAAGCATTGTAGAACGGGAGGCTATATATAGGTCGTTGTCTGATTGTCTTCTAACATATAGTGAAGAGTTTAAAGAGGTTGTTTCGCTTTGTGTTGGCAAACCAGACGGTGTGTTTGCTCATGACCGTCAGTTTAAACTACCCGATAAAGTCGATGCCGTTCGTCAAGTAGTCGCTAAGAATATGAACCTGTTGGACGGTAGCTTCTACAGCTACAAGCCCATCTTTAACAGGGTAAGGAAATCGCTCTACTCTTTTTGGGTTGTGCCGGTAGATGGGGTTTGGGTTCTGATCGTTATGTACCTCGTGAACTACTACGATGAACAAAAACACGCGAACCGCAAAATGAGCGTATCCAGAATCGACGGGGAGTCAATCACTGCTAGATTTATAAGGGTCTATGATGTCGTCGACGAAGGCAGACTCGAGAGGCGGAAGAGAATACGAGAAAGACTCCCGACCATACTCAAAGAAGGCGACATCGACATCCCAGATATCGACGGGAAATACCCGTCATTTGCGGGGGTGGAAGGGCTTCCCACCTTGTTTAATCGCAGCCATGAATCAGGTCTGCTCATTCACATGCTTGTCGAGCATTTGTTTGAAAGGCTTGAAAACGTTGTCCAAAAGGAGAAGAACCCCTATCTCGGAACGATCCGGCAAAGGCTTCATAACCGTTATGAGGAACCATTTTGGTCACCCATCCGTCTGCCCGCGAATCCAGGTACACTATATAGGGCTCGTGGTCGAATGATTGGGAACCTCATGACTGGCATGAGCGGTACGAATCAATGGCAAGCAACAGCGGCCATTGAATTGCCTGATTGCGAAGTACGTATGGGAGGCGGTTCGTCGTCGATCTTGAATAGTCTCAGCCTAGCTGAGGACGTGCAGGGCGATGGGAACGAAAGTCTGATATAGTTGGCAGTTAATTTGATGAGTGATTTGGTCAGTCTGGTATATAGCTTGGGTTAAATATGGGCTTTATTGGTTCTGGTATATGTAAGTGTCTAGGTTAAATACTCTTATCCAATTGGAAGTGAAAGTGATACTTAGGTTATCTTAAACCCTTAAGGCACGCCTTTTTAGAAATGACGTAACGTCTTCAGCCAATTAGCGCCTCGGGGAACCGAATCCGCGAACCTGTCTGTAGTAAAACAAGGGCTTTTAGGATAAAATCCGGAAGTCGCGAAGATCCAACAAACTTGTCTTACGTCTCTTTCATTGTTGAACCTTTCTTGTTCTACTATGTACCTAACCTTTGCGGCACTTACTATGTACATAGTAAGTCACGAGTCACGATAAATACTAGTTAGTACAGATATAGATCAGGGGCATGCTGATCATTGCCGTCATCGCCCAACTCTTTTGCTTTAATCTCCGACCGCTAGTCTTATCTCCCAGCGTTGTTTGGGTTTTCCACATGCCGCATATGTAAGGTACCGTTTTATACTTTGTTAGGTTAGGTACTTCGTAGTGTACCTAATGCAAGATAACGACAATGGCCCTCCCTTCTCCGATTGGCTATAAGTCGTTCATGATAAACAGGGAAGAAAGACGGGCGTAAGGGATCGCCCCATCGCTGCTGCGGCTTTTGGATGGTCAAAAAAGAATAATACATAATAAGGAAGTTCATTGGGAATGCATGATTTCGTACGTTAGATGCGAATCAATAACAGATAGGCATTACGCAGGGTTCTTCCCTTGAAACCTTACTATTACAACTATGTAATAGCTTTGGCCGGTAAAATATCCCCTGACTGCATGACTTAGACCAACGACTCATGAGCTACTACATACGGTATCTACATACATACACATACAACACATACATACGCATACAGGGGTGTTTCACATATATTTATGTATTAGAATGCCGGTTCCTATGTAGGGACGCGTTGCATGTTTCATTCGCTTCTTCTTAACTCCCGATCTTCTTGCGAGGAGGTTTGTGAGGAGATAGCTGGTCATTCCGTCGCTCTTTACTACTACATCTTCTAGGCTCTCGACCTGTGGCCTGTGACCTGTGACGCGGTTCGCGATGAAGATCTCTTCGCTTGTTTGCGCTACCATTGCGCTTCTCCAGACCGCTGTCCAAGGCAAAGATGTTGTCGTCGAGTCTCTACCAAAGGTCCCAATGGGCTGGAGGAAGGTTAAGAACGCGGATCCGAATCAAGTAATCAAGTTACGCATTGCTCTTGAACAACCTAACCTAGGCCAGTTTGAGCAAACCCTCTACGACATATCTACTCCTCAACACCCTTTATACGGGCAACATCTATCGCGCGATGAAGTGAAGGAGATGATGAAGCCAAGAGAGGAGTCGACTGCCGCCGTACTAGAATGGCTCCAAAAATCTGGCATCCCCGCATCCCATGTCAAGAATGACGGAGAATGGGTCAACTTCCAAACTACCGTGCTAAAGGCGGCGAGCTTGTTGGATACTGACTTCCAAGTGTATAACCACGTCGGAACAGATGCACAGCGGATCCGAACTCTGCAGTACGCATCCGCCTTGTTCAACGGATGAATACGAGGTTTGCTAACCCGAAAACAGCTACTCCGTTCCCGAGGCAGTTCGGCCCCATATCACTATGATTCAGCCGACGACCAGATTTGGCCAGATGAAACCGCACGCCGTGGAGGTGTACGAGGTTATCGAGCAGAAAGAAGCGGCTGCTTTCTTCAAAGCTGCCGCAGAGATCCCTACCCAGGACCTTAATGCGACTTTCTGCAATACTACCATAACCCCTGAATGTTTGAGGGCGCTTTACAACGTCGGTGACACGGCTGCAGATCCTAGCGTCGCGACCATCTTTGGTGTGAGCGGCTTCTTGGAGGAGTATGCGAAGCATGATGCGCTAGACAAGTTTCTCGAGCAATACGCTCCCTATGCTCTTGCCCAGAATTTCACCACTCTCTCTGTCAATGGCGGTTTGGACAACCAGACTGACTCTGTCGATGACGACGTTGAAGCCAACCTGGACATGCAGTACGCGGCGTCGTTGGGGTTCAACACAGATATCCGATACTACTCCAATGGAGGTCGTGGTCCTCTGGTACCTGATCTTGAGTAAGTTACCGAGTCATGTCGTCCTCATTGATCGATAAAATGCTAATGTAATCTAGCCAACCGGATCCGAATACCGTGAGTAGATTTTAGTTGCTGGTTATCTAGGACTCGATCATTAATATTTATACAGGGATCTAACGAACCGTACCTAGAGTACTTGACGTACCTGTTGGATCTCTCGGACGAGGAGCTCCCGCACACTCTAACCACCTCTTATGGTGAAGATGAGCAGTCAGTACCCAAGACATACGTCGAGAAGGTCTGCACCATGTTCGGCCAGCTAGGAGCTCGTGGAGTGTCCGTGCTGTTCAGCTCTGGAGAGTAAGTCTTAACGTGTTTTTTAACACCAACTTATACACAGCAAGCTGACCGTTTTCCTTAGCACTGGCCCGGGCAGTGCCTGCCAGACAAATGACGGCAAGAACACCACCCGTCTTCTCCCCATCTTCCCCGCAGCCTGCCCGTACGTCACAGCTGTAGGTGGTACCGTCGGCGTCGAGCCTGAGCAGGCCGTATCTTTCTCGTCCGGCGGCTTCTCCGACATCTTCCCGCGCCCCGATTACCAGAAATCGGCTGTGGACTCGTACCTCGGCACCATCGGCGCCACATTCGAGGGCCTGTACAACCCGTCCGGCCGCGGGTTCCCAGACGTCGCGGCCCAGGGGCGCAACTTCAACGTCATCTCCCAAGGATCGGTTATCAAGGTCGGCGGAACATCGGCGTCGGCACCGACCTTCGCGGCTATTGTCAGCTTGCTCAACAACGCGCGCATCAAGAGCGGCCAAAAGCCTTTGGGCTTCTTGAACCCTTGGCTCTACAGCGATGCTGTTAATGGCGGCTTGACTGATATTGTGTTGGGCGGGAGCAAGGGCTGCACCGGAAGAGACATATACAGCGGCCTGCCGGCGCCTTACGTCCCTGGCGCGGGATGGAACGCGACGGAAGGCTGGGATCCCGTCACCGGGCTCGGAACGCCGCTGTTTGATGCGCTTCTCGAAAAGGTTGCCCCGGGCGTCGAGATGCCAAAGATTACGTCGTAAGGATAAGGAAGCCGCATCGCTAAATGGTTCATAGTATACCGAATCCAGTTGCTCAGGTTCGGTGTTTGGCGGTAGCTGGTCCTGGGCGCAAACGGGTTCCTAGTATAGACTTTGGTTGTTTGGATTCCTCAGACACTTCAGAAATAGGCTAGTTATCCGATAGAACTATAGTGTATCTTTATACTAATATATCTAGTTACCCTGTAAATTATGTTATTGTTGATAGCATAGAGTTGTGTTGTGACTAGTTAACGTGGTTTCTTTCTATGTTCCCATCTGAACTTTATGTCTGTTGGCTCCTCGAAAAAGAGTTCCGAATGACAGGAATATGTAGGTAGTCTGGTATTACTAGATTCCCCCTATACGGCAAGAAACCACAGCCTTTTCCATCGGGGTAGGTAATCTATTGAAGACGTAGACCCCACGAGGATTGTGAATTTGAGCGATCATACTTGCATGTGCAGATAGATAGACACGTAAATCGAGGTCGATCTTTCGTGGACGTAAATTTTTCACAATATGTAAAGCTTCAAAAAATTGAAAATGCGAGCAATTTCATTACGTACCTCTAGGTAGGTATGTATATTCGAAATCGTCCGAATATGAAAAAAAAAGGTAATGATAATAATAAGCATACGGGCCTACACATTTACTTATGTACAACATCAGCCCGTCTCGGCTTGGGCCTGGACCTTGACCCCGAGAAAAGATCCAATGGACAGACCAACCCGCCCCAAGCGGTGAATAATTTCGCATAAAACCATGCGTACATGAGAAACAATGCCATTAAGGATTCCAACCCTCTTCCTCGTACTAACCGTGGAATCGGAAAGTCTGCCGACGTTCTAGATAACTATCGGATGGGAAGGTTGGGGAATTAATATAAACTCTTACCAAGATCTGGCATCTCTGTGCGATCTGATAATTTAACCCCGGTCATCTCGTCTTCCGAGGCTTGAAAAAAAGTCGTCTCGTTATCGTTCATCTGCTCTGAAGTGAACTTCTGACGGCTTTAGGTGCCGCTGTTATTATTATTATTGTTGTTGTTATTACCGCCGAGTAGTCCGGCGTTAGCAGCCACGCCTAGACCGACACCAAGGGCGATGGCGATAATGATGATTACGACGACGAGGCACCACCACTTTAGCTTTCTGCGGTTTCGGGCGTGGACGATTCCTTTTTTCACGTGGGTATTGCCTTCATCGATGTATTTGGTCGTGTTCTCGGCATTGTTAACTGCTTCGGTCACTGCATTATCCTGCTGCTCCACTAATATGGCAAGATCTTGGAACATATTCGCAAGTTCGATAAGGGTCCGTTCGATGCGCTGGAGCTCATTGTGGCGTGCGCGCACTGCGCCAAGAACTGACGACGCTTGGCCGGCGCGGTTGGTGCGGAGCTATAACTCGTGTCAGCATTATTCATCTTGAGGATTGCTTGGATTCTTTTGGTGAGAAAAGGCGCAACAGAAGAGAAACATACCGCTGTCTGGAAGACACCTTCGTTGCCCCAATCGGCATCAGCCGCATTGCGAACTTCTTCCTCGGTAGCATCGGGATTGACAATGCGGTACTGACGGGCAATCTGTTCGCGGTACCGTTGGCTGTAAACGCTCTCTTCCTTCTGGTAACTGCTTAATTCGCGCTCAAACTCAGCTTTGATGGTGGCAACCTGCCGCTCCTTCATATCGCGCGTGGTGCTGTTAGGCGGAGATTTGTTTGCATCGCTAGCTAAGAATTTTAGTTGATCTCGAATACCGACGTTCAAGGCCTGCGTGTCGGCGACAATGCGTTCAAGTTGTTGCGATGCTGCACCGCCGTCGCCTTCAGCCAGCGCGCGCTGGTGCAGGGACGCAATTGTTTGAACATTGCTCGCAAGGGTACGGATCTCATTGCGAAGGAATTGAATCCGGTTGAGGAAATCCTGCTGTGGGAGGGTGTCTGAGACTTGTTGCTGTTCTGGATAGTTCTGTAGCTCGTGCTCCTAAGTGTCTGTTAGATAGCTATCGCCATACGCCGAGTTAGCCCTAACGGCTATGAAACTGCCTTACCTGGTAGCCTTGCTCAGCTAGGGAACCATCTTGGTATGGGTTGTTGTTTTGATATTGACCGTAAGACATATTGACTGCTAGCTGCTAGGCCGTCGCCCTTATGACATCCAAAAAGCCCGGTAATATAGGACCTTAGAGTAAGGCGAACGGACGGTAAGCAATGGAATGGTCGGATGTGATGATATGGTGTGACGTGATGCGACCGTAAAATGAGGAGCGGAAATTGGTAGTTGGAGAGGACAAGAGTCAAGTGTGACTGATTGATTGATGAATGAATTTGAAATTGAAACAATTTACAAATTACAGCTACTTCTTCCGCTGCTGTATACGGGAAGACGGGGCTGGGGACGGAGGATGTTCCCTGCTGACCGTAGTGACCTGACCGTAGTGACGTCTGGGTAATTATTCCCCAGGGTCTTTCCGCTCCAATCACCGTCTCCGAGTCGGATTGATGGTTTGCCTATGTAGGTATCGGCGGAGATGAGAGAGTACTTCGTACAATACAGTAAGTAATTCAGACAGAGGGAGAAAAAAAAAGTAATAAAGCACGACCGAAACTTGAAAGAAAATCGACGGGGAAAGACTGCTAAGTTTGACTTGAAATCTGTTTTTGTTTTCTATTCAAGTACTAATCTGCAAATCGGCCTTTCAAGCCAATCATAACTGTCTGACTGACCAGTAACTCCCGAATTGTACGTCTAGCTGTGATTGTGATGGTCCATGGCATGGGTGGCTTGGAACGAAAATCGACGTTTGCCAAGAGATAGGATTTTTAGTGGGAGCCTGGAGGACTTGAAGATATACACCGTATATGTACCTAAGTAGGTACTTACTAAGGTATGCTCGAACAACCCTTCTCACATGGATGTATATTTTAGTCTATTTTACAAATGCATTACTGCTGCAGCGAAGAAAACTGCGCGGCATTATAAGAGGAAAGTACGTAGGAAACTGGTGGCAAGAACTGAACACGGGCTATCTAGGTACCTACATGTATGTACATGTACAACCCTAAAATAGCACAGCCCTGCTGCTAGGTCACGTCAGCGTTCAAGGCTATGAATTCTTAATTTCCCATTTCGTCATAGTCTGTTAAATCCCTAAGTTGGTAGCCTAATACGCATGTAACCCAGCCTTATCCGTTGCGAATATCTTCTGCATCTAACTACATAATAACATAGTATTCCTTCAAGTCAAATGATCCTACAATGTCGCTCATATAAGGCTTACGTCTTGTCTTCTAAACGGTCGTTGTTTCTAGAATAGAAGTTAGACGATAACCCGTTGTAGTTGTACGGAAAGAGTCGAAAAGCGCCGTCTAGTAGTTATAGATTCTATAATGATGTCTCCTACCATAATATTCACCAATAAAAGACCAATCACTCGAACATGATAGGTTTAAAGTATTTGCAGTAGACGCGTATTTTCTCTTGGTCTACCTATATGCTGCCGAAACAGCCTCTACGAGTTGACTTTATTTTTATTTTCTTGCCCATAGCTATATACTACGAGCTCAAATTAATCACATGTCTTTTGATTTCTTCCAGCAGCGTGGATCATACGAGGCTGTCGTAGACATTATTTCTTTACTGCGTAGCGTGGCCTTTCAAAATTATTTGTTCTGAAGACCATGAAAGACCATTATTGTCCTTATAAAAGGCATCATGTTGGCTCGGGTTAAGGTCAGAAATGGAAGAACGCCGCCGGAAACCGAATATCAACACGCTGCAACCCTCCACCAAATGCATCAACTCTTCGTGCCCATCTTCGAGTACGTATGTCTGCTGAGCGGCTGCTTGGTTAATGAAGCTCTGGATAACATTTATATACTCGTATGGAGATTTGCTTGGATCCGGGCGGAGACGCATGATTCTTCCTGGCGCCATGTATTCCTCTAAGGTATGTACGAAACCTACGGAGCCATGACACCGTACATTGCGATTTTAAAGTTGGTGAAATTAGCCTCAAAGATAGTCTTTCTTGCGGCTGGTCCTCGTGTATTGATTTAAATGCCACTCGACATCTCCATCTTTGTTCTCCAAAGTACCGCTCCGAATCTCGAATACCTTCATCGTCATTCGAGGACCGACTTCAGATAATTCTACACTATCGTATCCAGTTCTGACGAAAACGTGATGTCGTACTTCTATCGCATCTTCAATGTTCTTGAACGTAACTACTCGACTTCCGAGCTTAGAATTGCTTGTTAGAGGCTCACGCGGGGGGAATATATGCTTTAAGATTTTGACAACCCTTGCACCAAGGCGAGAAGTGAAACCTATAGTCTGAGGTTAGTTATAGCTGGTAACTATATGTAGGCATGGATGGAGTTTACCATCAAATATTAAGTGTGGGTACGATTCGCTAACAGTTCCTCGAATACTGTTGGGAATATCGTGGCGCAACACAACATTATGTAAAGAGAATGATATGGTCGGCCCATGAGGGAAGTGGGATAACGTCAACGCCGTAGGGACACCACGATGCTCATGAAGAAGAATTAAATCGCTGAGACCACTACTCTGCGCTGATCGAACGAGGTCTGGTAGGATCAAGTTGCCACGGTTCAGTCTTATCGCAGTCGGGATAAGTAAGCGGATTTCTTTAGCAAATGCTGATAGTCGGGCGGATGGGTCCCTCGAGGTAGTAACAAGAACCCGAGGATCAACTATCCCAGAAAGTTGCGAGTATTCATCATCGAGATCCAACTCCTCATTCGTGCTTCTGTCTGGCCTGGATTCGTCAAACTGGTAATCTTTTCTCAGCTCCTTGTCGTTTGCGATGGAGGGATCTAGGGGCCTGCCGGTCGCTAAGGATGCTCTAAGTTTTGCTCTCTTCTCGCTTATCTCAGAGTCGCGGAGAAGAAGGGCTCTTCTGTAGAGGTAATCGCGCCGTTGCCGAGCTTGTTTGCGCTGTAGGTTGGGATTTTGTTAGCAGGTTTTTAGATATTCATCGTTCAACTAGATGAACATACAATCATGGTTTTTGTTGGTAGTAGGTAGTGTGGAACAGTGGTATGCAAATTTTACACCAGTGATTCTATAGTAATATACAGCAAGAAACAATGGGCAATTGTTCTAAGATGTAATGTAAACCTTGGAGGCGCCAGAATTGGGATAAGCAACTATAAAGTTATGAACTTTTTGGCGGGCATCAATTGGAATTTTTCTTATCGGAGCTTATCAGACCCCCGTCCGATACCTAAACTTTAGGTACGCTTGGGAGGTAGTTTGGGGCTTAGGAAAGTTTGGCCATTGGCCTAGGTGTTAGAGACCCACCATCCCGCCTAAGTACCAGAGGTACATAGATTTCCGCCCGCCACAGTCAAAGATGCAAGCGCGAAAGTTATCGCAATCTGAGAATTCCAAAACCTCAGAATTCCACAATGTGATGACTTCCTTCTTATTTTCTCCTTACAACCAACCCAACGTGTCGACTATCCTCCTGCGCCAACTAGGGCAGTGAAAAAGGGATACCCTATCCGTGATACACGTATCACTTCAAATTATACTCAAGGTATTGCTGGTGAGTCTTTGACTTTGGTTAACTCTTTTACACTCCCTCTTTTGCCCATCCGCGTTTCACAAAACTCGTTCGCCGAGTTTATATCCCCTCCCCTTCTGTCCTTATATATATGGCATCCCCCATGTTTTAATTCACCGGCTATCAGGAAATTATATCGGAATGCTTAAGGCATAATACGTATTGACAAACGTTAGATACAAAGAAATAGTCGTACCGAAATCCGGCTCACCTAGCCGGCCCACGGCGCTACAATGGAAGGCGCTTTTACCCACCTGGGTAACCATCTTGTATCCGACTCTGCTGCCGCTATCAACGCTGGCGACGATGATCTTTCTACTCTTGATCCCGATGAGAGCCTTCTCTACGGAAAGTACAGCGGCCGTGGCGGACTAGGTACCGCAAGGCGAAGAAATGACGACGACGATAACGAAACCGAGGTTTTTGACGACGATGATAACGAGAGCGTGGCTAGCGTCCCTGTTGGGGCTATGAAGGCTCTAAACCTTAAGGTCCCCGAAGAAGACAAGAAACTACCCCCACACGCTTGCGCGTAGGTTCCCCCAAGACGATTAACTGAAAAGTTTACTGGGTCGTTAATTAATATGTTGGTTGTAGGTATTGCGGTATCCATTCTCCTGGCTCGGTAGTTAAGTGTCTTGCTTGCAATAAGTGGTTTTGTAGCGCTCGAGGAAATGCAAGCTCTTCGCATATTGTCAATCATTTAGTTCGAGCTCGACACAAAGAAGTACAACTCCATCCCCAGTCCACGCTTGGCGACACGACCCTCGAATGCTATAACTGCGGTACGAAGAATGTTTTCCTCCTTGGATTTATCCCTGCGAAATCCGACACTGTCGTTGTCCTGCTTTGCCGTCAGCCATGTGCCGCCACACCCTCTTCGAAGGACATGAGCTGGGATACTTCCAGATGGCAACCTTTGATTGAGGACCGCAGCTTTCTCCCATGGCTTGTGTCGCCGCCTAGCGATAATGAGCAGCTCCGTGCTCGACATCTTACACCTCCCATGATTGCCAAGCTGGAAGAGATGTGGAAAGAAAACGCTAGTGCTACTATAGCTGACTTGGAAAAGGCGGCTAGCATCGATGACGATCCGCTTCCAGTTCTTCTCAAGTATGAAGACCCGTATCAGTATCAAAATATCTTTGGTCCCCTCGTGAAGATGGAATCCGACTACGACAAGAAGTTAAAGGAGGCGCAGTCTGAGGACGGCCTAGTTGTTCGATGGGACTTGGGACTTAACAACAAGCATCTTGCTAGCTTCACATTCCCGAAGTTGGAATCTGGCGACGTCAAGCTCGCAGTAGGTGACGAGATGCGACTCAAGTACAAGGGCGAGCTTCGTCCTCCCTGGGAGGGCGTGGGATATGTTGTTAAGATCCCGAACAATCAATCTGACGAAGTTACTCTGGAGCTGCGCAAGACGGGAAATGAGAAGTCTGTGCCTACCGAATGCACGCATAACTTTTCGGCTGATTACGTTTGGAAAGCTACGTCCTATGATCGCATGCAGGCTGCTATGAAAACCTTTGCTGTGGATGAGATGAGTGTTTCTGGATATATCTTTCACAAACTACTCGGCCACGAGGTTGCTGTCGCTCCCATGAAGACCAACCTACCTAAGAAGTTCAGCGTGCCGGGTCTCCCAGAGCTCAACAGTAGCCAGATTAGTGCCATCAAGAACGTCCTACTTACCCCCCTCAGCCTCATCCAAGGGCCCCCTGGAACTGGCAAGACGGTCACATCGGCAACCATTATTTATCACTTGGCGAAGATGAACAATGGTCAAGTCCTCGTGTGCGCGCCATCTAACGTGGCCGTGGATCAGCTCTGTGAACGAATCAATCTCACGGGGTTGAAGGTTGTCCGCCTTACAGCAAAGTCTCGTGAAGACGTCGAGTCGTCTGTTAGCTTTCTTGCACTGCACGAACAAGTGCGTATGCTTGACACTAATCCTGATCTGATGAAACTTTCCCAGCTCAAGAACGAACTTGGCGAACTTTCAAGCCAGGATGAGAAGAAATTCAAGCAGTTGACCCGCGCTGCTGAGCGCGAGATTCTTAACAACGCGGACGTAGTCTGTTGTACGTGTGTTGGAGCGGGAGACCCGCGCTTGGCTAAGATGAAATTTCGCAATGTCCTTATTGATGAATCTACACAATCCGCCGAGCCCGAGTGTATGATTCCTCTTGTTCTCGGTTGCAAGCAGGTCGTGCTCGTCGGTGATCACAAGCAGCTTGGGCCGGTGATCATGAACAAGAAAGCCGCCAAGGCTGGTCTAAACCAATCGCTCTTCGAACGTCTCGTCCGACTTGGTTTCACACCCATTCGGCTTAATATCCAGTACCGAATGCATCCTTGTCTTTCCGAATTCCCGTCGAACATGTTTTATGAGGGTTCTCTCCAGAACGGCGTTTCTGCTCCCAATCGGATCCGCAAGGATGTCGACTTTCCTTGGCCAGTTGCTGAAATGCCTATGATGTTTTGGTCTAATCTGGGCAATGAAGAGATCTCTGCGTCTGGAACCTCGTACCTCAATCGAACTGAGGCTTCCAATGTAGAAAAGATCGTGACGCGATTCTTCAAAGCCGGCGTACGACCTTCTGATATTGGTGTTATTACCCCGTACGAAGGTCAGCGTAGCTATATTGTTACTACGATGCAGAATACGGGTACTTTCAAGAAGGAGTCCTACAAGGAGGTCGAGGTTGCCTCGGTCGATGCTTTCCAAGGCCGTGAAAAGGACTTCATCGTCCTATCTTGTGTACGATCCAATGACAACCAAGGCATTGGTTTCCTTTCTGATCCGCGCCGAATGAACGTTGCTCTTACCCGTGCGAAGTATGGACTCGTTATTATCGGCAATCCGAAAGTCTTGTCTAAACACGAACTTTGGCATCACCTTCTAGTACACTTTAAAGAGCGTAAATGTCTCGTTGAGGGTCCTCTAACTAACTTGCAGACATCTTTGCTTCAGTTTAGCCGACCTAAGAACACTTATCGCCCCCGTCCTCAGCAAGTTTCACATGTTTCTAGCGGATTTTCCAACGGTCGCTCGGCTGGATACAATGGCCATAACGCCAGTCAAGATTTTGAGTCGAGCTCGATGCTTTCCTATATTCCTGATGACACATCTAGCCTTCATAGTTCGGCCCTCGGTGGCGCAGGAGTTGGTAATACTGCTTTTCCAACAATGTTTTCCAACTTTAATTCTGAACAATGGCCTGGTCTCCCTGGGTTTAATGCGACTCCAGGTGGTCGTGTAGGAAGCAAGAGTAGGGGCCGAGGGACAGAGAGCATCGCTGGTGAAAGCGTTGCGACTTCGGAATATACTGATGGCACTGCCAGTGTTATTGGTAGCAAAGGCGTAGGACAGGGTGGCGCCAGTCTTGGCGCCGGGCTTCCTGATGCACTTCGTTCTCGACCTACGTCCTACACCCAGAGCGATCGGCTGAAGCAGCATGTTACGGAGAGCTCTGGTTTCCCTGCTTATTCAAACGGCTTCCGTCGCCGATATGATGATGACGAGAAGTCGGTCAGCACCGCCTTTGCTAGTCAAGTTGGCGGTGGATTTGAGTGATTTGCCTATGACAAGTGGATAACAATACCATCGTTTAGACGAGAGTAGGTATGTCTAACAGGCAAAGGGTCCTAGTGCCGTGCAGCTCTAGACGCTTAACTAGCAGTCATTCCAACATGAGTTCTACGCCGGGACAGCTTGTGCCCCAGCACATGACGATCCGCAAACCTTGGAGCCCCCCTGCCCTTCTGGAGTTGCTACTCGCAGCTGATTTGACAGGAGCGATTGAGCTTAAGCTATCGCCAACGGGCGATCCTATCAGGAGTCCATTCATGGACACTGCGATATGAGCCTTTGAGCTCACGGTTTTTGGTCCGATGGCGGAGGAGAAAGCGGAGGATATAGTAGTCGCGCGGCGAATTAGCCGTGGCAATCACCAGCAACCACCGCAAGCTTCGACGCTGGAAATTAGGACGGCCACCACCAACGAGAGCAAGTGGTGTTAATAACGCTCCACAACTAGGAATCACCTCAAATTCAGTTTGTTCCTTCGAGCGTGAGAACTACTCCGTTCAATAGGACCCTGCTGCGACTGCGTCAGCTTCGGCATTCCATAAGTCTTTAAAGCTTGCTGCATTTGATTGATAACTTGAGTAAATGCTGCTCGTTAATACAATACACATTCGTTTATCTACCTAAGCTTCCCTTCTTTCCCACGTCGTGCGTAGTTATTTATCCGGGTAATACATACAGAAGTAAAGTAAATTCCATGTTTAAATGCACAACAGGAGGCAACACCATCCCACATCGGGCCCCCGGTTCGATTCCTCAACCTCGCACCTTTGCTTGTTCCGTAAGCGAGTCGGCGAAGCGTTCTAGCGAAGCTATGTAGAACGCTTCGCCGACCCCCTTTTTTCTGGTTGCTACATAGTACCTAGGTAATGTGGCTAAGTTATGTGGCTAGGCCTGTGGCTTTATCTTATCGAAGGTAGGCCTACATCCAGCTAGGTAATGATGCACCCAATCAGACCTTTGGAGATGCCGAATATACCCTTAAACCTTGGCCAAGAGATTTCATATAGTACATGTCTAGTTTAAGGGGTACATGATCGGGTAAAGACCATTAAAGACTGGGTGTGAGCTTCGCTAAAACTTTAACCACGTGGCTGGGTTGCGCTTCGAAATTATGCATAGCAATATCTTGAATATATCAATGTGTCTGGAACTTACCTAATTTATATGGTCTACGTAGTTGTAAGTATAAAAGGTAGCTAAATAAATAACTAACTAACTACATGTAACTAAAACTAACTAACTAGTTGAATTACAACAAGTTTTCAAGTTAAACATTAAGTCTTATGCTAACCTATCAGCCCGTTAAGCACCTATGTAACCTGCAATATGTACAAGTATAAACCCAATAGAACATTAGATCGACATTACTAATGTGAGTTTAGGTGCATGATTCTACTGCAAGTTGGGCGCTCAGGCATATACCTGTGTCGATACTTACATAAAGCTAGCAAATACCTACCTGCATAAGGTACCACACAAGTTCATTCTGGGTACCCGTCTTTGATGTATCCATTCGTGGCCTACGACGTAAACTGCGCCTTCTTGAGTTTCAGCATCAACTCCGCCTTCTTTCACGGGACACAATCATCAACACTCTTTAACCTTTTATCATTCCTGTCGGGCTGAACACAGAAAAATTCGGATCGAAAAAGGAATATATTTAACCTAGCACTTATCATCATTGCAACAATAAGCCACATCAATTACCCCTGCATAGTACCTGCATAGGCCAACTTTGATCGAGTCCCAACCCTGAGGTCGTAATTCATGTCATACAAGTCCTCAAGCATAATAAATTCAGAGCAAGCAGCCACAATCTAAATAGAGTTCTCGGTACGATGACGAGTGAAAAGATGCCGCGGCCACTCTCCGTTGCCAAAGGCGAGCCAACCGCGACGGTGGTTTCTACCCCGGACGCTTCGAATAAATCAGATACGGCACACAAGACAACCTTAACCCAAAGCGCCAAGCCTATCTTGATTGCAGATGCACCTATCGCAGCCACCAAGGATAACGACTCGACGGCACAACCGAGAGTTTCAATGAACGTCGAAGAATTTCAGGGTGAAGTCCAAACTACGAACGAATTACCTACAATTGAGACGCTGCGCAAAATAGAGGCATACAATGTTCTCGATAGCGACGGGAAGTCACATAGTTTCAAGAGTCTCTATGCCGGCCACAATTCTGCCCGCCGAGTACTCATAATATTTATTCGACATTTCTTCTGTGGTGTACGTTGCTAATGATTCCGTTCGCACCGCGGTGCGGCATGGGCTAAGACGTTCTATGCTGACCGACATGTCACAGAACTGCCAGGAATATCTACGCACGCTTTCGGCCTCGGTTACTCCCGAGGCCCTTTTGCAGTTACCGGTTAGCACCTTCATTGCCGTAATAGGGTGCGGCTCACCACATCTAATCAATTCGTACATCCAAGAGACCGGCTGCCCTTTCCCGGTTTATGCTGATCCAACCCGTCGTCTGTATACTGAACTTGGAATGGTGCGCACCTTGGCATTGGGCTCGCGACCAGCCTATATGCAAGGGAAATCGCTGGCACATACTGTCGTCTCTGGTGTAGTCCAGGGGTTGAAGCAAGTGAAATCAGGCTTAGTGACGAAGATGGGTGACCAGAAACAAGTTGGCGGGGAATTCCTTTTCGAACCTGCAAACCCAACACTAGACACTCCCGTAACGACACCGCGTAGCGAAGAGGACAAGCAACTGGGGCTTTCGGGCGAAAACGAGAAATCAGACGGCCACGAAGACCCCAAGGTAGAGGAAAAGCGCGTCACGTGGTGCCATCGAATGCGGACGACCCGAGATCACGCCGAGATTCCCGAGCTGATGGAGGTACTCGGTTTAGATGGCACCGGTGCTCCTATCAAAGACAAGAAGAGATGGGAGAAGGCCTTAAGGACGAGGAAGGGTACCGGCTTAAGTATGGCCAGCCAAATGAGCCGAATGAGTGTTGATACCACTCACACCAATAATAACGGCAGTATAAAGGCAATTGAGCCTCTCTCCTGACCACCAAATTGCTGAACGGTATAATTGGATGCGATACGAATGAACACGTTTCTATTCCATCTAATCAAGCAACGGGGTTCGGGGAGTATTGCTAAGGTATTTGATTATCGAAATACGATGCGTTCGCCTCCATCGGCGCGACCGGCTTGGGATTACCGAGCTATGTGGGATTCTTTATCTCGGCATTCTTCAAAATATATAACTTGAATAATTCACATATATCGTAAGAAGTTAACAGGAGTCAGAGAGAGTTCTACAATCATCGCAGGGCTTTGGGCAACGTTATGAAGCTAGCCATAGTAAAAGTAGATTGGTTTACAAGCTTAAAAATATTAGGCTATTAATATTTAAGTCGCTGCTATTCTTACATGAGCAACATATCAAAATATAGTATCATATCTAAGAATCCTCAATTCCGTCCTATGTCTCTACCTTTGCTCTACTACATATGTCAAAGGCTCCCCTTATGGAGGCTAAGTACCTAAGTACTTACCATTAAAGGGGTTATGTGTAACCAAAAATTATATAAGCGACAAACGAGTGACGGTTAGTTGCAGTCCACAAATTCGTCTCTATATTCAATTGAATATATTCTTTTATTCTACTTCACTTATTCTAGGTACCATATTACGATAGAGTAATGCCACGTATCCGTCAACACCAAAAACAAGTTCTCATGTTCTAGTTCGCGAAACAATCAGGTTCGCTAAATCCGTCACGTTTGCGCTTGTCAGCAATTCTAGAATCTCCAAGGTCGCGCCAAGTTCCCTGGTAATCCAATTGCGCACTTCAATAGCAGTCAGAGAATCTAGACCATACGATGCCATACTCCGCAGAGCATCCACATCATCGTGTGCCACGGATAGCACCTCCGATAATTTATGCAGCACTCCTTGTACGGCAATTTGGCGGGCCTCCTCATTGCTGGCTGCAGCGCGGAATGCGTTCCTGTACGAGACGACCTGTCCAGAATCGCTACCCGCAGCTCGTATCTCCGCAAGTGCTGCTGCTTTAAGGTGTGCGAATCGTGGGTCCTCTGCATAGTAAGGTAGAGCATTTGTATCACTTGGAACAAGCTTCAAGCCCGTCAGGCACTGCGCGCCGCATTTACTAGATGTAGCGACCGCTAGAAGCCCCAATACTTCAGCTTCGGAAATGGACTGTCCACCAAAATTCTTGATGATCTCATCCTCTCGCGCCGAGTTTTCGGAAATGTAGCCAGCGTCAGTCACAGCTGTAAGGTCAAGGGATACTCCTGGCAGACCTTGTGCTGCCCTGCATGAGGCAAACCCATCCAGAAATGTGTTGGCAGCAGCATATGCGGCTTGACCGCGACTACCTACAATACCTGCAGCACTTGACAAGAGGACGAAATAGTCCAGTCGCGCGTTAATAGACTCGAGTGCGTTGTGGATATTCCAAGTACCCTTAACTTTGGCACGAATCGCCGACACGTACGAGTCGTGGGTCATACCTTCGATCAATCCGTCCTGACACAACGATTAGCTACTCTTTTCTTAATGTGGGCTCAACTGAGAGTCCGCCATCAAATAAGACAAAACTTACGTGGAGCATCATGGCAGCATGGATCACACCGCATATCGGCGGGAGCGTCTCTGTGCATTCCTTTACAATCCGGTAGACGTTATCCTCGCTAGCAATATCACATGTCTTCACGACAATACTAGCCTTTTCTCGAGTATCTTCGATAAGTTGTCGCAGTTCGCCAATACTCCCTCCATTCCTCGATAGCAATACTATGTTTCGAGCACCGTGTTCTGCCATCCATCTAGCCGTACTTCGCCCTAAACCGCCAGTACCGCCAACTATGACGTGAGTCCCATCGGGATTCAAGAAATGCCTTGAAGCATAGTGCATCGCCTGACGGAAGCATTAGTAGTTCACTAGGTAATGAGCCGACCGGGGAGGTTCGTGATGGATATGATAACTTACCATCACTTTGTCACTATCCTGAGCAGAAATGACGACAGGATGTAAAGTGCCTTGTTGAATCATTCGCAAGCCCCGACTCAACTCTGTGATTCGCAATATAACCATTTTCCTTAGTGGCTTGAAGACACCTCTAGAAAAGCATTCTAGCACATCTCTAAGGATGTCTCTCATGAGACGCGGGCGTGTAACTGTTAGTTCCACTAGATTGATTGCCGTGAAGCTTACGTTCTCGGCAAGGTCAGCTCTGGTATTCCAACTGCCAATACGGGCATGAAGTGTCCCCTGCATATGGATAATACGTCCAAACTGTGCAGTATTTTCCCATACCATGCTCAGATTCTGAGTTGCCGCTGGGAAGCTGGACGAACTAGTGAAGACGACATCCATACCAATCCCTCCAGAAGCATCTCGTATTTCACGATCGAAATAGAGGCTGGCTGTATCGAAAATTTTCTCCGGTCTGATGCCGAAATACTTTGCAACAAAATCTCTTCGCTCACTACCATGGACTGCAACAAACACGTTAGCACCAAGGTGATGCGCAACTTGTATTGCAGCAAGCCCCTCGGAGCCGGTTATTTGGATAAGAACGCGGTCCGATTTTCGAACGCGTGCGACTTGGGAGAGCCCGTAAAAGGCCGCACCGAAGGCAGATGGGATTGTTGCTGCGTCCTCAAAGCTCATGCCCTGAGGAATCTTAACAACACTGCTTGCTGCTACGCAGGTGTGCGTACCCATCCGGTCATTGCCTAGGACGCAGACCAGGTCTCCAACACTAATGTCGATAACATCGCGCCCGACACGAACGACAACGCCGCTGCATGATCTTTCAGGCCTCGCAGACCCATTTATGTCAGAGTGCACGATAACATCATCTTGGCTAAGCCCACTTGCTTTAATCTCAACCTCGACTTGATCGTCATCCAAAACCTCGCTGCTTAGGGCGTCTTCAAAGTATAGATTGTCGAAGGAACCCTCCAAGTGTGTAGCAGCCACTCGTAACCAACGTCCAGATTGATGGAATTCTTGTAGATACGGCTCGGAATTTCCTAGCTCGCGGTGAACTCGTAAGTTCATATCGTCATCGACAATAAAACGTGGCACGACTAAGTCTCCGCCTTGCTCCGCGAATTCAACCTCAGTGTCGGGACTGTCTGCAAGAACGGTTCGCCTAAAAGCATCCTCGATTAGTTCGGCCTGTCCCTCGATATCCAAGGTGCTGTCTGGGTCGAGGTCTAAGGTGACGGCGATTTTGCCAAGTTCGGAGCGTGCTGTACGGAGTAGACCCAATGCCATATTCGTGCTTGGGTTCGTAGGCACTTTCGATGCTCCACAAGTCACCCATAATATGCCACCCGCTCGTATTAAAAGGGATTGGATTTGCTCAAATTCAGCCTTGTTTACTGAGGCTAGGACGGGACGGTCAAGCTCCGAGAGCACTACGAAGAAGCCACTAAAATCCCTGACATGAAGCAGGGTTGAAATTTTTGGGACAATCCCGGAGTGCAGCTTGATAACATCGCATAGTGAAGCCACAAGTGTATCGTCTTGGGTACGCTCAGTCACAATCGTCACGCGCTCCCCGTGGGACCGAAGGTGCGCATGGCTCACACCATTAGCATGACGTTCCTCTGTTTGCTCCCATTGGATCTTGTAGCATAGTTCTCTGGGATTAGGTGGCTTGCATGTTGCAGTCTTGAGCGAGCTGAGCTCCAATCCCAGTATAGAGACGGAAGGGAACTCACTATTCGCTGGCGCAAACAGCTCGGTCAATAGTGGCCCGGATTCTCCGTTTCTTGTCGATTGAACGATGAACTTGGATCCAGGGGTCCTTTCCCAATCATCGCTGATATCGATACGCACCTGTTTGATGTTAGATGGCAGTTGTGGACTTGCCATTCCATCGAACCCCAACTCGGCTTGCGATATCTGGAAAAGGGGTTCTATCGTAGCGGGGTGGATCAAATACGAAGATTCGTACGCCAACGGCATGATGAGTTTTGAATCTTGGAGGGCACCTTGAGCGCTAACCCCGGATTTGTCCATATTAACACTCACTAAGTTCCAAAAAGTATGCGGATAGCTGATACCTCCGGAACTCAAGTTAAAATAGAAGCCCGCTGCGGGTATTGACAACTGATTCTTTTCCGGTTGAACGTTTAAGTACGAATTGGAACAAGCAGCCACTTCAATATGATTTTGCAGAGGTTTTGCTTCAACAAGACCATGACAATGTTCTAGCCATCCTCGTTTTGGGTTAAAACTGGAAATCCGAAATTCGTCCCAGTCGAGTTTAGACATTCCGTGTGGCCTAAAGACCAGTACGAGTTCAACTGGCTCGTCATCCGCTAGAAATAGTTGCTCTGGGATGGATATATCACGCAGATCGAAACTACCTGCTCCGATTCCCCTGAGTGCTGCTCGCTGGCTAGCCGCCTCTACAACCATAGAGATGAAGGCTGAGACAGGAAACACAGGACGGTCCTGGATTTGGTACTCGCGTAGCCATGGCAACTCCTCTAGCCTTATGAAATTGCGCCATGTTGGCTCTAGGTCGCTGCTCCAGTCAGCCAGCGTCCCAATCAGATCATGCCGTGCAAACGGTTTAAGTCGATGTTGTCGCGTGATTCGACTCTCATACCAGTAGCGCTGGTGTGACCACGGATACGTATAAAGGAAGGGGATAATATCAGGCTTTTCAATCTCGGAGCGGTTATGGTTGATATTAAAGAAATCGATACATTCGTAACCGCGCACGAAGAGCTGGCCGGCGAGCTCTAGGGTCGTCTCAGTAGCATCACGACCTCGTATAAGAGCCGAGATATATGGTGGAGTCTTAGAAGCTGACAGCTGCATCGTCTTTAAAGTCTGCATAATCGGACCTTTGAGCGCCGCATGCGGACCAATCTCGATGAGAATGTCTGGCTTGCTCTCCTCGCAGAGTACACGCAACGCAGTGGTAAAGCGTACTGGGTTGGTCAGGTTCTCTACCCAATACTGCGGACCAAGCTCGTCCACATTAACCTTACGGGAACGAAGAGAAGAGAAGAACTCTACGTCTCCATTCGTTTTCCTCAGCTCAACGTCTGCGATCATGTTGTGGTATATCTCGGCTATCAACTTCATATGCGGGCTATGGTAAGCGACATCAATGAAGAGCTTGCGGTTGAAGATTTGCTTTCTTGTCATAATATCAGAAAGCTCATCGATAGCCTCGGTGTCGCCCGAGACGGTTGTCGAGATGGGAGAATTTTCGCAAGCTGCCACCGCCTGAAGCGGATGCCGTAGCTGTTTAAAAAGGGGTTGTAGCTCGTTTGCGCCCATACCTACCGCCATCATTGAGCCTTTCACATCTGGAAAGTTCTTCTTCAAAGCGATGATAGCTTGGCCACGATAATACGCTGCCGACATTGCCGCCTCCAGTGTTAGAGCCCCGGTTGCATATGCGGCGCCAATCTCCCCGCTTGAATGGCCCGTAACTGCAGAAGGCTTAATCCCCCATGATGCCAGGAGGTCGACCAGTCCGATCTGGATGGCACTACAAATCGGTTGACTGATATGAGCCATGCCTACACGAGAATCATCTTCGTTCCGGGTCAGCTCCTCCATCAGCGAGAAATCAGCACCAATAGACAGAAGATGCTCATCTGCTCGTTGAATAGCAGACGCGAACACGGAATGAGACTCCAGTAGCTCTCTACCCATAGCAAACCATTGCGCCCCTTGCCCCGTAAATATAAAAGCCAGTTTTGGCGACTTGGTAGGCGCGCGCTTTGGTATTACTTCAGGGCTATTGAGGGATATTGCTAATTTGCTGCACATATCAGCCACCAGAGCTATGCGCCATGGTAGGTGCGAACGCCGCTGGCATAATGTGTCTAATGACGGGTTAGTACGCGGATTTTCTTGGATGTGGACTAATATCAAAACTCACATGCTAAATTCCGAGGCATGGTACTTTGGTAAAGCTCAGCATGCTGTTCGAGGAAAATTCCCAGCTGTTCCATACTTTTTCTCGCGGCCGCCTCGTCATTGGCACTCAATATGAATAATCGCTTCATCTTAATATGGCCTTCAAACTTTTCGGGATCTAAGAATTCGATTTCGTTTTCTGCCGGCAAGGCCTTAAGGACTGCGTGTCCGTTCGACCCGCTATAACCGAAGTTGTTGACGCAGATATACTTCTTATTTCGAGGGAATGGCTGCTGTCTTTGTGGTAGCTGAATATAGAGGTCAGTACTATCCTATTCCTAACATGGTTTCGAAGAGTATTTAATGAGGACAACTGACTTTCAAGTTCCATTCCGATAATGGGATAGCTGGGTTTTCCTTCTCAAAGTCGGCGTTTGGTACGATAAACCCCTTTTCCAGCATGAGCGCGGCCTTCATGACCGATATAACACCACTAGCGTTTTCGAGGTGGCCAATATTGGATTTAACCGATCCGATAGTTAATGGTTCACTGCTATCTAGGTTTTGACCGAGTGCTTTATAAATACCTCTGGCTTCAATAGGGTCACCGACCTTGGTGCCTGTTCCATGAGCCTCGAAGAATCCGACGTCTTTGGCATCGATGTTGGCTTGTGAGAGAACATTACGTAGTAACGATTCCTGCTCTTCTGAGCTGGGTGCTACAATGCCTTCAGAGATTCTATGTAAGTCCTCTAATAGTAAGATAGTTAGGGCGAACATACATACCGACGGTTCGTCCGTTGTGGCTGATTCCCGTGTGGGAGATGACGGCCCTTACGTAGTCTCTGTCCTCTAGAGCTTTATGTAGGGGCTTGAGAATTAGACACCCTGCTCCCTCGCCTCTTGCGTATCCGGACTTGGCGCGATGGTCAAACGCATAAGTTTTCCCTGAGTCGGCAAACAATCTACATTTTCAAGTTAGATGGCTATTCAAACAACGGTAAGACAGTCTGGTTCACCTTAATTTTGCCATGGATACCCAGACGTCGGGCTGTGTGATCAGATGAGAAGCCCCAACTATGGCTTGTTCCGATTCCCCCAGCCGTATGCTCTGAACAGCCATGTGTAGCGCATGCATACTGGACGAGCAGGCTGTGTCAACAGTAAACGTAGGCCCGCATAAGTTGAAGAAGTATGATATTCGCCCAGCGAGAAATGCCCCCTGGCTACCGGTCGGGTCGAACATTGGCGAATCATCTAAATCCCTGAGATTTCCCATTCTATGTTCATTGTCGGGGCCACCAATGAAGACACCAACTTTCCGACCCGAGATAGACTCCTTGGGAATGCCAGCATTCTCGAGGGCCTCGTACGCACATTCGAGGAGGATGCGCTGTGTGGGATCTTACATACGGTCAGCTTTTCGACGCGGCCGATTTGGAAGATTATAAGTACCCATTGTCTCAGCTTCCTTACGCGTCATCTCAAAGAAGCCAGGGTCGAACATCTCGAGGTTCTGGGATAAGAAATAACCCCCTTGCGAGTTGATAGTACCCTTCTTCTCCGGATTAGGATGATTATAAGCCTCCTGGTTGAATCGATCTCGGGGTATCTTAGACCACGCGCTGCGCCCTTTGGTTAGAAGCTTCCAAAAGTCGCCCGGCGAAGACACATCGCCAGGTAGGCGACACGACATGCCGATTATGGCAATGGGCATTAACTCCTCTGACTCCATGTTGGTAGGTGAGAAAGAAGGTAGAGTGATGCCAAGGAGTGTTGGCTAGAGAAGACCAAGAGACGTAGAATGACTCGAATCGAAAATGTCAAAAAGTTATATATGTCAACAGGCGAGCAATCTCATTTTGATTGCGGCCCAGGCATAATTCGGATATCTTAAAAGCATCTCCTAGCCATCGATTGGGTTGAGTTTTCATAGCTTATCTTTCTAAAAAACTTCCAGGAACTCAACAGTCGAACGGACAATGAAGTCGGTACTCCAGCTGATGGCAATTTTCCCATTTGAGACGAACGGCCTCGTATATCAGAATTAAGTCCGATGCCCTAAAGCTCTAACTGAGCCGCTTTTGGCTTCGACTTGATACATCTACATACTCGACTCAACAAACAACTTTTTTTATAATAAGCTAAGTAGCTTTTGGCTACCATATACAAGAATTGGTGATAGTGGATGCCTTCATTACATGGTTCTTTTAAGCTATGTTGGCTCCTTTCACTGTAAGTTAGCCGTTGTGTCTCGGGAATGTCCAAATTATGTGACTGAACTTTATGTAACGGAATAGCTTAAATAGCCCACCACTATAAGCGTTGCAGTATATATCATCACAGGGTCTTATAAAGTTCAGATTTTTCGACAGTGCGACACGTCGAGAACTTAGTCTTACAGCTCAGGTACGCGGGAATAGAAAGTGAGCGCGCTTCAGACAAATCTGGACGAGTGTCGGAAGTCCGTGGACAGATCGTCGCAACCTTCAACCCGTGGGAAATAGTTCCTCGATCACAGGCTAGCGGCCCTTGTTTCAACCACAACATCCTTACTTAGCAATAGCTCCAAGTTTGACGGCCGTACGGATAGGGGTATATTCGCATGATTGGTCGCATGATTGGCACACGAGGAGAATGTTCGCGAAACTTATCTCCCAAGTGGTGCAATATATCCACCACATATCCTGCATCTTGATATACATCAATCTCTCCTGAAGGGTGTAGGCTAACAAGGGTGCAAGCATAGGTTATTATAGACGGCCACCATAGATGCTGTCAACAAGACACCCACATGGCGATCGTCACTTTATGTGAGTTTACGAGTGGTCCCCACGAGCGGCGAGACAGTATTGGAAATTGGTCGTCCGACGGTGGTGGTCTTAAGAATATTACTGGGTACAATTCTCGCTCAAGCCATGATATATATCATCAACAGGCGTACGCCATCCGGACCTACGAAAGGCGTAACTCACTTCCCTATCGATAACCTAGTAGAAGAACAGCTAAGACGCGCGTCCCTTCCAGCTGAACACGTCGTCGACGGTACTTTGGTAAATTTCGTTGGACGAATTAGGCTGATAAGAAGCTCGGGTGAGGAGAAAACGAAGATACGAATTCTCTTACACTCTTCGTCACTATGAAATTCCTCTGCCTGCCCGGCGCGTACGGCAGCGCCAAGGTGCGTAAACATCTACCTATGTTAGGTACCTAACCTATTTATCTATCTAAGCAGCCGTCGTCACAACGGCGTGCTAACTATAATAACAACGCGCAGAACTTTGGCGTCCAGCTCGGGCCCTTCGCCAAGCACATGGAGGACCGGGGCCTAGCGACCTTCGCCTTCACGCAGGGCGCGCACGAGGTAGAGCCGCCGCTAGGCTGGGAGAACTACTTCGGGTCGCGCCCGCTATACCGGTTCGTCGAGGCGGCGGCCGGCGCGGGCGACGCCTTCGAAGTCGTGCGCCGCGTCCGCCATATCCCGCGCGGCCTGAGCCCCGAAGCGACCCTTCGGCTGTTCAAGCCGCCGCGCCCCGTCGCGTACGACTGGCGCGCCTTTCGCGAGGCTCTGGACGGGCTGTTCGAGACCATCGAGGCGAATGGGGAGATCGACGGGCTGATTGGGTACTCGGAGGGCGCGATGATGGCGGCGTCGATCTGTGCCGAGGAGAATAGGCGGTGGGAGGAGAGGGGGGTGCCTAGGCGTATTAAGTTCGCCATATTCTTCGCCGGCACGCCTCCCCTAGTCGCCCAAGGCGACGGCTTCGTAGCCCGCCTGGCAGACGAGTACGGGACGTCCATCTCGATCCCGACGTTCCACGTGTTCGGGTCCAACGACCCGCTGGTATACTCGTCCGTCGCGCTGTACAACGCGTGCGAGCCGGACGCGGCGCAGCTGTACGACCACGGCCTGGGCCACCTCGTGCCGCGCGACGCCGACAACGTCGAGCAGCTGGGCGACGTGCTTGCCGACGTCATCACTCGGATCAACAAGGAGACCGAGAAAGAGAAGCTTTCTGCTGCTTCTGCCGCCGCCGCCGAAGCCGAGTCCGTGTCTGCGTCCGACACCGAGCCCCCCTCCGCCGACGAGTATGCCGACGAGTCCTCTGCTACTACACCCTCGTCTGCTGCGTCTAGCGATGAGTCGTCGGATCTGGATTCGCGCTCTAGTAACGGCGTTGGGGTTGGGTCTGAGGGTATTGCTGTTACGGTTTAAAATGGACTTAACTACTACTTAGGAAATCTTCAGGGGAAAACGGGGAGTTAAGTTAAGGGGAAGGAATGACATAAGAAGAGCAACTCGCCGCGTTCTTACGTACTATTTTCCCTAAACTCGAATCTGGCAATGAATGCACTTGATTTCGTGGTCTTTGGAATTTACCTACATAGTATACACCCTCGCGTTTTAGAAATTTGTTAGTTTTAAGATTACCCTTAGTTAGTTAGTTAGTTATTTCTCCAATCAAGAGTTTTTGTTTTTACGCATTACTACCTAACACACAACTCTCACAACGAGTACGTGGAAATATATATTTTTAGTTTAGTGTTTAGTGAATGGGTTATATATTTTGGTTCGCCTGATATACTTCATCATCCCAGAAAGTCGTGGCCCCATGAACTCTCTCATTAAACCGTCACTGAAACCTGATTCCGTTTCCCCCTAGTAGTCGCAGGTCTCTCTCCCCTATGTATAAGGGGCGACGACCCACAATCGCTAGCCCCCTTTTTATAGAAACAACTGACCAATACCGTGCGTGCGTGCGTGCGTGCGGGTGTGGCGACAAAGCCCGGCCGCCTCAGCTCATATGACAAGACATGCATGGCCGGGCTTTTTTCTTTTTGACAATAAGGAGAGGGAGGTATAAATTATGTACAATACTGGGTACAGTGAGCAGGATGACGACGGCAAATTACTAACGATTCGTCGTTTGGACCTTCAGGTTCTCTAGGTCTCGGGGGCAAACGTATGCAGACCGACCTCCAGGCGCTTTTAGTAGTGGTTTCCGTATGAAGCCGAAATATGATTTGCCCAACTTCCAAAACATTTCCTAGTAAATCCGGGGTGAGTAGAGTCGCTCCGTGATACCCTTTGGTGTGAAAGGATGCGTATATTAACTGCTCAATGCTATGGTCTAGCGGCCGCCCGCGAATGCGCCGGCCCCCATGCTGGGAGCACCCGCGCCCATTCCTTGAAGCTTAGCCGCTAATTGAGGATACTTTTCTTGGACTTGGATCTGTGTCCGCGTAGCCTCGGCGTATGAAAGCGCATTGACGATCTCCCCAGGTGTTCTAGCAAGCTCAGCTGCACGCTCAAAGTACCTAAGTGCCTCCGTGATCTTGCCCTGTTGAAGGAGGAGTTGCGCCATTGTAGCAACGGCAATATCGCATTCAGGATCAACTATAGCCAGTTAGCATCTGATTTTCATCTGATTTTCATCTGATCTAAAAAAGTGTCCTTACTGATTAACGCCTTCTCGCATAACTTTTCTGCTTCCGCAAATTCCGACTTCTGTTGGAAGACAGCCAGGGCCTTGTTAATAAGGGGTAATACGTTCATCGCCAAAGGCTTCGTCTGCTTTTCCATCTCCATAGCGGTGTCGAATTTCTGAATGGCTTCGTCATACTTGCTCTGGTCGAGGAGAAGCTCTCCGTAGTAGTTGTACACATCGGGCACCTTGTCGAAGTTCTTAACACACCGACGGAACGTCGCCATAGAGGATGCCACGGAGCCCATCTTGTATTGCGTTACACCAAGCTGGATATGTGAGAATATGAAGGAAGAGTCGAGATCGATCGACTTTTGGTAATCCTTAGCAGCATCTTGGAATTCGCCGTGGATAAAGTGCAACTGCGCACGGTGATAATAGATGTCCGGATCGCTATCGTTTTGGCTCAAAGCCTGCTCTAAGTCTGCAGCAGCACTGGCTCGGTCACCTGCAACCAGATCAGTTTCAAGTCATCTTCCGTGATACCTAACACCGGTTACTTACCCATTTCCAAGTGCATGCTTGCACGCTTGACGTAGCTTTGAGTATACGACGGATCGAGCTCAATACTCTTGTCCATATCCTGCAAAGCTTCCTCTTGCGCCCCACGTAGATTTCTAAATGTACCCCGTAGGTTGTAAGCAAGTGCCTCGTGCTTATCCAGATCGCCAAGTTCCAGAGCCTTTTCGAACGCATTTGCGGCTTCTTCGTAACCTTCGTGAGTTTTCTTCTCCATGGCTTTCAATCCGATTTGCAGCTGCCCTTTCCCAGTTGATTCCGGCAACTCCACGTCATCCTCCAAACCCTCAGGACGTGGCTTCGCTCGGAAACTCTGGATATAATTGGAGACGAAGGTAGGGCTGGGTAGCTTGTTGGGATCCTTGGACTTCATGATTTCCTCAGCCTTCTGCTCGGCAACCTTCTTCAGCAATCGTTCGACAGCATTGGTACTGGATTCGGTCTTGAACTCGTCGATAATACAGCTAGCAGTGTAATCCAGGAGCGATTCGCTGAACTGAGATAGATGCTCATAAGCATTAGCTCTTCGGTTCAGAGCTTTTACATATGTAGGGTCGAGGCTGATAGCGGCGGTGGTGTCCTCGACGACCTTATCCCAGACAGATTGGGCGTTGTAACAGGCAGCCCTATTGGAATAAAAGATAGAGTCTGGTTTGCAGAGGATGGCCTTGGAGTAGAGATCAATAGCTCTGTCATAGTCTTTACTGCCGTAAGCTTTATTTCCAGCGTTCTTTAACTGCAAGGCATAGTCGCGGCGCTGCTCATCAGTGAAGGTAGCGACAGTGGTCTCGTTGATCTCGGGTAATTCATCGGCCGCTTCTACTGTTGGGGCCTTCGCTTGTTCACCTGCTGGGACAGTTCTGGATGCTTCGGCCTGGCGCTCTGCCTCCTTTCGTTTCCGCCTCTCCTTCTTGCTGGGTTTACTTTGCGAAGCAGACCTCGACTTTTGCTAAGTACAAATATAAGCTGGCTATCCTAGTTATATCCTAGTTAAGAAAAAGATGTCAAAGAAATGAATAACATACGGCATCGCCATTGAGATAGTAGACCACACCAGCACTAGTGACGACAACAGCTACACCAGCAATGGTATAAACAAGCGCTTTGTTCTCAGATGCCCAATTGGTAAAGCGGTCCCAAAGGGAGGGCTCTACGGGGATAGCAATGGGTTGGGCTATGGGAGGCATCGGCGGCGGAGCTGCGGAAGCACGAGACATTACGGTGGAATCGGACGGATGTTGTCAATTTTGATTTCGAGGTGGGGAACAAGTGCGGCAACCAGGGTGACAAGCAGAAAAAAAAAAGGTGACTTGATAAGTCGAGGTTGTAAGGTCAGTCGAGTCACAGGACACACAGCAGACACAGGGTCGAGAATAATAATAGCGATGACGATTTGTTATTGTAGGTATTTTGGTTGCGGATAGCTGTGTAAGAAGCTTTAGTTAATCAAAATTCAGTAAGTTGTTATTATCATTATTACCGATCAAAAAACACTTTGCAAGCGCAAAAAAAAAAAAAAAGTTTACTTTACAAGTACATAGTATCTTTTAGTGTGACCCAGTTTAACATGCGCTGTGCTCTAAAAGCTTCGCCCCTGGTTGGCCCGCAATCCCTTCGTCATCAATATCATCAATCGGAGAGCTCCATAATGAGGTATGTTGACAGCAACAGCCCACCCCTCCCAGATGGATCCTTCCTGCCTTCCTGGGTATTGTACTTTGTACCTGCTTATCCCAATTGAAGCACTGAAATGTCTTATGTACTGCGGAGTACCTGACGTAAACGCAACATTGTTCAACCTAGCAGCCTCGTGTCTAAACGCCCACTATGTATGTACGTATGTATGTACATACGTGTACCCACCGCATTCGTTATCCCGGGAGATACGAGATACATATGTCCAGATGTCTTAGTAGTGCCATGTACTCGGTAAGAGGTATATACGGTATTAACATCCACTAAGCTTCTTGCATATTTAGCACTTACATCGTACATATGCAAGTATTTGATAGCTTCACTCAAGCTTGAAGATCGCAAGCGAGGCTAACAGACTATATACAATGGACGATTTTCGGATCTTCACATCTATACGATATGACCCTGCTCTTTTAAAAGTCCCAGAATTAGGATATGCTAATACCGGATGGAATCAGAATTATTCCCCCTTCTATATGCTTGACTTACACCGAGACCGCATGCTAAGAGCTGCCGTCTACTGGCAATGGTCAGCTGCAGTCGCCGCCATTTCTGGCGAGGAAGGCTTGGGGAACCTAGAAAGGTTTCTTCAGAGCATTGTTAGCGAAGTTGGCAGTGGCCCCCATCGAATAATGCTTAGCCTAGCTCAGGACGGGACCCTAGATTATCAAACCTCTCCTCTTCCAGAGACACATCTGAATAATCTATATCCAGAATATCTGCCGAGCCTAGATCGTGAGGACTCAGCCCAAGGAGGAGGCGACAAGGTTCCAATCAAGGATCCTATTTACGACATCTTCCTTGATAGCCAGAAGACTTCAAAATCCGAGTTCACTCATTACAAAACTACTTTCAGAGATATGTATAATGATGCAAGGAGACGGGCTCAAATAAATCTAGGCGACAGGAAAGAAGTGCTCCTCGTCAATGATGATGGGCATATTATGGAGGGTAGTATTAGCACCCCCTATTTCTGGAGAGACGGAAAATGGGTCACTCCCCCTATTCCCACGCAATATCGCGCTTCCGAAGGGAGCGGTGGAAATGACGGCACAACAAGGAGATGGGCTTTAGAGAGGTAAAGTTGAATCCACCTATCCTTAGCATTGGTCTAAGTCTTAAGCAGCCGATGCTAATTGGAACAGGAATCTTGTTGTCGAACAAGTCGTTCCTGCGGAGTCGCTGGTCGACGGTGAAGAATGCTGGATAAGTAACGGCCTTCGGGGGTTCATTTTTGGAAGAATAAAGCTACACTAATTTCCGCGGTGGCATCCTTCACATGTTATCTCTTAAATTTTTGGCCTTGTGCAGCTGAGCCTCAACCGGGTTTAATATAACTTTGACACTTACCACCTGGTACAAAGTTTCACACATTCGGCAGATTAGTAGTCGAGCTCTAACTTGTGTATAATAAAATAAGGAAGGAGGTAGTTAGAGATAATAGAATACCGGTAGTAGTCTTTTTATCGGAATAGCTTACATAAGTGTAGATGTATACTTTTGTCTAAAAGGATGGAGCTATAGTAAGGTTAGGTAGTTCTCACGGAAGGAGTTCCCCTTAGGAACTACTCCAATCAATACTCTTTAACAAAGCACATTATATATTATCAAGGAGGTGCTCTGGACATTCAGAACCCGAAACAAACTGTATTACGTAGTCTCAATTCCACGTTTCACCGTCGCTTCCACTTGATATAATTTGATATAATAGTATGCAAGAGCGAGGTTGACAGTCGCCGATTATTTAAGATGGACATACGACCCCGTCAACTAACCCTATTGTTTTCTCTATTATCCTCTATCTATTTTCCTCATTTAACATATACGTATCATAGAACAATTACCTATCACCTATATTCCAACCAACATATACCTAGTAATTCCATTTCGTGTACAAGACCATCTGGTGTCAACAGTATTCAATAGCACTTGATCAAATCAACTGAACGCCACGATGAATGCCCTTTACGCTGCTCAGAACAAAACCAAGCAGGACCTTGGCCTCTCTAAGGTCAAGATTATTCACAACCAGAATTACAAGCGTCATGGCACCAAGTCCTACGTCCACGCATTAAACCGTTTCGGTTTTCAGCCTACCTTACCAGGTCCCTATTTCCATATCGACAAAGTTAGACAACATGGCCTTCTCCCCGAAGAACTCAAGGCAGCCCTTGGTGGTACTCTACATACACGGAAAACCCTAGTCAAGAAAGTCAAACCTGAAGACGGTGATAAGACTACAGAAGTCACTGCAGAAGATCAACAGAACGACTCCATGTATATCTGCGAGGTGAAAATCGGCACTCCGCCCCAGAAACTGCTACTTGACTTCGATACCGGCTCTGCTGATACTTGGGTTCGTTCGACTCTCCAGCACAAGGCTGACCTGACCAAAAACAACGCCTTCGACCCTAAAAAGTCCGAGTCCTTCAAGAAACTCCCTGGAAAGAGTTGGAAGATCCAGTATGGAGATGGCTCAACAGCTTCCGGTGACTGTGGCAGCGATACACTCGTCATTGGTGGCCTAGCCATCAAGAATCAGACGATTGAGTGTGCCACCAAGCTATCCAAACAGTTCTCCCAGGGTACCAGCGACGGTCTCCTTGGTCTCGCCTGGGGCAAGATCAACACGGTCACAGACTCCGGTGAGGCTGACCCCCAAGCCACTCCCGTTGAGAACATGATTAAGCAGGACGACATCCCCAAGGAATCCGAGCTCTTCACGACCGCCTTCTATAGTTCACGTGACAAAGATCCCGACTCGTTTTACACATTCGGTTTCATCGACGAAGAACTTGTCAAAAAGGCTGGCCAAGATATCCACTGGACGGAAGTCGACAACTCCGAAGGGTTCTGGTCCGTCTCATCCGAGTCCTATACTATCAACGGAGAGAGCGTCGACCTTAGCGGCAACACTGCCATCGCTGATACCGGCACCACGCTGGCACTAGTGTCAGACAAAGTCGCTAAGAAGATCTACGATCAGATCCCCGGTGCGACCTACGATTGGCTCAACCAAGGCTACATCTTCCCGATCGACGTGAAGGCGGACGACATACCCGAGGTCAAGGTGGCTATTGGCGATAAGGAATATTTAATCCAGAAGGAGGACTTGGCCTTTGCTCTGACTGACGACAAGAAGTACTGGTATGGTGGTGTTCAAAGCCGTGGCATGATGCCCTTTGATATCCTTGGCGATACATTTTTGAAGAGTGTCTACGCTGTAAGTATAGTCTTTCGCATCTACTTCCGCCTCCACTTCTATGGTCCCTGGTCTAAAAATATTTACTTACTTTATTACCGATAGATCTGGGACCAAGGAAATCGGCGTCTTGGTCTAGTCCCCAAGATTGAAGAGGCGCAGAACCTCGAGCCGCCGCCCGATAGCGACGACGACGACGATGGCGGTGAGAAGAAATGGGTCACCAGCATCGATCTCCTGTCAAAGGACGAAGTTCAACCAGAAAGCGAGCCCCAGTAGACTTCCAATATTTCTACCGTCGAGGATAAGAACCCGGATATACTGGAAAGGGGCAGGTCTCGGGCTAGATGGGCTGTAGGCTGATTAAGGCACGCAATAGGACCTGTAACTTTACTTCGCTGCAGCTTGCGAGTCCAATACTGGTAGACTACGGATACCTAATTCACGCCTAGATAGAATGGAATTGTAGCACTTACCCCTATTTTTAATATACTACTACTAGTTTTTGGTAAACTTAGTGTGTTGGTTTTCCAAGACCGCTGGATTAATTATTATACGGCTATCTGCCATAGGTAATCATAGCCGGGGCGGATCAAGTAGATAGATACATAACCTTGATAGTCATTATAGTTCCAGTTCAACACCACCGCCCTATCCCCTAGAACAGACAGCCATTTCCATCCATCGCATTATAGAAATCAAAGATTCAAGCGATCACATTACACCCAAGAGATAAATAACTCAAGCAGCAGAAGGGGTTGAATAGGTAATTTAGGTTTCCTACGTCCGCAACCGATTGGGCTACCTAGTCACGTCTTTCGCCTCCCTCCCCGTAATCGTATCGTAGTGCAGTGTAGTGTAGTGTAGTGATCTAAGCATCGACAACGCGCTCGTGATTCGCTTTGGCTCCCCCCCTAACTAACTACTGCCGCCAGTCGTTCCTCTCCTCTCCTCTCCCCTCCTTCTGCTCCCCCGTACCTACGGAGAAAAAGAATTCCCCACAGCGACGAAACGAACACGGACATGATTGATTGATCCTCCCAAGGCCATCAACGACAACAACAGCTCAACTCGCTTCGTTCATGCGGTAGAAAAAAAGGAGTAGGTAGCTAAAACCAAACCAAAAAAAAGCAGCAGCAGTAGCAGCAGTAGCAGCAGTAGCAAAAAAGCAAAATGTTCAAATGGCAACAGTAATCAAAGCACGAAAACTCCACCGAACGCCTATGCGGTATGGGGCCCCTTTCCCAGAAGTTTGTTGGAAAAACACGATAAGAGCCAGAAGAGAGGAGGGGAAAAAAAAGAGGAGGGGGTGGATGGATGGATAGGATAGGTGGTTAGGTGGTTAGGATAGGCGAGGAGGAGGAGGAGGAAGAAATGCCACCACCGGCTCACGAAAACCAATTCTAGGATAAGGTTTAAGAAGGCTGGCTAGCCTCTTGCGAAATCACTATAGTACCGCTGAGATAGAAGGGTGATTGATGGATGGAGTCTTGTATATTGCTTGCCGCGGTAATCCAAGGGGATGTGAAATAGGAACAGCCATAAGACGGTATTTAGCCAGACCAAGACCTCCCAACCCCCCCTTAAGCGACCTACGCCGAAGCTAACCAATGCCGTTGACGTGCGAATCTGCACGATCAAGTTATCCCGCATTCCACTGCTAGGTGAATTGAAGCAATGCTATCGAGACCACATGGAAATAAATAGCTCACTGCTGGTAGTAGACAACACCAGGTCCCGACGGAGGGTAGTAGTAGCCATCCGGGCTCGGGGTAACCATACCGTTCATGCCTACGACTCCACCGGGCATCGGATAGCCCTGTGGGGTCGGGTAAGGGTTATATGTAGCCATAGGGGGTAACTGAGATGCATCATAGTAGTAGACCATGCCATTGACTTCTTGAGCAACCAAATTGGAGTTTGGTGTACTCTGCCCGGTTGGCTGGCTGGCAGCGGGCTCGCCCTGGGTTTGAGGTTGTTGCGCTCCCGGGACGAATGCAGGTGCAGTGGCAGATGGAGCTAACGCACCTGGATAAGAAGCTTGGGGGTAGTAATAGCCTTGCTGAGGCTGCATCATCTGGTATGGCTGGTAGTAGTTCTGCTGGGCGAACTGGTTTGGCTGGAAAGGGGCAGCGTGGATGGCGCGCTCGGGAATTTGGGAGAGCGGCGTGCCAGTCGAATGTTGAGACTGGTATGAGGGATGCCGGACGTGAGATTCTTGACCTAGGCTTGTCGATACCTGAACAGGAACTTGCTGGTGGAAGGCCTGTTGATACGGTTGAGACGGATTATGCTGCATTTCTGGCGACTCGATGCCGGCTACTGAGACAGTCTTCTGCGGCCGAGGCTGATGCATAGGGATAGGTACAGGTCGATTCTCCTGGAACACCGGCCGTTGGGGTTGGGGTGGGGGCTGCGTTTGTTGCATCGAAACGTCGCTTATAGCAGGCTGGCCAACTCCAGCGAGCCCTTCTGCTGGTGCACCATCAACAGCGGGAAGTTGTTGTTGTTGTTCAGCTCGACCTTGCGGAGGAAGCCTGACAACAGGCCGAACGGCGTCATAGGGTAATGGCGGCCGCGACATAGTAGAACCGGTCGGAGATACCAGAAAGTCTCTCCCCAAATCAGGGGCAATCGAAGACCTTCGGCTAAGAGCGATGCTCGGTGTATACGCGCTACCAGCGTACACACTCCCCCCAAATACGCTCGTCCTCCTGGAAAACCCGCCAATAGATCCAAGACCAGATCTTGGCTTGCCCCGCAATCGTTGGTTCGGACGCATCGCTCGGGGTATAAAGATAAAAGACCTGTCGGTGGCTGGAAAGATATATCGGGGAGGGAAATCAGGCAGGGAGATACGGACAGGCTTGTCGCGTCTCAATGGTGGTCGGTGGTCTGGTAATTTTGTATACTGTCGTACTTGTATACCGGGGAAGATGATGGGCTCCTTTATACCTGGGAAGTAGACCCTGATCTGTACATTGCCAACATGCTTATCTGTAGCCATGGTCCGGTTGATTGGTGTAGTGCTGGCTGGGCAGGTGGGAATATAACCGTCGCCGTTAGGTGGGCCATCGTCAGTAAACGAGGGCCGCGGTTGTCGGGTGTGTATAGGCTGTGCGACTGCCTCGTGCATATCATGTGCCCAAGGGCCATTTGTCGTTGGATCGGCTGGACCATGGATTTGATGACTATACATGTTAGCTAACGAAACAATATAAAGGTGCTGGCTAACAGCAACTTACTTTATGGGCGCAAAAGGACCGCCAATACCACCACGACCTCTCCCTCGAGGACCCCTACCGAAGGGGCGAAATCCGTTGGCAGAAGGGCCGGCATGTCTGTGGTCATGCATAAAGAAGGCGCCTCTGTTGGGAACAAACCACGGATCCTCGTCTCGTTTGCGCCTATATTCATCATGCTCCTTTCGTCGCTTATCAGTAGTTGGGTCTTGGGAAGAATCCGGATTCGCAACAGCAGAATTCGAGCTAACCACTATAGGTGCCGAGGACTTGGACTGAGGTTCCGTAGATTCTTCAAATTCCAGCACCTGCACCGGAGCAGCTTCGTCCGAAATGTTTAGATTGCTCATCATAAATTCGGTGTCCGATACAGCGTTTGGACCCGTCTTTCTGGGGCCCTTCGTTGGGTGGCCGCCGGAAGACTTGGTGTGCGTCCGCTTCACATTACCATTGCCATTGGCTGCTTGACTGGTCAACTTCGGAGCAGCAGGCGTTGTCGGTGAAGCCTCATCAACATTACTAGTATCACTATCGTCGGCCGGATCAGGATCCTCGGAAGCCATGGAACCATCTGTCAAGGAGTCATCGTCAATGTCGAGCTGTTCGAGGCCACCCTCATCCTCGCCTTCATCTTCAACCCGTCGGCGATGGCCGATCATCTTTCTTCGGCGGATGGCAGCTACCATGTTGAAAAAAATAATATATTGCTTGAGCTGCGCTAACGTCGATAAAAGAGTGGGTGATAGACCTCAGAGCCGGGGAAGGATGGCGGGGAGCGTCCTGGCAGAGCTGACAGCGGTGCTTGGGCACGACGTAGGCGTCGTGATGGTTATGGATCTCATGCGATGTTCGGATTGGCGGATGGAATATCGGACGACGGGCTTCCTCGATAAATAAAAACCTAAAGGCGAAATAACCGCCTGCGGTGCAGAAAAGAAAGGAAAGTTAGTGAAGAAAATCAATTAAGAAGCCAGTATGCCTATTTTCCCAGGATCCTTTTTTTTTCTCCCCTAAAAACGATGGAAAGTGTCTCTTCTTGTCGAGCCAGGTTCGCAGACGGCAGGCCAGAGAAAAAGAAGACGGTAAGGAAGAAAATAAATAAATAAAAAACAAGAACAACTTTTTATAGAAAAGCCTCGAGGCTTGTGAGAGGTGTTCACAAGCACTACGGAGGGGGTTTTATCGTGTTTATCTTTTTTTTTTCTAGGTGATGTAGTATCAAGGAGGGCTTTTTTGTTGGATGGGATAGAAGCCAAGCCAAAAGGGTTTAATATTTGGAAGTTCTGAGGTCAGGTCAGGATTCAGGTTCAGGTAGGCCTGCTTCCATGCCTTGGTGTAAGGTTGAGGGTAGGTAGTGGAGTTGTAGTGGAGAGATAGGTACATAAAACGACGATATAACGCCTAGAATAACTGAAAATACCGAAATACATGGCTAATACAGTTAGTTAGGTACAATCGGTATAGTGGGGACGAGGTAGCGTAGCAGTCAGAAAGTGCAGAGCGGAGACAAGCCCAGTCGACCCAGTCGAACCAAGTCCAGATCAGAGTCTGAAAGGTGTAGGTATTCTAGTAGTATTAGAGGTACCTAAGTACCTAACATATGTAATTCATCCTCCACCACCTGGGCGGGCAGTTACTGCTGCACCTGCCCCCTGTTATTCTTCCAATTGGGGCCAATGGGCTGAGGTGCATTTGGGTCTTAGCATGCTTGGTAAAAGGCGTCGGTACGAACAACCCGAGTACCTACCTTATCAATGAGGTTTGTTTCTCGAAAACTCTTGTCGATCTTCTTCTTTTTTTTCGGTCTACAGAGCCAATGTCTAATAATGATAGTTAGGTAAGCAAATAGAGCTTCAGTTTCTCTTTTTTTTTTATCTCTTGTTTGCTAGTTCTCTATAATTATTTATTAATATACCTATCTTATTTGCTACAACTGCATACCTACCTCGTAGGTAAACAATATACAGACATGCCAGTTAGCTATAACTACTAATCATATGTATACAATATGTATACATATTCGTCCTTATCCCTTTGCATCCCATCACCAATTCGTCTAATGTACCGTACCTTAGGGAATGCCTCTAGCTGCGTATTTTCCATTACATACGTACATTTGTCGTATGTACATACACGGTGGACGAGAATTGGTCTTCGAGGCCCTATTCCGTAAACAAAACATATCGCCCAACATAAAGCGGTACTTCCCTTAGGTATATAAGTATATCATCCACTCATACGCAGTCAATGGCCGGGTCGCCTCCGCATGCAGAATCACGTCCAAATCATCCGAGTACAACTGTAATGTACAGCACAGTCCAGGCTCCTCCCACCACTTTCACCAACCAGTCTTTACACGTATCGACGGCATGAATCATCGCCTGTACGATCCTTGTCCGTTTTTGACGATGGGTTCTTCAAAACTCCGCTATGGCCTCGCAACTGGCCTCGTAAGTCACTTGGCCTTGTCTAGCTGTCTAGCTCGTATGAAATCCCTCGAGATTTTACACGGGAGAGCAAGATCTCAAAATATGTCACAGTGTTATCCCTTATCCGCCTGCCCCAGCTGCCCAGTAGAGGGAATCCCCATTAGTAAGCTTGGTATAGCATGCCCAGACTCCTATTTATTACTGTTCCCCCTTGCGGCCTCCGGTATCGCCAACCAGTTGTCATACTTCGCCAGACGATTCTCGTGCGAAGGGCTATTAAAACGTGGATTTTACAAGCCGGCTTTTATGATGCAGGACGTTTATTTTTTACGTACGGTTTTCTAAGGCGGTTTCTCTAACATACCTCCCAGGTGCAAGTGAGCCAGCTTGGCTGCTTGGGAGGTTTGTTTAACTTCCACGTTCGTCAAGTTTTCGTTATTGCAACCACAGCCAATGAGCTGCCTTGCAACGCACATCAAGCGTTATGAAACCGTTGGGCGAATCTACAATTCGCCTTTGCCGATCTTGCTCTTACTGCCGATCGAATGCCGGCCTTGGATGTATGCAGACTATAACCTATAACAGCGCTCATTCAAGCGCATCGCAACCGCGGCCCTACAGTTCTGCAGCTATATCTCTAGTCGGTACGTATAGGTGGGCAGAGATAGCCGATAGGTAACTGAGAACTCGTCTTACCCTATAGACGAGACTACGACATAACCCGTAGCTAGGTGCTCCTTAAGGTAATATGATGGACTCTTCCTCTCTTATCAGTGTCACATTATCAATGCTCAATCAGTCTCCTAGTTTTCCTTCTAGGTCATATCGCATTATATACTGTCGATTCTAAACTTAGATGCCGAGTATATTATGATATATGATATATGTCGAGCGACATGGGTTGTAATACCTTTTCGAAATGCACACCGGCGACCATGTGCGGAAAACAAAGCTGATAATAAAGCATAGCACCAGTCTCGTAAGAGTTCCCAGATTATAGCTGTCGTACATATGCAGAACATATGGGCTTCAGTTGTGGTTACTGCTGGTTGGACCTAGCTTGGTTGGAGGTGACAACCGTAGCAACGGGACGATATTCAATAGAGCCAGAGCCATGACATCGCGGTGGATATCGCGGTTAGTAATTCTATTGGCTAAATGCTTCTAATCGCTCATATGCAGCAGTGAGATCTTGAGCTATGGTTGGATCTGAGCCCCTACAAAATAGCAAGCCTTATTATAGCGTAGGTGTTTCGCTTTGGGCCTCAGATAATATCGTTTGATAGGTATCTTCGATCGCTCTGCGTCTAGAATGGATAAGCGTAAGGCATGCCTATGAGGCCAAACGCTATTCCCCAACATCTAATGCTTTATCAGGAAGCACAGGTATGTGCTTGGCAAAATTACGTGCACCATCTGAACCCAGCTTCAGTACTTTGAGATTGTTGCCTCGAGACAATATAGTGATAGCCGGAAACATATTCTTAATCTGTGACCAGCTAATATCTACCGGCAATGGGAAGGGTCAATGGTTATTGGGGAAACGAAAGAGACTTCATAGCGCAAAACATCTATCCAGCACCAGCACTCTAGGAAATAGGAAAATAGGATTAATAGACTATTGAAATAATTATAATAGGTAAAGCATTATTAACTTATAGTGAGTTTGAACTGTAATGAGACTGTGCTCTGAGGACAACTTCGAAGAATGAAGTCAAACTTCTTCCCTTGGGAACTTACATCCTATCGGCTCTAAGGGCCGTTAAGGTGGTTTGCTCCTAAGGGCGTTGCGGTGTGGGACGGCCTCTCGCCTGTAATACCGTCTCCAGACGCCACATGGGCATAAAGATAATGCATGTATGGGGTAATCATAAGGATCAAATAGGCATCGGGGTTGCTGAGCCTGTATGTAACACAATAGTGAGGTCTCACAAATTTGGTAAGTAATCGGATCGGAGCCTGCCTAAGGTGCGAAGACCTCGGATATGGAATTGGAGAATGGGGAACGCAAGCCAAAGGCCGAAGAGTTAGTTCGTATATTCGAGAATAGCCTTGCTATGATTAGAAGCCGATCATATGACGGCCAAGAGGAATTTCGTGTCGAAAGGAGCAACCCGCAACTTCTACTACATTCGAACGTGAATGCAACTTTAGTCTTTAGGACTAGGTAGCGGTTCGGTTACAACTTGCGACTCTCTTTACAAATACAGCGGGTATAACCGAATACTTCAGCGTAACTCATTAACCTAGGACTTAACGCACAGACTATAACGTATTCCCCAGGTTGGAACATAGCTACAGCAGTGTAATGCTCGGTGGTACTAGGTATCCTGACGCTGATATATTCGGTACTCTCGGCCTCTGGTTAGACGGCATAGTTCTATTAGGGTCCTAGGGATGTAGGAAATGGTAAGGCGACCAATTGCTTTTCTAATGGACTTGGACATATCAACGCACAGCTAACCTATGAGCTGTAAAGCTATGACTTATTTCCATATGTATGTCTTGGTTAAGGAATATCTGGTCGTACTGATTACGAACATGGGCGTGATATACGATGGGGTTGCGAGGACGTATGTAGTGTCTCGCCTTTCTTCTCTTCCTAACTCCGTGGTAAGATTTCCCTAATTCAATAACGAAGATGTGAATCCAATGAAGCTATATCTAGGTAGCTTTCGGTATCGGAAGAAAACTCGGGTATCGTGAAGGAATCGACCAACGCCTTCGCTACGTCATTTGTGGTATAACCTTGGCCGATGGCGCTGCCAACCTGCACCCCCTCGGCCCCTTTATCTCGGTACGCATTGAGTGGTCATAAATGAGGCTACTCGTAAGTAACCAGGTATAATGCGCGGTATCACAGTAGATATTACATACCTATGTATGTAGCAGCTATCGTCAAAAAGCGAACTATTGAATGATACCTATTAGCTTCTTGCCTACGGTATGTATCCACGGTACTGTGTGTGACATATAAAATGCTTATAAAGATCTTAGCAAAATACATACTCAAGGCACTAATGGAGTCGAGTGTTTTGTATCCGAGGCCATGTTAGTTAGGTAGAAACTGGTCAATAGTACGGATTATGATCAAACATCAACATCATAAAATATCTACTAGGTAGTGTACGGATCCGTAAGATTGGATGAATTGCGCATTACAGTAGGCAGCCAGCCTGCAGAAGGTACTTAGGTACATAACATATAAGGTGGATACCTCCGGAAGGCTAGAGGTAGTTACCTAGGTACGTACTAATGCATCTTAGACACGTACATTCATCATTCATGCTCTAATACTTTAGTAGCATTCACTTGTCATGTAAACCCGCTTAAACCGTAGGAAAACACCTCGATTGCCGCATCAACCCAGATCAACTGACCAACAGCCTCACTTCTCCGGTTTCCACGGTCCCCACTTCTCAGTACATCCGTCATGAAAACACGGGCACGAACTTTGTTTCGCCCGTTAAATACCTAGGCTGCTAGGCTGCTTGGCTGCTAAGAGGTAGGCTGTTAGCTCCAAGCATATGCTCCACCTATTTAACTCGCTCTCTTCCCCACACCCAAAGGTGTGCCTTTATTTAGCTTGCGAAGCCACTTATCTGCCTGCATTGCGAATTGCCGCTTCGATTAGTGCATTCGCGTCCCCACATTATTCTTACGACCTCAACTCGTCAACTCTTGTCCATTTAGACACCTACTTTATCCATCTACTTATCTACCTCTACAACACACACAACACCAACGTTTAGCAAGCAGTGTTGTACCAATTTCATCTCCATACTTCTTACCAGGTGGTGTAAACAGGTAGTGTATATATTACCTGGAAAATATCGCCTGGATTTCCGTACATGTAAGTTGTATTGCTTATTACTCAACTACGACATTTACAAAACAGCATTTGGACCTTTCCCCTCCTGATTCCTGATTCCCGCTTCCCGCTTCCTGTTGTGCATTGAGTAGATCGGCGGTGTCTGCCTCGGACCACTTCTTCCTTAGCCTTCCTTACTTCCCTCATTAGACACGTTAATTCCGTCATCCCCTCACAATCATCGATTCTTTGATTCTTATTCTTGTATCATTTCCATCTCTTTTACAGCTGGTATTCATCTTACCTATATCGTTGGCCGACCATCTGTCACTTGCAAGTTGCAAGTTGCAACATACCATACATCATTCTCGTTCGTCGACATCTCTGTCCTGGCCCTTGATTGAGGCCACGATACGTACGACTGTCGAATCTGACCGCCTAAATCTAGGAAGCCCCTGTATTACAATCATTTCCCTGATAAGCGGCAACTGACCACCTGACATCTTATTAATCTGATCTTTTGCCTTATGTACGTGCGTCCGTTTGCACCACTACCCCCGACCTTCTCCAAAGCCCTTAGCAGGGCACGTACCATCTCTCCGATCCATTGGCGGACCCGACACTTCTTTTCCTCTTTCTCAACCCTCAACTAATTACTAAACTTTAACCATACTAACGAGAAGTTCTCCCCACTAGTCCGCCGGTGAAGATGGCATCGTCATCGATAGCTACGCCGTCGATAGCTACTCCGGACACCTTAATTACTCTTAAGGTTAACTTCGATGGCACGACTCGTCGTTTTAAGTTGCCTCTTCGCGAGCTTGTTCTGAGCACACTCGAAGACAAGGTAAGCGTTGTTTCGTCTATGCATCGCAAACTTCGCTTTTTCATCTAAATTTTTTTATTTTCCATCATTCGTTTCATGGAGTCTTACGCTGATATCGCTTTCGCAGCTCCGTTCTTTCCTACAGATCCCTGTTGGTACGGCTGTCATATATGAACGGTATTCCGATTCGGCTGGATCCTTCGTCGTCTTACATCCGACCAATGTTCCTGCTTACAAGCAACTCTATCGAGCTGCTAAGGCCAAGCAAAAGTTAAAGCTGCGAGTAACTACGCAAGCCAAACCTGTGCCACAGCCCAAACCCGAACCCCAACCTCAACCTCAACCTCAAGCCCAGTCTCAATCTCAGTCTCAGTCTCAGTCTCAATCCCAGTCCCAGTCCCAGTCCCAGTCCGAGCTTGTGCTCGAGTCCGTGCCCGTACCCGCACCTCTATCCGAACCGGAACCACACAAGGTCCCTAAGCCTGTTACTATTGAAGACGAGCCCGAAACAGAGTCTCGAGAAGTAGTTGAGCCTATTGCCCGTGTTCCGTCACCAACACCAGAGCCTTCTGCATCAACTTCTTCTGAGGCCCCTACTGGAATCTTAGACACTGTCCCTGTCTCCGACATTCATTCGAATCTACCGAACTTCGTTAAGTTATGGCAGAACCATGGCAGACCCAGGATCCATCTGAAACGGGATGCTGAAGGCAAAGAGGTAGTTGATCTATTGAGCTCTACGTCTTCAGCCCCGGCCGAGCCTTTGGTATCGCTAGAGTCGAGCGAAGAGAACGTACTTCGATGTCCTTTCACTCGGACTGCATCAAAGATGGCTCACACTACTGACCTAGCCTGGGAAACCCGCAAGAAAGAGACCGCTACCCCCAAGGCCCTGGAAGCTGCAGATGTTATATTTCCTAAGCGTCAGTTCACTGTTTGCTGCAATAGCTGCGACCGAGCCGTTCCCGATGCTCATTTCCACTGTTCTACCTGCGATGACGGTGACTTCGACCTCTGCCAGGATTGTGTCGACCGGGGCATTACCTGCTACAACGAAGGCCATTGGCTCATCAAGCGGTTTCTTAAAGATGGACAGGTCAATTACAGCACTACTCACATTGCTCCCAAAACCTCCCGTTCCCAAACAAGCAAGGCTCCCGTGAGCCTTCCTATCAGACCCGCTGAGAATGCAAACTTGGTACCTCCAACAAGAGTCTGGGAGGCCACTTACAATGACCGCACCTGCAACTGTTGTGTTCAGGATTTCCCCGGAGAGGACTTCCTTCACTGCACTACATGCGATGATTATGATCTATGTAAGAGTTGCTTTGCCAAGAACAAGCATGGTCATCACCCGGCACATGGGTTCGCTCCTGCTGTCAAGGGTACCGCCTTCGATCATGATGTGTCTTCGCTCTTGTCTCCCGGCCGAAATGCTGCCCACAATGCCATTTGTGATGGCTGCGACAAGTACGTCCGAGGTGTCCGATACAAGTGCCTAGACTGCCCTGATTGGGACTACTGCTCGGAATGTGTAATGAATGCCGACTTCATTCACCCCAATCACCGTTTTGTAACAATCTACGAGCCCTTGACTGATCAGCCATTCCGCTCCTTCATGCGTGGTACACACTACGGCATCTGCTGTGATGGACCGCTATGCTCGGCGTCCCGTGCTCAATCGAGATACATTGTCGGTGTACGGTATAAGTGTGCTGTCTGCCACGATACCGACTTCTGCGCCAACTGCGAGGCTAGCCCCTCTAACACGCACAATAAGACGCACCCATTGATCAAGTTCAAGACTCCGGTACGTCATGTCAGCGTTACTACTACCGGTGAGCATGAGGATGGTCACCGTCTCCCCGCGATGGGAGACCGCGCCCGGCCTATCACCGTTGACAATGTGGCTGCGGCTGCTCCAGCAGACGAGAGCATTGCTGCCACGCCTGTGCAAACCGTAGTCGACGTGCAACCTACCGAGCAGCAATCACCCAAGACAGAGGAGACGGACGAAATCAAGATCAAGAGTGAAGTAGTAGAACCTGAGGTAGTCGCCTCGATCGAGAAGAAGCCAAACTCAGATGAGCTCATTGCCGTCTTCCTACGGGACACCATTACCGACGGAACTGTTCTACCACCGAATCAGACTTTTGAACAGGTCTGGGTTGTTCGAAACGAAGGTACCGTTCCCTGGCCGGCCGGCTGCTCTGTCAAATTTGTTGGTGGCGATTACATGGGTGCCGTCGACCCCGCACACCCCGCCGGTATTCACGAACTGGTGTCAGCCTCGGAGTCAACCGTCTGCTACAACACTCTTAACCCGGGCCAGGAATTCCCTTTCACTGTCTTGATGCGTACTCCGGATCGGGAAGGCAAGGTGATCTCGTATTGGCGATTGACGACCCCGGATGGTGTCAAGTTCGGTCACAAGCTGTGGTGTGACGTAACTGTTCAGGCACCTCGTGTTAAGGCTGCCTCGGAAGAGTCGCAGCATGAACTTGATGTTATCACCAGCCCAGCATCAGGCTCTAAACTGGCGGAAAGCCAAATGATTATTCCTAAACTAGAGCACGAATCGCCAGCTGCTAGCATGCACGAGAAGGCTCAGTCAGAAAGCGAACTGGAGGCAGAGACGGCCACTCTCGCCCAGTCGGTACAGGATTCGCAGGATTCACAGGATGACGACTTTGAAGACTGTGGCGAGGACGAGGAATGGGCCGAGTCTGAGAATGGATTTATGACGGATGAAGAGTATGACATTCTCGATGCGTCGGACGAGGAGTATTTCTCAGAACAGCACAAGTCGGCGTCGAGGAAGTAAAAGCGTAATAAGCATGCTGGGCACAATTGGGGGAGGATAAGGACTCGGTTGCAGTGTGATGTTGGGTGAAGGTTCACCATTTTCCTCTCACGGGTGTTACTTGTTTCGGAAGTTTTCGATTCGGCGATGGCTTCTCTCTTCCTGGCTATGGATCTCCATGGCTTTTACACACACATCTCAACTACAGTCCACTCGTTAGATAATAGGAACAGATTGGCACGCGCAGGAGCTGTAGGGATAGTTTCCAGTAGCTGAATTTACTCGTGTTTTTTCCTCAGTTGTGGGTGAAGTGTCTCGTAATGTTATGTTGTTGTTGTTGTTGTTGTCAGTGTGTATAGTCCAACTTGTATTTCTAGCAACTAACTATGTATAATTGTATTCCTTGTTTGCGGTTCTAATGTATACGTAAGTGCTTGGTAGTGAATATCGGATTACTGGATTGGACCCCACTCTTGGACCACTCTGATATTCAGCCGCGAGGAACTGGAAGGGTCCCCCCACATACAAGCCGGGATCCACTGATTTTCGGGCTATTTGTAGGTAGTAACAGGGGTTGGTTACAGGCGACGGTTCCCTAAAAATGTTAATTCATTTTGGTGCAAGTTGTCCTCTAATACTCTAACCTTAATAGCTACAATCTCACTTGCACCTTTTCAACCTTTTACCTCGTCAATCCGAACTACCACGACTTCCTCTAGTCCAATTTGAAATTTGAAATCGACCCGACCAGTCCTGATAGAGAATATCCTACGGCCTCCGAATTGAAGCAGATGCCGTGCTAGCGCCGCCGTAGCTAGACAGTCTCGAGGAGCCTGCAGCAGTGCGCTGGAGAAGGTCTGAATCATGAACGGCTATAACGAGAAAAGTCACCACTACGATGACGAGCCCGAACCTGGCAGCTTCGTCAAGGCTTTTGATGCTTTTCGTAAGCGCGCCTGTTTTTAATCTCACTTATCCCTCCCTCCTTACTATTCCAAGACCCCTAGCTAACAGGTAGTAATCTTGCAACCCTAATAGCGAAAGCCAAACCCCAGTATGTAACGCGCACGTCGGGCGGAGGCAAGTGGACCGTCGTCATGTACATCATCTCGTGCGTGCTGCTATGGTCGGAAGTGGCGCGGTGGTGGCGCGGCGAGGAGACGCACACGTTTGCGGTCGAGAAGGGCATCGGCCACAACATGCAGATCAACCTCGACATCGTGCTCAAGATGAAGTGCAAGGACCTGCACGTCAACGTCCAGGACGCCTCCGGCGATCTCATCCGCGCCGCCTCCCGCCTGCAGGAAGACGTGACCAACTGGGGCCAGTGGGTCGATGCCAAGGGCGTTCATCGATTAGGTCGCGATAGCCACGGGCGCGCTGTTACGGGTGCGGGTTGGCACGAGGAAGGGTTTGGCGAGGAACATGTTCATGATATCGTTTCTATGGGGCGCAAGAAGGCTCGTTGGGCTAAGACTCCTAGGTTATGGGGTGCGGAGGCTGATAGCTGTCGTATCTATGGAAGTCTGGATTTGAATAAGGTCCAGGGCGATTTCCATATTACTGCGAGGGGCCACGGTTACTCTGACCCGGGGGTGCCTACGCATTTGGACCACAGTGGTATGTCTGATTCTTCAAGCCCCTTTTCACTTCGCTCGGAGCGAACACTAACTAACCACTAACCCGCCTCCTTAGCCTTCAACTTCTCCCACGTCATCTCCGAGCTCTCCTTCGGGCCATACTACCCGTCCCTAGTCAACCCCCTCGACCGGACCATCAACATCGCCGAGACGCACTTCTTCAAGTTCCAGTACTTCATGTCGGTGGTGCCCACCATCTACAGCGTGCAGCGCGGGTCCGGGTCCGCGCCCGCCGAGCGCACCATCTTCACGAACCAGTACGCCGTCACGGAGCAGAGCAAGGAGATCGACGAGCGCATGGTCCCCGGCCTCTTCTTCAAGTACGACATCGAGCCCATCCTGCTGCACGTCGAGGAGCGCCGCGACGGCTTTATTACCTTCGCTATTAAAGTCGTTAATATCCTGTCTGGCGTCTTGGTCGCGTGTAACTGGGGCTTCACGCTGACCGAGTGGGCGCGCGAGGTCGTTGGCCGTAGGAGGAGGCAGATCAGCGAGGGTGTTATCGGTGCGAAAGGCGGGTACGACGAGTAAACCAAACCCTTCATTCACGAGGTTGGCCCTTGTAGTATGTACCACTAGCTAGCCGGGAAGAGGGAGGCGTGAAAAGGAGGGGGCAAAGGAAGAAAAGAAGACGATTTGGTTTTGGCATCTTGTTTTGGCTAGGCAGGCATTTTCTTGTTCTAGAGTCATGGAGTTCGGAGCAGTATGGCGAGGTCGGTATATATAGTATCAATTATCAACACGAATGATTCAAAGTCAATTGCTTGAGACAACAACACACTTTGATATATACCCCAGATATAAATATTTACCCCCGACACAGCCTACATTAGATACCTACGTATATTGCTACATTAAACCTAGCTAACGTTCTACTTTCTTTCAACGTATACTCATTCTGACTCCCCCTTTCCCCTAATAAAACAGACTCCTAAACAGGTACCTATGTGTGTGTGTAAGTCGGCCGGGGACTTCCCCAGCTAGCTCTTCGGTGTTTGATATTGATTGATGCCTTTATAACGTATATTATGTGCCTGTTATTAGGCAACCTATCTACCTATACCCTCTTGGATATTAGTAAGAAGAAAGAGGAATTCGAGCCGAGCCAAGCCAAGATGTTTGGCTCCAAGTTCACGCATACTGCTTCTCCAAATAGGTAAAGGTTGGGTCAAATCGACTCGACTCGACTCGCTATTGCAGTAACAGCGCATCTTCGTCAAGCCGCCCGAACAACTCCTTGATTTCCTTCTCTATGACCTCCAGCTCCTTCGCCAGGTGGCCCGTAACCAGGGCGTAGGCGTAGAGGAGCGCGTAATCCGGTTCCTCTACGACGATGTCGCCTAGTGCCGGGACCCTGACCCTGAGACCACTTTTGGCGCTTGCATCCCCGTCACCATTCTCCGCTGTGGTGGTGGATAAGGCTTTACCGCCATCCTCCGCCGTGGCTTCGATGTGGTTATACTCCTTTCTAAATCGGAAGATCTTGCCTAGTAGCTTGTCTCGGATAACCATGATACTCGGAATGACGTCCGTCAGGGGGTATTCGAGCATGATGCTGGATGCGAGCACCTGAAACACGTGGCATATGCGCGCGCACAGCTGCTCTCGCTCCTCCGCTGTGTAGTACAACAATGCTTTCTCGCCGTCGCTAAGGCGGCCGTGCTTCTGCGTCACCAAACTCATAGCGTGGAACGCGTCGAGCGCTCGTTGCGTCGCCGACATAATACGCCCGTACGCCTCGAAGGGGAATGGCCCGCTAAGTTCGTACTCGTTCTTTGCCGCGACGCGAAGCGTCTGCAGCTGCGCTGCGTACCGCTGCATGGCAGCCTGCTCGCCTATCTTCATGTAGCTCGTAGCTGCAGTCTCGTTGCGGAGGAGGACGGCTAGCGGGCCTCGCTTCCAGACGAGTCCCATTTGTAGATAAAGAACTGCTAGACCCTCCTTGAACTTTTGACGGGCAGACATGGGCCAGATCAGGCGGCATATAATGAGACCCCAGAGAATGCCGGCAGACACGGCCACAACTCTGTGGAAAGCGATGGAAGTGATAATCGGGTGGATACCACCCTCGTCGTCGTCGTCATCGTCGACATCTTGCGTGAGCGAATACGCGTATAAGGAGGACACGTTGTAGCTTAGCAATATGAAGCGACCAAATGCCGGATTACCGCGATCGATCATGATATAAAAGGCACCAAAGGAGACGGCCCAGCCTAAGAAGGCGAGCGCGACAGCGTTGCCGTCCGATATCCACCAGTTGACCCAAACAAAGGCAGCACCCATGACGGTACCTATGAAACGAGACCAGCCAGTAGCGTTGGATGCACCCACAGTCATCGAACACACAATCATAAAAGACAAAAGGCCCCATTCGCCTCGCCAGTGCGCATATATTGGCCGTGTTTGAGGAATAAAGGCGAACATAGCGTAGAGGGTGGCGCCAATACCAACTTTAAGGCCGAAACGAACTATATCAACATGTTAATAAGAATCATCCGGGGAGTGTGGGCACATGGATGGATTATGACTTACTATCATCCCTTGCGAGGAACTTAAAGAATTTCAACAGGCCCCGAGAAACCGTTCGGACGATATGATCCCATAGACCTTCACCTTGCGGCGCTGCATCCCAGCTAAAGGTACCACGCCGCTTCATAGCCTCGGGGATGCCCTGTGGTAGTTTAGACTGCCTTAACCTTTTAACCGGTTGAAGCAGGGACCGTTGCTCTGGGTCTCCTTTCTTTGTCTTTGATGAGAAACTAATATGCTTCCAAAACATCAACCATTTCCATGTCCGCTTGCCCTGCTCGGTAACATGTCGCAAGTCGTCAACAGTATCCAGGTATATCTGCATCTCGTCTGCAAAACTAAGCAGACTAAACGAGAAGTGCCCGCACGCTGCAGCGACCTCCTCGAAATCAGCTTGGATAGACTCAGATCTGGTTCTACCTAGTTCGATCGTCTTATAAATTTCTTCTAGCGCACTTCCTCTCGCCTGGTTATATAGGGATATCGCATCGCTGAGGCTTTGCTTGAACTGTTCGTTAGTGTTGATTGGTTCTCCTGGAGCTCCGAATAGGGGTTCTCTGAGCATTTCAGCCATTGTATGGACTAAAGATTTCATCGACGGGCCAAGACGTGCGATGAATAATTCGAAGATATCAGGTGGGGTCCTTAATGATGAACCAGACGCGGACAACAGAGGAGACGCTTCTTGCGTAAGTGCCACAGTAGATGCCACATCCTCCTCCCTATCGCTTCGTTCGACAGGTGCTTCATCGATGGGACCAAGAGTATTGACTCTGCTACTTCCGCTCTTCAATGTCGCCGACAAAGACCTACTAAGAGTAGGTGAGAAGGGGTTCGTACCTTGAGAAAATGGATCAATCGCCGAATGTGAGGATAGTGGCCCGAAAGATACTTCTTTCAAGAGCTCGAATTGGGTATTAGCCGCACTCCTCAGACCACCGAGCGACTGGGCTAAGTTTTCCATCGACTTTACTACAGCCTTATCGTGTCTATATATTTGCTCCTGTCCCAGGATATAGTATTCATATTTCGATTCCCGGGCGTTTTTGTTCATTTGAGACAGACTCGAACTGTATTTAGCTGAAACTTTCGTAAAGGCACTCGAAGTGAAATCCTCTTCAGCACCACTAAGGAACCCGCTCGTTATCATAGACAACATATCGCCGAGCGACGTAGACGCGCTTCGCATAGACTTTCGTAGTGCTAGCCTCGCAGAAACCGGCCAGAAGACCAAATTAACTAGCGTTGATATCACAGTGGCCATAAGTAAAATCTTGAGTGACTGTATAATCTTCTGGTTGGTGAAGACGCCCGTATGGACCGAGTTCTCTTTCGTCACAATAGTGATGATACCGATGGATGCTATACTAGCACCAACGCTTACGAGAGGATTATTGAGCTTCTGCTTAACCCATCCGACAAAGCCCAGGCCACCTCCAATGAATATTGTGAGAATTAGAACGTAAGACAACTCGACCATATCCAAGACCGACCCGAAGAGCACCGAGGTGGCCATGGACAAGGTTCCGATAAACATGGCATAACACACGGCGACGACGGCAATAGCAACAGCTTCTATCTGCGAGCCTGCCGACCTGGCCGGGTGGAAATAGACAACAATGGTGGCGACAATATGCTTCCCATCCATTGGACCTAGAAACCCGGAAGCAGGGCGCCAAAAGGTCCCCATGCTAGCCAGCAGGTATGCAATAGAGCATTTTGTTACGCCTCGCCCTGTGGGCGATTTCGTCCACGCCCATAGTTTGCCAGACGCTACGCGAGTATTGTGCCACAAGTTCCGAGCCTTTTCCTTCATCGTGTTACCTTCAGTGAGGGGGCGTATGCCATCATCATCGTCGCCGGGGCCATCGAGGTGCGGATATCGTAGGGTAAACTGGCTGCGTCGGCGTTCACCGGTGCCGGGGACAATCCAGGTGCCATTGCGTAGTTTCTGTCGTCGAGGAGGCATCGCGTTAGCATCTAATCTAATTCCTCCACCGTCTCGAAGATATATATGGAGATATATATGGATGGGGCGTGTTGGAATTCAAAGTCGCACGCGGAGACTCGACGCTACTAATGTCGACATGGTCCGATGACACGTACAGAATAAAGACAAGAAAATAAAAGAAAGGAAAATAAAAGAAAAAGAAAAAGAAAAGGGAAAAAATCGGTCAGTTGTCATAACAATAATAATAGAGTTTTTTACTTACACTCCTCGCCGGTACTCTGCTAAGATGTCGCGGTGGTCTCGAAGCTCCACCAGCGCCGGGATTATTACTAGTATTACTGTCGCTGGTCATAGCTTGATATTCGACGACCCTCTTCTTCTTCTTCTTCCTCTTTCGTCCCGCGCGGCTCTCCTAAAATCGCTGCGGCATCGTCAACGAGAAGGGAGAAAATACTCTAGTATAGAGACGAGGGAGATAGAAAGGAAGGGAGATGTTATATCGTTAACCAAAAATGACACAAGGTGACACAAGGTCAATTGTAAGCTGTAACACGCGCTTCTACTATGTAGGGATGACAGCCTTTAGGTCACTTGACGATGTTGGAACCCATAAGTTTTTGGCGGTTGTAGAAGGTCCCACTTTATTGTCTAGGTACAGAATCGTCATTTTAACCAATGGAACGTCGCTTCCTGCCCAAATGCGTCATCGCATGCGCTTCTACCTGCAATGGTAGGTAGCCTATAAAAGCCCCATTGGGAGAGGAAATAAACGGTATAAACGGTAGCAGCACCCCGTCTCCTCCGAGCCCAGGTACGTACCTATATATATACGTGCGTTACGTTTGGTCACAAATTCGATCGACAGGTACGAAGTACTTACATGTATGTACATGGGTAGTAGCTTGCAACACCAAAAGTTGCATTCTACAATATACTAGTCGACCTTTGCAACCTCGATCCAAAGTTCAAACAACACCCGCTAGTTAAGCTAGCATTATCGTAGGTAGTTTTACCTATTTCTAACCCCGCTGGCTAAATCTGTCGCTCAAAGCATACAACTATATCCTAACCTACCTTACTTAACTCCTCCTTACATCAGGTAGCTGCACCTATCCACCACAGGGCACCTAAAGAAGAGAAACAAAAGTCGTGCTACGGAAAGATTAATTACCTTACCTAGGTAGAAGGGGGGAGGAAAAGAAGCAGCACAGCAAGCAAGCAAACAAACAACAGATGCAATGGCCAACCTCCCCTCTCAACACCCACACCTCTCCCTGCACCTAACCGACCGTTCCCTCACCCCCCTCATAACCTCAGCTCCGCGCTCCGGCTCCCCCTCCCGCCTCGAAGCCCTAACCTCGCTCTCCCACGCCGCCCTTGCCGCCCACGAATCCGCCTCGCGCCTCGGCCTAGGCGCTCCCCTGCGCGTCATGGTCGAGCACGCCGACTCGGGACCCGTAGTGCTACAATCCTTCCTACGCGCCGACACCAGTCCCAGCCCAACATCCACCACCACCACCACCACCAACGACATCATCCACACCAACACCAACCCGCCCTCAACATCCGCATCCTCCTCCACAGCCGCCGACCCGGACCCCGAACCCACAAACGGCACACCCAACAACAACAACAGCCCCCCCACCAGCCCCCTCGAGCGCCGCCTCCAACAACTCCAATTCCCCGCCGACGGCGCCCCCGACCACCCCGACCCCGAAGACGCCAACGCCCCGCCCATGCTAATCAGCGTCGTCGTAGCCCCCACCGCAGACGAAGCCCGCGACGCGCGCCGCGCAGCAGCTAGGCTCGAGCGCGTGGGCCGCGCGATACAGGCGCAGTGGGCCGACGTGCAGGTGCAGGTGGCGCAAGACGGGTCGGCGGGGGATGCCGGGGACTGAGAAGGGAGAAGGAAGAGGAAGAAAGGGATAAGGGGAAGAAGAGCGGAAATACCTATACAAGAAAATAACGAACGAAGAGGGAGGCAAGGAGAGAAAAAGAGTATGGCGATGATAGAGAAGGTTATCGACCAGCTCGGCCAGTTAAAAAGTCCAAGCAAGGAAGAGGAAGGAACTACCGTGTTCCCAGCCAGAGAGGTTCGCTATACCACAGCTTGGAGCAAGCAAGCAGTCCGGAGAGGTACTTTTTTTGGGAACGGAAAGGGGTTGAGAGCGAGTGGAAGTACAGCCAACAACATGTGGCTAAGAAATCAGAGCCAGATCATCCGCCATGAGAAATCTACACGGATTACGTCGACTATCTGACTTGCGCGTTGCTTTCTACCGGGTTACAAAGAGGGTCATCTCTAAAAGCAATCCAAGAACATCTACGCATAATTATTCTTAGCCATCATGTACCAAGAGTATCATTATAGCTAGATGTCGTAGAATACTATCATTTACGAACTCAAGTCAAGTCTCGAGAATGGATAATATTGAGCCTGTCCTTATTCTATTCTAACATATTACACCGTAGCAAGAAACTCGAATTTCATAAATAGGCCCAATTTGTATTTATCTATCTACAGATAGCCTACAGGGGTACTTCTGTTTTGTTTAATTCATTGCATTTCTCGTAATATCAGATTATTTTAGCTCGCAAATCTATATGTTCGCGAACACCGTCTGGTTCATTGCGCCAGCTAACATAACCATACCAAGACTAAACAACATCGCTAGTCTAAATTTTTAAATGAGTTGCTGGAACGCGCGGTTGATGGGCGAGCGGATGTTGGGGACGTCCTTCCAGAAGTTAACGGTGGCGACAGCCCTCTTTGAAATGCCCTCAGGAGTGAATTCAAATTTCTGTTCTCTTAATTAGTATACAATCGAGTTACGAGGGTCGGGAAAACTTGCCTTGTAGACGTCCTTGTAAGCGCCAGAAGCGCCGAATCGGTTTAGGCCGAATTGCTCGTGGGTATATCTCTCCCAGCCCATTGTGCTCATGACTTCGACGGATAGAGACGGGATACCGTCGGGGAGAACGCTCAGTCTGTATTCCTTAGATTGCGCGTCAAAGACCTCGAAGCATGGAATGGAGACGACACGGGCCTTCAGGCCGTGGTTCTCTTGGAGGTACTTGACAGCGTCAACGCAGATGCAGACTTCCGAACCGGTTGAAACGAGTGTGATATCGGCACCCTCAACTTCGTGCAAGACGTAACCACCCTTGTTTGCCTTTTCAATGCTCGAGCCCTCGAGTTGAGGCAGGTTTTGTCGCGATAGAGCGATGATGCTAGGGGTGTGCTTAGAAGTCAAGGCCACATAGTAAGCACTGCTAGTCTCGTTGCCATCCGCCGGTCGCCATACCATCATGTTAGGTAGGGCGCGGAAGTGGGCGAGGGTCTCGATCGGTTGGTGAGTAGGACCATCTTCACCGAGACCAATAGAGTCGTGAGTGGCGACCCAGATGACTCGGACCTGCGATAGCGAAGATAGACGCACGGCACCAGCACCATACGAGACGAAGTTCAGGAAAGTGCCTGAGTAGGGGATAAGGGTGCCGTAGGCAACGATACCGTTCATGATAGCGCCCATACCGTGCTCACGGACACCGTATCGGATGTATCGGCCAGAGTAATCACCCAGCCCAGTCGATGGTGGCTGGAAGTCAGTAGCGCCCTTCCATCGTGTCAGGTTAGATCCCGTCAAATCGGCGGAACCACCAATGAGCTCAGGAATAGCAGCTTCGATCTTGGACAGGACGATTTCAGAGAGCTTTCGAGACGCTACGGCAGCATCCTTCGGAGTGTATACGGGGAGGCTCTTCTCCCAACCTTCGGGAAGCTCGCCCCTTAGACGACGGGACAGGTCGGCGTGCTCGGCCTGGTACTTGCTACCGTAACTAGCGAATAGCTTGTTCCACTCTTCTTCAAGAGCTGCGCCCTCGGCGGCCTTCTTACCGTATAAGTCGTATACTTCTTGGGGTACGACGAAGGACTGTTCGGGGTTGAAGCCGAACTTCTCCTTGAGCTGCTTGATGTCATCAGCCTTCAGGGGGGAGCCGTGAACTCCGTGAGTACCCTGTTCTCGAGAACCAAAACCGATGGTGGTCTTAAGTTTGATCAATGAGGGCTTGTTCTTGACATCCTTGCACTTTTGGATAGCCTTCTCGATGGCCTCAAGGTTGTTGTCACCATCAGTGACCTCCTCGACGTGCCAGCCGTACGCCTCGTATCGCTTAGTAACATCTTCAGTAAAGGCACAAGCAGTGTCGCCGTCGATGGTGATTTGATTGTCATCCCAGACAGCGATCAAGTTGCCTAATTGCAAGTGGCCAGCCAAAGAGCTAGCTTCGCTAGAAACACCCTCCATCAAGCAACCGTCGCCCAGGAAGCAGAAGGTGTAGTTGTCGACGATAGGGAAGCCATCCCTGTTGAAAGTAGCAGCTGTTTGGGTCTGAGCAATAGCAAGACCAACAGCGTTGGAGATACCCTGTCCAAGGGGACCAGTAGTAACTTCGATACCCGGGGTGTCATGCGCCTCGGGATGCCCGGGAGTAATGCTGTCAATTTTCTACACCTTGTAAGTATTACAACCATCTTGCAGTACAGTAAGTAAACTCACTCGGAAGTTCTTAATGTCGTCCATAGACAAATCATATCCAAAAAGGTGGAGGAGAGCATATTGGAGCATGCATCCGTGCCCGTTGCTAGACCCCGTAGTTAGTGGCGGAAAGAAATAGTTCACCTAGAACTTAATTTGACTTACGAGAGAACGAATCGATCACGGTTCAGCCACTTTGGGTTCTTAGGGTTGAACTTCATGAACTTGTTAAATAGGACGTGGGCAGCCGGTGCCAAACCCCTATATCGGTTAGTATAAAGGGTTTCTTCCCTCAATAACAATAACCAGTACGATCCCAGCTATCGGTATTCCGTTACTCACATGGGCGCGCCAGGGTGGCCCGAGTTGGATGCGAAGGTGGCATCGGCCTAGAAGAAGACAATTATTAATACAATTTGCTCCGTGCTGGTAGAGAAACTCGTGATGGAGGCAGGAGAAATGGCTCGGAAAGCTTCAAATGAGCTTCACGATGGAGGGGCAAAGCGGGGGCGGGGTTAAGTGAAAAGAGTCGTCATCTTACAGCAAGAACACGGATCGTGTTAATGGCGAGCCAATCTTTCTCGGTGTATCCCATGGTTGCGAATTCTTACGACGATGCCTTGGGAATTGGGATTAAAAGAAAGTCGATGGAGGAAAGAAGAGGATTGAGGGAAGAGAAAGAGAAGGTGGGAAGATTTGGCGGGTGGTTAAAGTGTTTTTGATTTTCTGGACTGACCGGCAACGGTCCTCAAATGGGTCCTTAGTCTTAGCTTACAAGGCTTCTTAGTGGAGGGAACAAGGCCTGACACGATGTATGTATCTAGTCGGTAACAGCTTCTATAAGGCAATTTACATAGACGATCAATCATAGGTATGTAATGTACGGAATACATGCGGACAAGTGGGGATGGGGTTTTTGTTCTAATGTAATGAAGTGGGCTGAGTGGACATAAAGCGGGAAGGTATGAGATGAGGTAGGTAGGTACCTAAGGTAGAAGACTCCTTACCTGCACGTGTAGTATACTGTATAGGTAGACTCACTAATCATCAGCGGCATTATTTCGTCACCCTTTCCCCCTTATCAAAACCCCCAACATAATAGGCTTGCAGGCTTGCCAAGGTCTAATGTAAGTCGTCTCCAGAACATCTTCTCCACCAAAAGTCCAACAACGCCTCAACTGAATTTTTTTTTTCCCCTTCGCGAAGGTAGTCGAACTTGTTGAAAAACTAGGTACTTTACCACTACGTCAGGTCAATACCTCGGTGGTACATCATAGTCGCTCCTATAAGCTACATACGTCATTCCTTCACCGTTCAACTTTTTATATTGGCGATTTCATTCCGGGGTCTTTAAGACTTTGTAGTACAATTTCATCCATATAAAAAGACTATCCTGGAGTAATGCTGCAAAATCTTACCTACGTGTGACATACCTCTTACTACGCAGGGGCATAAACAACCCCTCCGACTTCGTCTATCTAGGTAATTGAGATATGAGGTATATATATAGGTACTCAGCGCATCTTACTCTACACTGAACGCAACTCCAGCCCGCTCTACAGCCCTGCAAGACAGACGCATTGCTACCTATCTGATAGGTCCGGAAAAAGGCTCATTGCCTAGTCGTCCGGGGGATTGGTACTAGGTATAACTACTGCCATCTATCTTGTAGCTATCGGGTAACAAGTATAGCATCCTGTTCTGCGCCCGTACGTATCCAGGTGGTTGGAATATTTGGTGAGATTCTACTAGTTATGTACAATCATAGACATCTTGTCTCAAGGCTGGTTCTAAGGATTCGATTACACGTCGGACTTAGGACATTGTATATATTTATCTTGATATCAATATCTACGTCAGCCTTTGTAAGCCTCTGTATTAGGGGAGTTCTCGGTATTAAAAGCCTAATGGTAGAAAATAATCCCGAAAGATGCGCCATATTAGATACTCCAGAGGTCGTAAACGCACTTGGCAAGCCTATTCCAGCAACGTGAGTAAGTAAAGGAACATCATTCGAGGATCATTCACCTTAACCTAGTTCTTTAACGTACCAATAGCAGGACACGTACGCGGAAACGCGGAGCATGTGCTTCTCTTGTAACGCTCGCGTTCTTTATCAAATACTTCGCCGCTAGCCTCGCGGTCATGTACATTGTTTAAAACATCACGCCTTCTTGCTTGGTCATCTCGATATAAGTCGGGTTGACTCAAACACTCTTTATCCTAACAAGACGGAGAACAAATAATTTATACCTCGATTCGGGATGTTTCTTGCAAACACTAATTCAGTGACAATACTCGAGCGTTGAAATGTAAAGTTATCAGAATACTACCAACTCCCAACCTTTTCTGTATTATCAAGATCATTCATTCATTCATTCATACCTAATATAATCAATATGACTTGACTATGTAATCTCTACACGGCCAACAAATATAATGACTATACACTATATTATATATATGATATAAAATCTATAACAAGTACGTATAGGTAAAAAGCGTACATACCTACTTAGGGAATAAAATGACTTTGACTATCGGCCGTGTATTTTCAATGCGGCGGCATCCACTTAACGATTTCGAGTTGACTTGAAAATTTTGAACCAGACATACCTCAATCCCCCCAAATAAAACAACTATATAGAAACCCAAAAAAAATAAATAAAACAGACCAACACAGCTAGGCTAGAATAAAAAGATGAATAGCAACAGGAGAAGATCACCCCAGCGAACCGCAAAAGCATACCTCAAGGGAGCCGCAACAGCAAAAAAGTCAAAGCCATCCAAGGCCAAGCCAGCCCCTCCTCGCGCCTCCAAATCAACAGCCGAGGCAGCGACAACAGCGGAGAACTCCCACTCCATCTCAGCCCCAGCCCCATCCGAGGAAACCAAGTCGCAGCAAAGACTCCTCGACATCTTCAGCAGCACATTCGCCCCGGTCCTCAGCGCGCCCGACTTCGCCGCCGTCCTGCGGAAAGTCAAGCAGGCCCTCTTCGAGCGGGACTTCGACGCGGCCTTCGGCAGCGCGCAGCAGCAGCACCTGGAAGTATACGCCGCGCGATGGAGCCCGCCGCGCGCGCTGTGCTACGGCCAGATCCTGCGGCGGATAGCCGACGAGTTTTTGGAGCCGCTGTTGTTGTTGCAACTTACTACTACTACCGACTACGGCCGCGCTGTGAGTGTGGAGGAGGTGGAGGTAGATGATGAGGTTGAGCTTGGACGGGTTTCGCCGACGCTTGATGATCTGGCGGAGCAGGAAGAAGAAGATGCGGGGCGTGATGGTGGCGGCATCACGTTGCGGATGCTTGCGATCGGCGGCGGCGCCGCTGAGATCGTCGCTTTTGCCGAGTACCTCCGTAGCGCGGGGGCCGCGGTCTCCGGCGACCTGACGTTGCTAGATACCGGGTCCTGGGGCCAAGTAGTCCAGAAGTTACAAGCCGGCCTCACGACTCCGCCGCCGGTATCCAAGTACGCGAGCGCCGCGGCAAAAGCAACCAGCGCAGCTCTGATCGAGCCGACAGGACGTCTACGGTCGACTTTCGTGCAGCAGGATGTGCTGCAGCTCGACGGCCCCGGGCTCTCGAGTCTGCTAGGCCAGACGCCGCTGCTCGTCACGTTGCTATTCACGCTCAACGAGCTGTACACGTCCGGCGGGATCAAGATGACAACGGCGTTTCTGCGGAATCTAAGCGCTGCTATTCCAGCCGGTTCGCTACTACTTGTCGTCGACAGCCCAGGTAGCTACTCGGAAGCGGCGGTGGGCAAGGAAGCGAAGAAATACCCCATGCAGTGGCTCTTGGATCACACTCTCCTCCAAGCCGACAAGCTGCCAGCCGAAGGATGTCGGTGGGAGAAGATACAATCACACGACTCGGTCTGGTTCCGCCTCAGCGAAAAACTGCGGTATCCTATCGATTTGCAAGATATGCGCTACCAGATGCACCTGTACCGGGCCATGTCCCGGTCTTCTGACTGAGGAAGCTGACGGCTACCTGCAGAACTCTAGATACATGCTCCTAACCACTAATTACCACCACTAGCCAGGGAATGTCTACTAGTCTATCATGCCCAAACCAGCTTCTTTATGCTGTGACCCAACTGCTCTAGAATGCCCGTGCTCCGCTTCGCCTCGGCGAGGGAGATTATATCACCTTTCTCGATGATGCTCTTCCGCTCCTCTGGACTGGCTGGAGCTGGCTGGTTATAGAACACCAGCCGCTCGATCTCTGTCGCGATGACGTTGATCTGCTCGCTTTCTGTCATCCTCTTCACGTCCTTGTCCGACATAGCCGTCGTGGAATGCAGTGCTTTTAGAGCGATCTTCCGCGGCGCCTGTGCCTGCGGCTTGCCTGTGATAGCGTTGAAAATGGCCTGGTTCAGAATGCCGGACACGGCGGCCGGCGCTGCAGCCGGATCCTTTAGCACGTTTTTCGCTCCCGATGATTCGTCAGATTGTCCTGACATGCTGGAAAGCGATCTCGTATTGGTCCTCTTGATATCAAACTTGCCCGGCTCGTAAGTCACGACAATACCGACGTTCCTCGACTCGTCGGCCTCGGCGGGGGAGATGGCCGAGGTTATGTACGTGCCGATCTTGATACTGACTATATGAGCCAAGTCCACCCTTTCGAATGAGGATACCTTGTCAAGCTTCCAGTCGAACCGGCACAAGTACAATGCCGTGTCGGTTAGAAGAAGCACCACTTCTTCGAACGGTAAAGCCTTGAGAGTATCAGACGTATGAGGGCTTAGCAGAGTCCACCCGCCAATAAAATCCTCCTTGTCATCTTCTATGGCAATCTTCTGCGATGTCTCAATAGCTTGCTCTCTCATCTTTGACATTGAGACCCCGGGGTCTTTACTCATCATGGTTGCTTCGAACTCTTCAAATACCATGGAGGAAACGTTGCCGAGGAAAAAGTCGATAGCGGCCTGAGAGAAATAATCGTTCACCATTCTAGTATATAGTGTAAGTAGAAATTAGCTTAATTAACAAGCATATCTTACCCGTTATAAAACCGCGTTAAGGATAGGCCGAGGTCATTCACCATCCCGCGATAATCCCGTTTTCTTGTCCTGGTGTAGTCGCCTTTCATCGCAGCGGTAGAGGCATCTAAATTTGAAGTTAGAAAAACTAAAAGTTATAGCTCTCTCATAAGGCCAACAGAGTCTCAATATCTTGATTAGGTGGGGATTTGACTGACATTGTTTGGATATAGCGTCTCCATTATCAGCCCAGAGAGTATTAAACCACGAGTTCTCCTGGTCGAGCTGGACCGACATGTCGAAGCCCTCTTCTTTCAGCTGTAGATCAAGCATAAACTTGCCAAAAGAACTTTGGCAAACGTTAGTACGGTCGAGGCAATCCATACAATTCGTTCTCAGAACGCCATTTTGCTTTCGTTCTATTTGACCGTTTCTTTCCACAGTACTTCCAGTCTCTTCGATCTTTTTACCCAGGATATCTAGAAGTAAGCTCACATTTTCAAACTTCATTCCGCGGCACGCAGAATGGAAATCAAACCACTCGAAAGCAAGTGACTGAGAGCCTTCCGCCTCTTGTTCATTCAGTTTTTGAGCCGCTTTCTCGTATTCTCTACCAATTATAGCTTCGACACCATGCTTCTCAACTAAGTTTACTAATTGAACAGACCCATATGTCTTGCCCATAAGTTCAAAATGTTTCTTGAACGCTCTAAAATTTGCCTCTGGAGAATGCTGTAGTACTGGAATCGGTTTAAGGGAATATGGTGATTGTGTAAAGAAAAGTGGTATACTACCTCGAACCTGGACGAAAGAGGAAATTCTAGATGAAGGACTCCACGTTGGAGTCGAGAGTATCTGCTCCGTCTCGACAAAATTGGCCGTATAACCGTTTTCGTCTATACCACGCCGTAGATATCGAAGTCCAGCTCGCCTAGTGGACCTCCTGGAAATAATGGTGATAACAAACTCCTTCTCGGACGGCCTTAGATCACTGGGTGCTCTCTCCGGCGGAGGAAATTCGACATTGGACTCTGGGGGAGGCGTCATATTGTTCATTTCCATGGAATCTTCCTGAGAATCGACTTGCGGCGGATAACGATCCACAACGAACCTCCTCTGTCCCACAAAGCCTTGCATTACTGGTAATAGTAATGATTCGTCACTAGATCCGTGGAATGGCTTTAACAAACTACGGTTCCAAAAGAATGTGGGATCAGCTGCTTCGTGAAGTGGGAGACTACCTGTAGCCGATGAGCAGGACTGATTGCCAAGGCTTCTCGTAATATCGAAATCATAGGAGAAGAAGAAGCTCCTAGACGTCCCGAGCCAGATGTGCGTGAATCGCAATAGCTTTGGTATTAGGCTCTCACCAGCCGACGGTGTCGGGGGAGGGTCCACCTTCTCCTGCACCACGGTATCGCTCAACTCCTTATCTGGATCTCCCTTTTTCGCCTTGTTACTCTCATCGCCGGCCTGGTCACCCGCCCGGTCGATTTCGACACTAGTAATGCCCAGGTTTCGCTTCTGGTCCATCATCCAGCCTTTGCCGCTGAACCAGCGCTGAGCGAAGCGCCCATAGCTCCCGCGGCGCTTTATGACATCTTCGGCTATGCTACTCTTCCTGCCTGCCCCTGGCGCGTCTTTGTCTTCGGAAGTCTCACGATCGCTTATAGCTCCTGGGTCTTCCGCATCGGCGCCACCCAATACTGAACGTGTATCGACCTCGCTCTCTGAATCGCTGTCTTCGACAAATTTCTCAGCTGACGTTTGCCGTAGTTTGATTGCTGTGTTCGCAATGGCTGACTCGGCCACGCTTCGACTCGTACATGGGGTGAGCGCAACGTCAGTGACGACATAGACAGGAAAGCCGCGAACCTGCGCAACTTGCTGGCGACCGGTGATTGTAATAAGGTAGGTTAGACGGGAGACAGTGAAAAGCCCTATGGACAAGACCAATTAGAAAGTACTCCGACGAATCTGTCTGTAGGCGTTATTTATTCTAGATAAGACGAACCTACAACCCCGAAGGCCTCAAAGGACGAGTTCGGTTTCGATGTGTCTGGTGTTTGATCGCGAGGAAGCGAAGATACTGTAGCATCACCATACTTGATTTTGACGGGCGCAGGAGTTCGTTGCCCTTTTGTCGCTAGAGGTTGGACTATAAGACCGTCGAGGGCTGCACATATAAGCAACTTCCGCGCTAGATTAGGCATTCTTATTCTTAATAGCTAAACATTCAATCATGATACTCATAAACCGGTTAAGAGACTCTACTATATTTGAATGAAAAGAAATTGTATCAATCTTGAGAAGTGATATGATCATTTTTAGGGTCTCTGGTCTTTGCTATGATGTCTTGGATGATTTACTTTTTGGTGGGGTTGCTGATGCCGTCACACGGTGGGGCAGAATCTCTAAAGGCTGGTTGGTCTAGGACGCGCGCAGATGCAGGTGTACAATGTTACATGCGCAGGTACATATATTAAGGTTGGGTGCACTAGGTCCTAAGATGTACCAATGGCTTAAGAGCTTAAGCAGGCACGCCATACATAATCGTTGAAACATGGGGCAAAAACTAGGGCCAGGACTTTAAGGTAGCGAATAACGAATCGAGAAGTTTGCTGATGTGCAGATTATATTCTCTATATCTGCATCTATTCTTCCTCAAGCTACGGACTTATATAGCTTTTAGCCTAGTATATTTCCCAACGTAGCACCCTGAATTTCTTTCCTGGCTCTAGGGGTATCTTAAATCATGAGGCGCTCGATCTTGTCCCTCAGACTGCGGATCTGGCCGGAGAGGTCGCTTGCCTCGTTGGAGAGGATACTCGCGGCGATGACAGCTCGGGACACACCGCAGGCTCTGCCAAGAGCAATCTGTCCGATTGTTAGTGCGTTACGGTATAGTTAAGATAATTCCCAACGAACCTTGCTAGGGACATAGCAGTAGATGACGTTCTTGTCTTCGCAGAGCAAAGGTAGGTGCAGAAGGATGGCAAGAGGAGTGGTATCGGCGGCCAGAATGACGATCTCGGCAATACCTCTGGACAGCGCCTTGGTCACTTCGTTTGCTCCTTTCTTCAGCTGGCGGGCATCTGCATGGGAACACAATTAGTGGACAGAAGGTAAGCCAAGGTAAATGGTATATACTCACGGCCAGCTTGTTGCACCAAATCTAAAATCTCCTGGGTAAGGGAAGCATCGGCGACGGGCCAAGCTGATGAGGATAGGTCAGTACGGTATCCAAACGGAAAAGGTAGCTGTGTTAGAACTTACCTGCACTTTGATCCTGGTTAGCAGACATTTTGACGGAGCAGGGTTCCTTGCGGTTGCTCGCCCTGGGGAGGAATATGTGGAATAATGGGTAAAAGGTTGACAAAATCTTGAAGATCGCAGTGAAGAAATATTCAAGAAAGAAAGATACAAAAAAAGTTCAACACGGTCAAAGCTTCTGAATGCCAAGGAATTTTATTTGTCGGTCAAACCTTACGCCGGTATCCGCTGACATAATCGATCCTGCAGGTGACCCGGAGCTGCAAAATCCAACCCCCAATCAAAGGCAAACCTGGAACAAGGCAAAGCAACACCTCTCTCTCCCCGTAATACCTACATCCCCATTACCTACTAGAGCAACTTTAAACAATCTCTCATAACTACCACAACTTTCTAAGCTCGCCATCAACACCCGGTTTAATATACCACTCCCATCCGTCCGCCTCCAAGATCTATCATTCTACATTTCTCTATTTTCGTTTTTACTTCAAAAAACCCGCTTACACCATCACAATGCCATACTCTGAAGCTTGGTACGTAATTGATGACTTCCTCCTTACAAATATCACATCATCGTCATCATCGCAAGCTTAAGGCAACATCGCTTTTGCTGCTATTGAGCCTGTGATTCATTTAATTAATTCAATATGCTAACGTTTTCTTCTATAGCCCGGTCTACGCGGTTAGTTTACCTTCCCTTGGCGCGCGTCTCGGTCATCATTCCTCTATCCCTTAACCCTTCGAGACGAATGCGACTCGATATACAAAGCTAACCTCCGGTAGCCTTTCTTCGGCGCCATGGGTTGCACAGCAGCCATCGTATTCACCTGCTTAGGTGCTTCCTACGGAACCGCCAAGTCCGGTGTTGGTATCGCGGCTATGGGTGTTTTGAGACCTGACCTCATCGTGAAGAGTACGCGCCATCTCCAGCCATCAATATAATCGAAACAGTAGCACTAACTTTTTCAGACATTGTTCCCGTCATTATGGCTGGTATCATTGGTATCTACGGTCTCGTCGTCTCTGTCCTGATTTCCGACGGTTTGACCCAAGAGCTCCCTCTCTACACTGGATTCATTCAGCTGGGTGCGGGTCTCTCGGTGGGTCTGGCTGGTCTGGCTGCTGGGTTCGCTATCGGTATTGTTGGTGACGCTGGTGTACGAGGAACCGCTCAGCAACCTAGACTCTTCGTCGGCATGATCCTTATTCTCATTTTCGCCGAAGTCTTGGGTCTCTACGGTCTCATTGTCGCTCTTCTGATGAACTCCAAGGCCAGCGTCGATGTTAGCTGTTAAAGGAACGTCGCTGACACCACAACGGCATTCTATTCGATGCGGTAGCTTGAGGATGAGGGGCAACGATAAGTTGTTACCGAATACGCTTAGCATGTCCCATCTTATAGGTTACTTCGTCCGAACAAACACTACATACGACGCAAATTACGGCAAGGGCTAACCCAACAATCGAAGACAAGGAACTACGAGTTCTAAGGCTGTCAGGGGATGTGTGGCGAGAGTGGTAGAATGGGGCATATGGTGACGACTGAGCAAGAACCCGCATTTGTATTACTTGTTGCTGCATATGTTGTACGCTCCGGAACGGTTTCTCGTCATAGAATAATGGATGGGAAATCATGTACTCTAGGTTGGTAATCGGTTCTCATGGAAGAAAGTGATTTTTATATTAAAATTTTTGTTCCCCATTAATGCAACGAGTCCGCATTTACTCCAAGCTACGCTCAATTGTCGCCACTGACCGAACAATCCGACAATGTGATTTAAAGTCGACGGGCGTTATAACGTACTTGTCAAAGACACTACTTACCTAAGGCATTATTACCAAGCTTTCTACCGAACTTATGAATGTAAAGCACTCAGTTCCAGAACACCTAGTGAAGCTATTTCTCATACAACAAGCTCTCAGTCTATTTTTGGGGTAGTAATCAAAAAGCAATTAATTATGTAATAAGACGAGAGGGATAACCATTACCGCTAGAAACCCAGAATTACGACTAAAAAATTTTCCGACTCATAAAAAAGACTATATTCGTCGAAAACATCAAAAATTGATGTTTAGACAAAACGTAATGTCCTCGGTGAGGCTCGAACTCACGACCTTTGGATATCCCAACCTACGGTTGAGTCATAGTGAATATGAGACCAACGCTCTAACCAACTGAGCCACGAAGACTTAAAAGTTCGTTTCTTATCGGGGTTTAAGATTTGCTGGACTAGAATCGACACCCTCCTCCACAATTCCTAAATCAGCTAGCCTCTTTGCACGTTAGCTATCAGCTGTATTTCGTAGGGTTGGGCATATTAATTTGATGTAACTTACAGGAGCTGCCAACTTCCATAGAGGCCCTCCTAGCCCCCGTTCTAGATGTACCGTTGCCGTTCCCGGCGCCAGGTGTATTGTTGGCATTTCGGCCTGTACAACATATTAGATAGGTACTTTATTTAGTTACTCATGAAAGTATAAGATAAACTAACCTCTTGCCTCGCCTGGGCGAGGCGGGCCTCAAGGCGCTCGATGTCCCGGGCGATCTGTTTTGACGACCTCTTCTTCTTCTTCTTTTATTAATTAGTACATATCTTTCAACTGTATCTTACATAGGTATCACCTACTATCTTCTTCTTCCGCCCGGAGCACCCGCAGGTGAAGTGTAGAAAGTGGCGTGTCGGATGTTGTTGATTATGCTGATACGACAGTCAGTATGTTATAACATTTAGTGATATTCAAATATGCGATTCATGAGTTCTGGTGGTGGTTATAACTGGATGCCAGAGGGAGAGGAATAGAATCGCAAGCAGCACCCATATATCAAACAGCAAATGAATGGGGACGGGCATATATAGCATGTAAGTGATGTGAACAGGGAGCGTAGATAGTCTTGTGGTAGTTTCTGCGCGGTTAGCTACGCAGGTAGTAGTTGAGAGTAATACTCATGTATTGAGCTGCGAGAAGGTGTAGTTCTTTGAGAACGAAAGAATACCTATATAGTATGTGCTGGGAAGGGCGTAGTCTGAGCATGGCCAGGGTAAATGTTCTTGATGATTGGATCGTGGTTGCAGGACATTTAATGGGGTGCGTCGACATAATGAATCCATATACGTACCTCATCTTTGCGAACTTCAAATGGTGTCAGGATTCGAGATGAAACATCTAGGGCAAGGTGGATGCTCAGCACGTATAGCCATAGGCTTCCGTGGTTAGGTTCGAGTTCCTCGCGGAACACGAAGTTGTTGTTTCGATACTGTTTGGCTCAACGTCGTGAGAATTGGAAAAAAAGAAGAAAGGAAAGGAAATTAATGTGGGAGAGCATCGAAGAGGACTTTGTGCGGACCCAAACCCTACGTGCAACTATGCAATTAGTTTTTAGGAAGTAGCCATGTCGACAAGAAGGACTTTCCAAACTGATCTCAAGGCAGGTGCCAGGCGTGCTTGCCAGCACTGTAGCCGAGCAAACAGGGAAAGGGTGAACAAGCTGAAGGAAACCACAGAAGCACTTCCGTTGGGCTTAGGCACCTAAAACTTGCGAAGTTCCAGTACAGGTATATGGAGGGAAATTCAGCCATTTAGTAGGTACCAAGATACAAGTATAGGCATAATAGTACCTCAATCGAGTTTGTAGAGAGAGCCATTCGTAATATACTAAAAGGGGGAGCGCCTTCTATCTATGTGTGTAGAGTGAGTCACAAGCTGATTTAAGTTCCAAGACCAGCTCCTAACAACTATAAGAAATACCGAGATAGCCTGAGATCATTTCAGTTATGATGTAATTACAGGATAAGTACCTAATGTAGTCTTTTAGAGGCGATATGGCTTGTGTATATGTGTAGGTTTGGATTTATGACTGGTGTTTACCTATGTTCAGCGGCGGATATATGGACACAGTTATACATGATGTTAACTCGGCGGCCCTCATCGTCGGACGGTACAGCCCGAGTAAAGACCTATACCGGACCGGTGGGTAGCGCCGAGTAGGACTCGAACTTGCTTGCTGTGCCTTTCTCCGTCTTAATGAAGCTTAAGTCGTCCTTTGCTGCGCTACGTCTCCATTTCTACGATTTGGCCGAGAATCTTGCTGCGATGCGACCAAATTACCCCATGCTACCCCAACGACCACGTCGAATAAGAAGCCAGCATATCCACGTATTTCCCCACAGACGCACCTCTCGTCTAAGTAATTCACCTGCTGGATATAGGTAGCTACCTAGCCTATGCCCCGTAGCTATGCAGCTCAGCTACGAGATCACCAGCTCGTGACAGTGATGGCCGTAATGTAGTTGTATAAAGGCCGAAGAAGCCCCCGGGAAGGGGAGTTTGATGAGAATGAAGTATATCAGGTTGCAATGAAGACGCTCGTTACTCTAGCTGCCTTTGTGGCCGGCACTCTCGCGGTGTCCGTTGAGGATTGTCCTGGTTATATAGCTTCAAATATTGTTGATACGGATGGAACGCTCACTGCGGACTTGTCACTCTCTAGTGATGCATGCAACGTTTATGGAACAGACCTACCCGACCTCAAGTTACTAGTCGAGTATCAGACTGGTATGTATTGATGCTCAGTCAAAGTATCTATGACAGTATACTAACTAAATAACACACAGATACCCGGCTACATGTGAAGATATATGATGCCGGCCTTGACGTATACCAAGTCCAGGAACATATACTTCCGAGGCCATCCAGCCAAAATGTTTCTTCGTCAGATGCCGCCCTACAGTTTTCACTTATAGAAGAACCCTTCTCCTTTTTTATTGAACGATCTGGCTCGGGAGAGGTCTTGTTCAATACTAATGGTAGTCAACTGGTTTTCGAATCTCAATATGTTTACCTTAGGACCCAGTTACCTAAGGATCCCAACATATACGGGCTGGGCGAGCACACTGACTCTTTTCGACTTCCTACTGAGAAATACCAACGTACTTTCTGGAACTCAGAGTCGCCATTCATTCCGCGGCACGCCAACCTCTATGGAACTCATCCGATGTATCTTGACCATCGAGGGACTTCTGGTTCTCATGGTGTCTTTCTCTTGAATTCTAACGGGATGGACATCAATATAGACCAGACAGACTCGGGTGACCAGTTTCTAGAGTACAATATCATCGGCGGTATACTGGATTTCTATTTCTTAGCCGGGCCCAGTCCTTCCGAAGTTAGTCGACAGTATGCTGAAGTTGTGGGCTTGCCTGCTATGATGTCTTATTGGACCTTCGGTTTCCACCAATGCAAGTATGGGTATTGGGATGTCAATTATGCGGCCGAAGTTGTTGCAAACTATTCTACGGCAAATATCCCCCTCGAAACGCTATGGGGCGATATCGATTATATGGATCTTCGACAGGTTTTCACCACAGATCCGGAGAGGTTTCCTTTACACAAAATGCGAGAGCTAGTCGATACTCTACACAAAAGGGACCAGCATTATATTATGATGCTTGATCCTGGCATTCACAAGGCTGAGAACTACTCGACTTTCACTAGAGGCGAGGAAAAAAGCGTTTTCCTCAAAGTTGATGGCGGATCTGACTATCGCGGCGTGCAGTGGGCTGGTGAGGTTGTCTGGCCAGACTGGATCGCGCCAAACACTCAAGAGTGGTGGACAAACGAGATCTCGCTCTTTTTCGACCCTGAAACCGGCATCGATATCGACGGGGCCTGGAACGACATGAACGAAGCGTCCAACTTCTGTCCCGATGTCTCTTGCGACCCGGCACAAGCAGCTAAACAAGGCAACAATCCCCCTCAGCCAACCAACCCTCCCCGAAACAACACCGGACGACCTATCCCCGGGTTTCCGGATGACTTCCAACCAGCCCCGACTGCCAAGTCTGGGAAGCTTCGATCAAGGCAGACGACCGGCGGACAGATGAAGGGCCTTCCCGACCGCGACCTCTTCAAACCCAAGTACCGCATCAACAACCACAAGGGCGAACTGAGCGACTCCACACTATACAGCAACATCACGAACGCAGACGGCACGTACCAATACGACACCCACAATCTCTACGGCCTCACCATGATAACCGCAACACGCAACTCACTCCTAACCCGGCGCCCCGGAAGACGCCCCTTCGTACTAACACGCTCGTCCTTCGCAGGCGCCGGATCTCGTGCCGCGCACTGGTTCGGCGACAATAACTCGACATGGTCCGACTACCGAGTAACTATTCCGCAACTCCTCGGTTTCGCAGCCCTACACCAAGTGCCCATGGTAGGATCCGACGTATGCGGTTTCAACGGGGTCGCCGACGAGCACATGTGCGCGCGCTGGGCGCTGCTAGGCGCCTTCATGCCGTTCTACCGCAATCACGCGGACATCTCGGCTCCCGCGCAAGAATTCTACCTCTGGGACCTGGTCGCGGAGGTCGCGCGCAAGGCTATCGATGCCCGGTACAGGTTGCTCGATTACGTGTACACGGCGATGTACCGTGCTAGCACGACGGGTGAACCGATAGCTAACCCGTTATTTTTTGTGTATCCGGAGGATGGGAAGACGTTTGGGATCGATACGCAGTTTTTCTACGGGGATGCGCTGTTAGTTTCGCCTGTGACGGAGGACTACTCCGAGTCTGTTACGTATTACCTCCCCGATGATATCTTCTACGACTTCTGGACGCTGGAGCCGGTCCGGGGGACGGGTGCTACAGTTACCGCGGATAATGTGACGTGGACTGACATCCCGGTGCATATTCGTGGCGGGACGGTGTTGCCGCTGCGGACGGAGTCGGCGAATACTACGACGTTGCTGCGGCAGAATGATTTCCAGATTATCGTTGCTCCGGGCTTGGATGGGAAGGCGAAGGGGTCGTTATATCTGGATGATGGGGATAGCCTGGATGTGGGCGATGCTAAGTCGGATATAAGCTTTACGTGGGATGGGACGACGTTTAAGGCTGCTGGTAATTTTGGGTATTCGACTGAGGTTGTAGTGGAGAGTGTAGTGGTTCTCGGTGGTGAGAAGCCGGTTACTCAGAAGGGACCGTGGCCCCTTGATGGGCCATTTGAAGTCACATTCTAATCTTGAGTTGAATCTTGAGAGGGTTTTGAGTTAGTATTAGATAGTATATATGAACCCCCTTTTTGAATATAATAGGAGAAATATGAAAGTATATTATAAGATAGCTAACCTCAAGGCCCCCTTTCTCTTAGTTGAGATCCTGCTAAGCACAGCTACCGCAAGTGCTGGTTAGCGAGCAATGATCTAACCACCAAATTTGAGATGATCTATGGATTTGGTTGGAAAGTCGAGTAGATTTACGTGATATGGAATACGGCAAGACACTTGAGCTGGGTGTTTGCTTCTATGTATATATTTACCACATATATTAAACATCGGGAAGAATACTCCTGAAATATAGGGTCATACAAACGTGAACAAGATAAAGCTCTATTAGAAGGCATCTCGGAAGTCTTTATAATCGTCCATTCAAAGAGTTTTGATAAACCATGTTTAGACTTGCCTTGTCACCTAATATATTAAGACATTATCGGCTTTCACAGCTGTAAAGCATATTTAACTTAGTTGTACCGGTTTACCCAACTCTTCTACTATCTCATTCCTCTGGTTTGGTTTCTATACGGCTTCGTGTGACTTTACTGTCACTTATGAAAGAGTTCATATGCACGGTGTTCGTAGAAGAAGAGTTAAAGTATGCGTGACTCACTGATATCCGTCTAGCAATAGGCTTTATTGACTATAATTCAATTCTCGACAAGTGTTAATGTAACTAAGCAATATAAACTCGTAGGTTCTGACGACCGAAACTGTCTCCTACCTCTTTTTGTAATGCCAACCGTGGCTGCCGTGGATATCAGTTACTTTAATTTGCTACCGCTGGTACTTGCATGTACCTAATGTACTCATCCGTCTCACTCTTGCCGAATCGGACCCACCTACGCCGCCCACACTGTAGGTAGCCCAGGCAGCTAAAACGCTAAGAAAACCTTGGAAAGCGCACGGGCATCGCATCGATAAAAAAGAAAACTGCAAGCAAGGCAGGTGCATGAAATGATTACATAAGGACCCATCCCTCTGTTACTACGTACGGTCTACAGTTTACCTCTCCACTACAGCTTTTGGAGCTCTAGAGACGGGAAGCATCTAATTTGCCTTGTTTCTAGCGCATTTGCAACTAACGACCCAAGTCCTTTGAGTCCCAACCAGTTAATTCGTTGACGCTTGCGCTTTCTTGGGTTGCGGCATACCGATGCTATCAAGTCGCCGATAAGATTTTCTTTTCTCGGTCATCATCTTTTCGGTATCCTGCATTTGTTGCTATTGGAAACTCCATCTTGACAAGCAAAGCAACCAGGCTATCGCCGAGCTAGGGAGGGGTCAGTCTTTTTATTTTTATTTTTATATTTTTACAGGTTCGCCTTTATTGTACCTACGCGTCCCATATACTGCCGAACCATACTAACGTGTCTCGGGAATACAGTCACGTCAAGCATCATGTCCGACACGAATCACGACGAGCGCGATGTCGCCGGAGAGGACCCCCTGGTCAACGAGGAGGGTAATGATGAAGTGCGCCTTCCCTTTCGATCTCAGTGTAGACAGTTCCGTTGAAATATTCAATACAAGAGGGGTATTTGTTAGATCTTATCGGCTAATGGGAAAATGCTTGCGCATAGGAAGAGATTTCGGCAATGAAGAAACGCGTCGCCGAGATGGAGCAAGAGGCGGCTAAGCTCCGCGAGATGCATGCTGCACTAGAGGAGCGAGGACAAGAGGTCTCAGAGGACAGATCCGACGTTGATAGCCGAAGTATCTTCGTCGGAAATGTCGACTATTCTGTCTCTCCTGAGGAGATACAAGCTCATTTCCAGAGCTGTGGTTCCATTAACCGCGTCACTATCCTACTGGACAAGTTTACTGGCCAACCCAAGGGGTAAGTAAGACTGCTTTGTCTCTGCAAATCTCTTCTATCTTAGTTTGATCAAGCTCACATGTTTCTTGCATAGTTACGCGTACGTCGAGTTTACTGAACCGAGCCTCGTCGCCCAAGCATTAGTGCTAAATGATAGTGTCCTCAAAGGACGTAACATAAAGGTTACTCCCAAGCGAACCAATATTCCGGGCCTTAGCCGTGGTCGTGGTGGCCGCGGCCGCGGCGGATTCGGCGGTTCAGGACGAGGCTTTTATGGCGGAAGAGGTGGATTTACGCCGCGAGGGGGCTTCTACCGGGGTGGCTATCGGGGTCGAGCACGAGGCAGCGGTTTTAACCCTTACTGAGGTCGGCTTGGCTCGTCTTCTCAAGTCTTCCAGCCTGGCCCCCGAGAGGCCTTGAAGATCGCATAAGCGGAGAGGGGAAAAAAAAAGTTGATAATTGTTGACGCAAGGGAACATGGCTACCTACTTATAGCCTTGGATTCTATAGGAATTGACAGACGAATGTCAACTGGGTATGTGAAATGCATACAGGACTTTATTAGATCACCGACTTCGCAGGTATGGCGCAACGTTACCAGGTAGCGTACTTCACTATTCTTTTCTTCTGCCTCCATGTCCAAAATCAGGGAAGCGTTTCCAGGCGAGACTCAGCCGTAGAAAAAGGATAAGAACGTGGAGCTTTTGTTACCTTGACCTTGTTGCTTATTTTCCAGGCACGATTATTGCAACTCAAAGACGTCAAGAGAGGATAGTATTCATAATACCTAGCCTAGGAGATTGGTGGTCGAGGGACGATATGCGATTTAATGAATTCTGAATTCTTCGACGAGGAAAGAAACGCAATCTAAAGGATGCTTTTCCGACATGTATTCCAAAGCGGAGGAGCCTTAATAGGGTATGAGGCTTAAATAGTTCCGCCCTACCCCCCTGATAACCTATGTAATTGCTAGTTACGACAGATGAAAATGATGGTCGATATCAAAATGATAGTCGTCCATATACTGTCATTTGTACCTATCTACCTAACCTATAATCGTGACTAAGTGACCTTATCGTATGTAGTATTTCATATCCGTCATGGTCACATGCAAGACGAAGAGACTCGAGTCGGTCCTAGGTAGGTATTTTATGATTTATAATATTTCTCTAATCCGGTGCCTTCCGGAGAATAAATAAATACCTACATAGTGACATGATAGTGTACCGAGCGCAGAAGAGACCGGGTAACGGCACGGCCCAGATCTATACACTAAAACTAGGAGAGCCAATAAGTCCTGTTGTCCTGACCGTATTGACGTACTATCCTGGGAGCTCCCGGGGCTTAGACCCTGGGGGTATTTTGGAGGCCGCCGAATGGGAGAAGCTTCTATTATCAGCTCATACGCGTGTCAATGTGATCAAAGTCGAATGCATACGTAGGACTATGTAAGGTGAGATAAAGCTTGAAGCCCCCCTGTGGAGGGATGGTACATATAGAAGAATGCCCTTTGTTGTTGGGTTGCTTATTATATATTAAATATAATATTAAATATATTATGTAGGAAAAGGATAATATATCTCGAGAGGTTGGTAATAAACATAGTTAGCATTTTACATAGTCGCACAATAATCCCATTTTAATGAAACGCGAGGTACAACTTAGGACGACGAGAGTTGCGAATGCTGTGCTGAGGTGGACATCTAAAACCGAATTGGGTACGTGCACTATTACCTAAGTTACTCGAGTTATTGACGCTATGTTGATAAATACTTGTGTGGACTGGTTAATAACACTCTAAAAAGATGTATTAAATATCTAAATATACATGAATACATTTTTGCGCACGGGAGGTTCGATGTTGCATGCATTATCCTGTTTCCTAGCGCTTGCACAGCCTCAACTCAATAGATATGGCCACCATTGGACCGGATCGATTCAGCGCTATTCCAGTGTATTGCGTTTGCGTCTAGGTGGTGTTAGCGGTGTCAGTGATGTTAGGTGTATTAGGTCAGTGTGTTAGGCGTGTTAGGTATGTACATAATACCACCTAGGTACCTATGATAGTAGTAGTCATAATTGATCACTACGCCACTGTCGGCCACTGCGGCCACTATGTACGAATGAACCTATCACTGCTACCCACTACGACCTGCCTTAACCTCATAACTTTCCACTTGCTTAGTGGCTATTACCATCAAGACTCCACGAGGCTCACATTTCCGCTACCTTATTCACCCAGAAATTCAGACGAGGCACAGGGAGGGCCGAAGCAGAAAAAACCCAAACAATTTATCGAATTAAATCTTATCCGTATTATTCTATACACGTCCACCGTTGACCGAATACGGACGGAACCCCTCCTTTGGAACGGGGACGCCCAGGTGGGATCCGTGATCTAAGAGGTCATGAGAGAGTTGAGACGTTTGACTTCATTCCAAATTGTGAAGTAGTGAAGCAGTGAAGCAGTTATTAGTATGACCGCAACTCGTACTGAGCCAGGGCCTTCGGCGTGAGTTTGAAATAATCATGATCCGATCCTCTATATGGCCATATGGCCATATTATACAAGATTATGGTCATGGTCAATAGTTTTTGACAAGTCGATCCGCTAACTTCGAGTTTTATTTTACTCCTACAGCCAACCGAATCTGCGAGTCACGAGTGCGTCTTCTACCAACTCCAACTCCATCACCATGCTTGGCGGCCCATAGATACTTACCTATCTCTTCTAGTCATCGCTGCCGACGGCCTGTACAAGAGAGATGTATTCCGTATGTTGATCACTTGTCGCAATCTATATGGTCCAAGTTGTTAACCGGTCCCTTGAAATCCAGGTCTACCCGACCCCTTTGCCGTAGCGACCATCAATGGCGAACAGACTAAGACCACGACCGTCTCCAAACGTACCCTCAATCCTTATTGGAACGAGAGTTTCGATTTGTACGCACCTACCCCCTTACAAAGAAAATAACTAGCCGTAAACTTACCAAATCTATAGCCGAGCAACCGAGGACAGTATCTTAGCAGTGCAGGTCTTTGACCAGAAGAAGTTTAAGAAGAAGGACCAAGGTTTCTTGGGTGTTATTAATATCAGGATCGGGGATGTTATCGAGTTAGCAGACGGCGCTGATGGTATGCATAGGCATATTTATGTCTATTTATGTCTTGAAAAGCCACAAATTCCACTTGTCCAGGCTAACATTGTTTATCAGACCAGATGCTTACACGGGACTTGAAAAAGTCTACGGATAACCTCGTCGTCCACGGAAAATTGATAATCAACCTGTCTACGAACCTAACCACCCCTGCCCGCCCTACGCAGCAACCTCCATCAGCAAGCTCTAGTCGACCTTCCCTCGCCCCTCAGGTTTCTACTGTTAGCGCTAATAGTGCCTCTGAGCGACCGACTTCTTCAGCATCGGGTCCAAACGGACTTGCGCCAGGTACACAAATGGCTTTGCCGTTGAGGCCTAATGGCGCAAATCCGCCCGCGGTTAACGGCAACGGCAACGGCAACGGTGCACAAGCTCGACCTGGAGCTCAGATGAGCCCCTTTGAAGATGCCCAAGGTCGCCTACCTGCTGGCTGGGAGCGGCGCGAGGATAATCTGGGGAGAACTTACTACGTAGATCATAATACGCGAACCACGAGTTGGAACCGACCGACCCAATCCGGTACTTCGGCAGAGAATCGCGGTGAAAGAGAAGCGGCTACTCAGGTTGAACGTCAAAGGCATCAGAACAGAACCCTGCCGGAAGATCGTACCGGCGCCAACTCCCCGACTCTTCAGCAGCAGCAGCAACAGCAGCAACAGCAGCCGCAGCCTGCTTCCAGTAGCGGTTCTACACATAGCCCCGGTCAAAGTACTTTGATGCATACCGGTGCTACTAGTCCTGGTACTGGCGAGCTTCCGCCCGGCTGGGAACAACGCTGGACGCCCGAAGGTCGGCCTTACTTTGTTGACCATAATACTAGGACTACCACATGGGTGGATCCTCGTCGACAGCAATATATTAGAATGTATGGTGGCCAGAATAATTCTAACGGAACGATACAACAGCAGCCCGTCTCACAACTCGGACCACTGCCTAGTGGGTGGGAAATGCGACTGACTAACACGGCTCGTGTATATTTCGTGGATCATAACACTAAGACCACGACTTGGGACGATCCCCGATTACCATCCTCCTTAGACCAGAATGTGCCACAATATAAGCGAGACTTCCGAAGGAAGTTGATTTACTTCCGTTCGCAACCCGCCATGCGGATACTTTCAGGGCAATGTCACATGAAAGTACGACGATCTCACATTTTCGAGGACTCATTCGCAGAAATTTCACGACAGTCGGCAACCGATCTCAAGAAGCGCTTGATGATTAAGTTTGACGGCGAGGATGGTTTGGATTATGGCGGTCTTTCCAGAGAATTCTTTTTCTTATTATCGCATGAAATGTTTAACCCTTTCTACTGCCTTTTCGAGTATTCCGCCCACGATAACTACACCCTTCAGATCAACCCCCACTCCGGTATCAACCCCGAACATTTGAACTACTTCAAGTTCATTGGTCGCGTGGTTGGTTTGGCCATTTTCCACCGACGATTCCTGGACGCATTTTTTATCGGTGCCCTTTACAAGATGATGTTAGGCAAGTCGGTGGTTCTTGCAGACATGGAGGGCGTGGACGCAGATTTCCATCGGAGTTTGCAGTGGATGCTTGACAACGACATTTCTGGCGGTATACTCGAGCAGACTTTCTCTACCGAGGACGAGCGCTTTGGCGTTGTGACAGTGGAGGATCTTATCCCTAACGGCCGGAATATCGACGTTACTAACGAGAACAAGAAAGAATACGTAGATCTTATGGTCAAATGGCGCATTGAGAAGCGTATTTCAGAGCAATTCCAGGCCTTCAAGGACGGATTCCACGAGCTCATTCCCCAAGACCTAATCAACGTCTTTGATGAGCGCGAGTTGGAGTTACTAATCGGTGGTATTGCCGATATCGATGTGGACGACTGGAAGAAGCACACGGATTATCGCGGCTACACGGAGAGCGACGAAGTTATCCAATTTTTCTGGCAAACAGTACGGAGCTGGGATGGAGAGCAAAAGAGCAGACTGCTACAGTTCACGACGGGTACTTCCCGAATCCCCGTCAACGGATTCAAAGATCTCCAAGGTAGCGATGGTCCGAGGAGGTTTACTATCGAGAAAGCGGGCGAAGTTGGTAACTTGCCCAAGGCACATACTTGGTACGTACTTGATAGAAACGGTTTATGTAGACAAAACGCTAACGATAATACAGCTTTAACCGCTTGGACCTGCCCCCATATAAATCGTTGGAGGCGTTGCAGAACAAGTTAACTACGGCGGTGGAGGAGACCATGGGCTTCGGACAGGAGTAAAAAGGCTGTTCTAATGTTTCTTACTGCTACTACTGCTACTGCTGCTACTATTGCTGCTGTATATAGAACGATTAATGGTGTTTCCTCACTACGACAGAGCCTGAATTACGGACGGATTTTTGCATCTCATTTACGTGTCTTGGTTCAAATCCCCTTCATCTTGCTATTCTAGCCCAGCCGTGGTTGTTAGGGGAGAGAGAGAGAGAGATGAAGGTTAATAGCACGTATTATTTTTTATTTATTCTTTATTCTTTTTTTTTTCTTGTTCGCCGAGGGTCTGTGTACACAATGCCGCTAGGTACTCGTGAGATGAAATTAAATAGGGGACTCGGAGCGGGTTTAACATTCGTTTTTTTAAACTTCACGTCACATCGTATTACCTACACTATATCACATCGTACGGATACGGATACGGATATGGATATGGATATGGATGTGTTATCGCGAAATGTAGTAATAACCGAACTGAATCCTGTCGTAAGGGAAATGGACTAGCTGAGCGGGCGTTCTGAGCCGATGTAATGAGATAGATAGGTATCTGCTAGCTTCATTCTTTTCGTCCCGGTAGCTATGTAACTGTCGCGAGTACTATTGAATTTCTCTAGGTATGCTGCCGTATAAAATAAAAAGACTAGGCGCCCAAGTAAGCTGGGAGGGTGCTGCCGGGGTATTATACCGCCAATCAAGAACTTGAGGGATTTCTATTATTATTATCAATGACTGACGAGTACATACATACATAACACAGATCGATCGGTTCGATCTGGGGGTTCGAACGGCATATTTAAGTAAGGTATATACAGGGGCATATACCTACATACCTACGTTTGTAGGCGGGCTATACATACATAGACAGGCTAGCTGGCCGGCGAGTTTTCCTTGGAAGCTTACTCGTCGAATTTTAATCCAATCAGCTTTTCCATCCGTCTACGGTTTGATGGATGGGATGGGACGGATGGACGGATCAGAGAATTAAACGTTTATTACAAGTATTTGAGTAGGAGGTGCATACGTATAAATTGAATCAGCGTTAAGGACTGGTCTCTACTCAGGTCTTCAATTTGATAAGCAATCTATAGGGAGACAGACCCAGAAGGCAGTGTAGGCATTACGAGCATAGGAAACTTAATAGACAGTTTAACGTATTGAATTACTACTCTTATTACGAGAAACAAAGGGTGAAATCACTATTCGTTAACTAAGCAGATCTATGTTTGCTTGCGCAAGCTCTCAATATTCGATGGCTTCTTTATACAGTTTCGATATTATAGATACAGGAACAGCTGTCTATCAGCCTCTGTCTCGCATCCCTTCATAAAAAACAATTGTTGCTAACCAGCTTGCGCGCTGTGGAGGATAGGTGTATCAAAACCGGCAGTGCCTCCTCACACTGAGTGTCCTCTAACCTCTACTAATTTCAAATTGACCTATCAACCCGACGCCGCCGTGCTTCCCTGTTAACGCTGATCGAATCAACTTCGTAACCTAATAGACATGTTCTGCGTGAACCTCCAGAATACTGGCTCCCCGGCACATATCTTAAACTGAAAAAATTCGAAATGCAATCGTAATAAAAGGTGTATAGTAAGAGTGGTCATAAACGAATTCGGTATAGTCCAACGTTAAAAGAGTCGCTCAGCACGTCTTCTTGACCGCCAACCGACTAGTCCACGCAAAGATTGCATGAAAAAAATCCTGATTAAGAACTTCATATACTATCTTCGACCCCGTCTCTGATGTTCATTCCCATTCCCCTTGATAGGGCTGACAAAGGTGACGTGCTTACTGTCATCCTTACGTAGGCGCACCGTCGTCCCAGGCCCTGCGCCGGTAGAACCACGATGGTGCCGAATAGAACGTGCACCGCTATGGTCGTCTTCGATGTCGATTTCGTCGACATCCGATATGGACTGTGCCCCGATGCTATCATTCAGGTCTGATTCCATCTCCGAGTCGGCTTCCGAGTCATCATACTCCCCATCATCGCTGACAAGAGACGGTGCATTATTGCTGACGGCAGTATGAGGGCTTAAATCCACATCTAACATGTCGTCATCTACAATCATCTCTGGTTCGGGAGCTGATATAACTTGGGGAGCTGGGGTTGGCACAGGAGTGGCATAGGGAATATGCGAAGGGTGGCCTTTGCTACTAGGTGGTCGAGCAGTAGCGATAGCAGGTGACATTGTGGCCCTCACGGGGACCCGTACGAGGGACGGGGCCTGGCGTGCAGCTGCATTTTCAGCGCCATTACCGCCCGCGTCAACCTCGTCCAACTCATCATCGGGGGAGAAGTACTGGTCGAGGTCGATCTTGGCCTTAGCCTCACTGACCAACTCGCTCAGGTTGCCATTAAATCCTCTGCTTTGGAGTAAGCGAGATAGATGTGGAGAATCAGCTGAAGGTAAGAAATTTGGCTGCTGTCTAGGTGCCGCTGGTGCGCTCTGAGAATTCTTGGAGGCGCCGGGAATCGACGAAACGCCATGCAGTTGGCCCCGGCTGTACATTTCTAACGATTCCTGGATACGACGCACAACAGAGAAACAAGCCTCAGACTCGGACATAGCATTCTCCCGCACAAATGGATGGACAAGACCGGACGAAGGTGTACTCTGGATGACTGGTTTTTCTTCTCCTACCGTACCACTAGGCTCAGTAACCTCGATAGGATGGCCGCAGTGCACCGCAGCTTCCTCGTGGCTCTTGAAGTCCCTCTTGTGCGCTATTCGACAGTGGTTAATAAACCCCTGCGTACTTGAAAAGTTCTCGCGATGGCAATCAATGCAGACAAGTTTTACGGTCTTCCCATCAGATCGCTTTAGGACGCAAGGTCCGTTTTTATCCTTGGGAGGCGGATAACCACTTGACAGGGCTTGGAGCTTCTGACCTGCCGTACCCCTTACTGGTCGACCTCTCCCCTGGGACGCACCTAACTCAGCATAACTATTTCTCGTCGATCTACCGTCTATCGAATTCCTGAATCTTGAGTTCTCGGCTTGCACATGTGCCTCAGGCTGGATGCCGTCGAACTTAGGATCGGGTATGAGCCACTTGGCATAATGTCGCGCGTACGGACCCTCGGTGACGCCAAAGGGAGGTGCCCACTGAGGCAGCTTCTCGCCCAACTTCGGCTGCAAGGCTGCACCTGACCCATTCATTATATTCACCATATGTTCCGGCGTGGGAACGTTCTGTGGATACGGAATTAGATGGCACCTTCGAAGTTGTTCCAAAGCCACCTGGCATTTGGCAAGTTCTTGATTAATCAAGCGTAACTCGTCGTGCTTGAGTAAGATCTCAAGACTAAACTGTTGTTCGATAGCATCTCTAGCGCGATTCATGTCGGGCCTATTCAATACGGGCCACGATGCACGCCCTCTCTCCTCCTCTACCGACGACAAAGCCACCTTCTTGTGCGCCCTAAGGCTATCATAGTCATCATCATCAGTCCTTGTCCGCTTGAGCGCGGGTGAAGAAGCAGGCAGTTGCGACGCTATCGCGACGTTGCTCTGCTTGCGCCGCCTCGGGGTTGTAGGGATGTTTGTGGCGGCCGCAGTAGTAAGCGGCGACTCTGATGACACCCAAGGCTGCAGTGGTTTGCTGAAATCAAGCATAGGCTGTTCAACTTGTATAGTTTTGTCGCTTCCCCTCGAATCTGAACTCCAAAATCGGAACATGAGCATACCCGACGGGGAAAAGTGAAGTTTAATGGTTTTGCGCCCAAAGAGCGTTGTTGCGCGGTTGATTGTTGTACTTAGTCGGGGCGCGGATAGAGCAGACCCGGGCTGATATGCAACAATAAAGTTGGAAAAGGGGGTGGAAGGGGGGAACCTATCGCTAGAGGTGCGACACCAGATGGGCCAAATGGGAAGGCAAGGCTGACGTAACGACGAATGGTTGCAGGGCGTGGGTACCTAGTTTCCTCCCTAGCGCGGCAGGTGGAAAGTGTGCAAATCGGGGGGTCGGCTCAGCCGGCGGATGCGACCACCTCTTTTAGCCTGACGATGCACGCTATTGAACGGTCCTAGTCCTAGGCTAAGCAGCAAGCTAGGCAGTAAAGTAGGCAATCACTAGTACCCAAGGCAGAGGAACAAGAACCAAGGAAGCCGCACGTATCAAATAGGAGAGATACGGGCTCCTGATGGGTCGACGATGCGCAAAAAAGGAGCAGGGCTATCGCTGATGTGGCCACGGTCAAGCCCAACGAAACTTAGTCTGAGTCAGGTTCGTAATAGGTAGACGAGGAATGCGCGACGACAGGCCAGTAACAGAACAACGCAGTGCAAATGGTCGTAAAACGGTTGCGCGTAATTAATAGATAGTATGTAAGTGTAAGGCCGACTTTAATAAAAGAAAAGACTTTGCGACCAGGCGATAATAAAAATGTCCTTGAGGAAAAAAGAACAAGATGCGAAAAAAGGACAATGAGCGCAGTAAAACAGTATCAAATGGAGATACTGTAGACGGTGCGTTGGTATTAGAAGGCGCGTATGATGATCATCAGGGTGCGATTTATGCGACCGAGACAACAAAAAAATAATAAAATAAGGGCGGAAGGGAATGAAGTAAAGTAAAGTGGCGCGACCGACGGGGGGGAAGTATTAAAATTCAGCAAAGGAACGCGTGAATAGAACAAAAATAAAAAGGCGGAAGAAAGCCGATTATCATTTGCTGCGAGTATCTTTTTTTCGGATGTTGCGACAGGCGGATTTTCGCAGAAAAGGCAGCAGGAAAAAAAAATGAAAGGTTGTAAGATTGTAAGGTTTCTAGAGGGTGCGAGACGCAAAGACGCAGAGACGCAGAGATGCAGAAATGCGAAAATGCGAAGGTGCAAGGAAGTCTTGATTTCCTCGAGTTTGGGGTTTGGGGTTCGGGGGGCGTCGTAGGTTACCTAACGCGTGCGTATCTGGCTGTAGGTATGTAGCTTCCACAGTTCAATGCCGCTGCTAGGTTGCTGTGAGGGTGCTATGAAGGTGAGGTGTGATATAGGTAGTTCCTTGTTAGGTGGGTTGGGTGGGTGGCTACCTGCCTGGAGCTAGGGAGGTTAAGTGGTGGTAAGTTAGGTACCTAATGTACATACACGTTGTAAATTCACTTTGATATTTGATTTGATTGCCCGACAATCCGACGGATGGCTTTGGGATTTCTGGGATTTCTGGGCTTTTGACAAGGGGGTCCCAAAATCAATCAAATTCGAGTTTAATGCTGCTCTGAACCGACAGGGATTATTCCATTTGCGTTTCCAAGAAAAAAACCTATGTATCTCGAGGCGGTCTGTGCTGCACGGTAAAGGGGTCTATTTAGGTGTCCATCTGACTTGTGACCTGTTTGCATAATACTGTAAATATTATGCACGCATTACGCATAGTCATGAAAATGTACCCAAGTACCTAATTTGATATTCCCCTTCCCATTATCTCCGATTGAATATAGGTATGTACTTCTTAAATATTTTCCCTTTTTTATGTATGACTCACTTAAGGACACAGAGAGGGGCCAAGGTGGCAAAGTCTCATACCCGGTATATTTCTAAGCAGGCTGGCAGGAAAGAAATAGGCAGATATGGGATGCTTTCTTTTGAAGGGAACAAGACAATCAAGTTCCTGTGAATGTACATGTAACTAGAAGGGAAACATGACTAGACGAAATTGATTTATGAAAGGCTGTTACATGGCCGCTTTTAGCTGGTACACAGGGCTGGCGGGTACTTTTGCATAGGAATTGCATTACTATGTACAGTACATGATGTAGAAACGCTAAATATTGTACAAGCGCACTAAGATATTGCATAATGCTTATATTGTACATGTGTACAAAATCGCCCGGCTACTATGCTTGATTTAGATTAGCGACTCCCTCCTGTAGGTCTAAATCCTCCGGATAGGTCAAAAAGTCACTCACGGTAGTACTACTTTTATATAGACGGCTTACGACGCAAAATTTTCAACAAAGCTGGCTCATCTTCAGTCACCAATCATACACAACTGGGTCCCATAGCTCAGTTGGTTAGAGCGTCGTACTAATATTATCAATTATCATCGTTGGTTATATCTAGTTTATGCGAAGGCCGGCGGTTCGAGCCCGCCTGGGACCATCTCTTTTTGCTTTTTCTTCCTCTGGAACGTCCTTATGAACTCCCAGTTTCTTACTCCGTATAGCTATAACCCCCTATAGAGAAAGGAGAGCTTACTTGGTCGGGTACAGTGCTGTAGGTTTCATAGATGAGATCCTTCGAACTGGTCCTTCCCCCTTTTTTAACCGCTAGTCTTTTTATTGTCAGTTATTATCATCTTTATTACAACTATCTATCCTACTTAAAGTAGTTCTAAGTATCATGCACTACCTTAATCCTAAGGGCGGCTTCATTTTCGAGTTTCGATGGCCATCAACTAAGCCGCATTATCGACCTTAACTCTCTTCTAAGCCTCGGGGGCGCTTTGGTGCTCTCGCGACCCCGATATGGTAATGGCTTGACTATTACAAGTAGTTTAATACGGTGATGGACGCAGTTTGTACGGTAAGTACGTGATATACCTAGTATTAGTACCTAAAGTAACCTTAGTATAAAGTTTAAACGTTAGAATGCCTCGAACCCCTTTTATCCGAGCTACGGCGAGTCTCCAGGCCTAGTGAGCTACCAACAGTCTTGATAATACTTTAACGCAGATCAGATGATGCGTCAGTTGTCGTGCTACAGTGTTTGTGCAGATTGGAAGTAATCTAGAAACCGGGTTTCTGAAACTTGGTGTCTTAATGCTAGCTTATTTCACAGCTGTCCTTCGACTCTTCAATAACAGCCAGCGAATAACCACTTCTTCCTCACAATATTCTCATTTGGGGCCACCAGAAGTAGTAAAGTGTTAAGCAAGGACCCTTATTAAAATCATATAATTATATGTGTCTACCTATCCTAATGATTCAACAGGGCCCGGATTAACTAATTAAAAATGAAATATTAGCCGTAATAAGAAAGGGAAATTACTATGTAGATATAATTTGAGAGTGAGTCCATGTCAAAATTTAAAGTGTAATCGTTGGAATAAGGTAGCTAATAGTCCAGATACTCAGATTAGTCGAGTAACTTTGCCAGGAAGAAGCTGCTCACAACCATGATAAGTAGGTACTTTATAGGATTATTAGCGTTCGACTTCGAAAACATCTTATAAATATAACATAATCTATTAAGTAAAGTTATCAATAGCATACAATAGGACTACCTAAACGCTACATATCAGGTCTCTATATAAGGAATGTATCCCCCCTTTACTTTTAAATGGAGTATGTGTCAATACAGCCACCAACCATACCACAGGCTAGGCCCTTGACTCGCACTTTATATAACACAATCCCTAGTGGTTATATCCAAATCATAGCATCCTCAACACAGCACTACACTGGTACTATACCTATGATGTTATTTTACATTAGAGGCTGGTCGGTATGCCGATGACTCAGCTACTTACGGTCTCTTACATGGTTTAAGTGTATAGCTTCAAACCGATATCGCAATTTTGTATGAAGAGCAGCGAACACTAGTGAACTCATTGGTGTTCTCAAGATATCTCTAAAACCAAATAGAGTGACTGGTAAAAATATCGAGAATAATAAGACTACGCCTTATAAGCCCGAGACAGGATCGAGGAGTATCAACTGCTATTAGCGAGATATTATATGAGAACGGCGTTTACTCTCTTAAAGTGTACGAACTAAGGGGACATCAGAGCGCATAAAATCAAGCAGCAGGGAATAACATATTTCACAATAAGGTACGTGGGTAGAAGCAAACAGCGACGGATAGGCATAAGAGGGACAAAAAAGACAACTCGATACCTAGGGGCAGGTAGGAGCAGCATAAGTAATGGTCCCAGGCGGGCTCGAACCGCCGGCCTTCGCATGGACTAGATATAACCAATGATGGTGATATTAGTACGACGCTCTAACCAACTGAGCTATGGGACCGCTGTGATTGGTGAAAGACGCCGACCTAAGTACGTATATGATCCTGTTTGCTTTTGCTAGAGTCGGAGTGAAAAGTCTTCTGTCTTGGCCTATCAACGTCGACATACGGATCCGTACACTAGTCGGCTTTAGCGGCTTTAATATATACCTCACACCTACAGTCTTATGTATGTCTCAGGCAAATCATACATACATAGTTGTAATAAAAAAGAGCCGTGTTTTATGTAAACGTACCTAAGGTATAAGAGGTACTTGGGTAAGTTGCATAATAAGAGAGACCCGAACTCAGGCTAAAAGCGGCGTGGTTCACGGTATTGAATGTGCAAAGTAAGCAGAGGTGTATTAATAGATATTATGGACATGACTAGCATGTAGGTACATGCGTTTAGTTCGTTGAAACATGGCAGGCTGTAACTGGACACCATTGGTTAGTTGGCGGAGGTTTTAGTAGCACCTACCTACGCATTACTGTAACATGAACTACATCATATTGTTGAGATTGAGACGTCTGTTCTTAAGGCTAAGAGAAAGGAATTTAGACGAGCTGTTGACTAGTGGGGTCGGTCTTCATCTAGTGTAATGGCTCGCGTATATTACGATAGGGAGCTACATAGGCTTGTTAAGTTGTTACATCATAGTAATAGTTATTTTGGAATCAGACGAATTAAGAATATCTTAACAGGTATACCTACACCAATACCTAAATAGTAGAAGATGACTTGATTGGCGGAAATGGATTGTACATAAAGATTGCCTGAGAATGAGATGACGATCGTAACTCTCTATCCATACGATGCCTTCGTGCATAGTACGTAGCTTGGTTTATCCTTGGCAATGACTAGGCTGCATGAAATGGCAGGGCCCTTTATTCAGGATCAACCAATTGTGTATTGGCCTCGTCTCAAACGTGTCTGAGTTGCGAAGCTCATCGTATCTTCTCGTTTGATAACTTGATGTTATAGTGCATACTGTGTAGCGATAAGCAGGGACGACAAAGGCCGGTATACTACATATGTAAGTTCATCTATTTCTAAATAGATTAAACGAAATACATTTCCCTTATGTAAGCTACTACCTGTATGACGTGATTTGGTATAGTTTTTAGCCAAAAAAAACAAAGTTCTTGGAAAATATGTAAAATGCTCCCATGTAAATTTTATGTGGAGTCAAAGTAAGCACTTTATTCATAGCGAAGTAACGATGGTTGTAACAGTTGATAATCTTGCATTATCGATAAGATTTATACCTTAAAGAGGTATGCAAGATTTAATCAAGTCCTTGCTTAACTTCCAACCATACACACAGCTTTCGATGACGACTATTCACCCTTCTCCGGCGGCATCATGAATGCCCCAAGAGACCCCCTAAAGTCCAACCGAGTTAGCGACTCGCTGACCAAAAGGAAGCGCGCTGATACTGATCCGATTGTACCAAATAAGAAAGCCAAGCTCGAGGCAAGCCTTAACCTATCGTCGATCGAGGATATCAGAATGCTCCAAGCTCTGGAGTCTAAATATGATATCCATGTCCATTCGGTAATCTCGTCCTCCAAGATCCAAAAGAAAGTCGTTTCGATTCTCCAACGCCTCACTTGCCCCGCCACTAGCAAGACGAGTGTGATTGTTTTGCGCGCAAAAGCTCCCGACACGGGCAAGTTGGTCTCGATAGCCGAAATTGCGAAGCGCGAGTTAGAAAAACGGGAGGACGATGCGCGCATTTGGTTTCAATACATCGCGCTAGGTGAGGAGCTGAAGGAAATACCCAGAGGCGATGGTAATACTACTATTGAGGAAACGAAGCTAGGCGACACCGGTGATGACGACTTTGAGACCATGAAAACTCCTTTTGAAAGAGCTGTCGAAGGCCAACCTCGTTGGAGAGGAATACCTGTCATGAGCCTGTTCCTTTCTCCAGTTTCCATTGAAGAACTCAAAAGGCGATACGGGGAGCAAACGAATGCCGGCCCCAAGTAGAGAACCCGCCGAACCATTATTATCCATGTCAGGAGAGAGACGGTAGAGCAAACCCTAATATTAAGATACCCAAGCAAGATCACAAAATACGAGAAGACCCAGCAGACGTTACTCTATTTTGAAGAGGCTTTCATGCTACGAAGCATTAACATTCTTATATCTTATGCTACAAAGCATATGGATAAATTTCAAACTCGTAATGATGACCAGAACAAACTCCACCATAAATGCGCACCCGATAGGAAATATACCATGCTAAGATGCCGTCTGATATACAACCTTCCCATTCGCACGGGTCATTGCCCACTGTTGAAAGACTAGCAAGGGATAGTTATTGCAAAACTACCGACTTTGAGGTTACTGTTCAAGGGTTCATTCTTGAACAAATTTCCAAGAGCCTGATTCACAGCCTTGCAATGTGTATCCTCCGATTTCCCGTCTGAAATTAAGGCTTTTTCCCGCCCTCTGCGCCGGAGTATGTTATTCGCAACACGAAGTTGACAACGACAGCTAATAGGAGGATAATAGCCAGTACGGACGGCCCGACGCGGTCATCGAAACCAGCCTGCCCCCTTACTCTTATCGACTTAGCTCGCCAATGATATGTAAATAACGCATATATCATGGTGAGCATGGCTACACCCGTAAATAGGAAGGCCGAGATGAATGCGGGACGGTCACCAAAGTTCAACATGCCAATGGCCAAGGCACCCAATATGACGGTGAAGTTCAGCCATGATAGAAAGGTACGTTCGTTGGCGAAGAAGACCTTGGGTTCGACTCGGGTAGGTAGGGCAATCCGTTTGCCTAAATTGGTTGGTTGAAATATGTTAGTTCCCCGGCATCAATAACTCAATAGGTGCAATGCCCGAAGAAAGCGCGTTTACCTGGAGCTGTTTGCAGAAGAGGTTGGCTAGACATGTCGGGAGATTGATGATTGGTGATTGGTGTTAGATGGTCGGTTTTAGAAGTATGGTCCGTGGAATTAAGCTTAAATAGCTGGCTAAAATAGGTTCCCGTCGGCGAATAATTGAGTTTGTTACTTGAGTTTGTAACTGCAACAACTGCAACTACAACAGGTAGGGAAGCTCTGTACCGTCGCGGTCGAATTTCTGGGGAAAAGCAAAACGCATATGAAACGAGCCGTGGGCGACGGAGATGAAAAGGAATTGAGTGCAAACTCTGTAGAAATACAGATAACTAGGTAGACGAGAAATCAAAACAAGAAGAAGAAAAAAGACTACCTAGGTAGGTAGCTATGACGATGATAATTGAATAATGTGATGTTGAAAGCTCTTGATAGTAGGTAGTAGCGAAAAGTATCTAAACATCTAAACACGGTTAGTTGATATCATTAGCTCACCCACGTGTGCCGTTTCGCGAATCTCAGTGGCCGATTCGAAGGAATAGCAGGGAGTAGCAGGGATTCATAAAAGCTGCCATCGTGAGAGGAGGAAAATAAGAACTACTATTATGTATGTATGCACGTGCCAAGTTGCCCCGCGCAGGACTGAAAAAGTAGAGTATCCTTACATAATTTATCGGTTCGTGTAACTATCTATGTATTACACATGCATAATCCTATGTATGTAGATGTGCTAGGTAGATGCAGGGCCTTCTGAAAATAAGCCTTGCATCAATTTATTGTTTACAACGTCACAGGGAGAAGGCTGAACAAAACCAAAGCACAAGGCTACTTATTATATAGTCAACCTTTAACCTAAGACTTAGGTCCTAAGTGAACTACCAATTGCCCCCGGATACCAACACTACGATTCCTATAAGAAACAGTACACGAATCTATCACAACTTATTCATTGTATAGGATTCTCGCTTGTAACTCCTCCATTACCTCTAAAGCTCGACCGTTGCCACCATCTAAAGCAAAATGGCCTCACCGCAGAGCAATGCCGTATGTAACAATCACCGCCAACTCTCGCCACTTTCGAAGAAGCTAATAAGAGTTTCCTATAGCCAATTAGCACCACGAGGCTAAAGCAGATCGCGATGGACGTAGGTTCGCCTTGCACCCTTCCTCAAGAGAACAAATTAGAGAGCCCATCAAACTAAGATCGGTTAAACACAGGCCTGCCAAAGCGCCATCGGTAGTGCGGAGTTCTACGAGCATTCGAAAGTCGAAGGTTGGAACTCCACCATCATCGTACGTCCCCCCTCGACCTGCTATACCTACCTACCTACCTACCTACCCACTCTACAAGAAACCTCGTTTGTTAACATGACACACCCCCTACGCAGAACTCGATCCTCCGAGCTATCATATCCGAATCAACCCCCTCGGGCTCCCAGACCCCAGCCCACAAATACGTGGTCAACAGCACCATTGTGCAACACTTAGTCCCGACCTCGGCGCTCAACAAGCCCAAAGGCGGCAGCGACGTCAAGGCCGAAAGCCCGCGCATCAGCACCAGCGACGGCGGCAACGCGACGGCCACGGACGGAAAGCCGCACGTGGGCCGGCGGGGCATGCACTCGGCCACGCAGGCGTTTTGGAACGAGAAGACGGACGGCATGTGGAGCTTCAAGTACGACGGCGGCGAGGGCAAGGGCATGGATGTTGTTATTAGCGTCATCTGGGTCGGGATATGATATGAGGGTGTATACAGTATAAGTCTGACTTGGAAAATGGCGCGGGGGAGCTGGCTGTAATAATAATAATAATTTAGAAAAAAAAACACGTTGTTTTATCTACGCAAAAAGATAAATTGATACCTTTACAACCGCCGTTGTACTCTTAGAACTTGTAGTAACACCTGCCCTGTTTATATGTTAGAATCATCGTATCCGTCGAAAGTGGTTCGTATTATTACGTGATTTAGGCTCGTTTAGCCATACGCCAACAAGGCTCCCAAATAATACGTAAGAAGTAGAGCCATGAATAGAGATGCAGTCTCATTGGTATGAGCTTTACTCATAATAAGAGGGAAGTATCCTCTTGTTTTGAGAATACTGCCTTCACATACACTCCTTGCTACTAAGGCAAGTAAATTAATAGTCGTAGAGTCGAACTGACTTGCCTTGACGATCTGCCTTTACCAAATATACATGAAGAAGCTATGATTACCTGGTCGATATGGAAACCATTACTGTTTAATTCATGGCCTTCGCAGTAGAATATCGATTAGGTATATAGATGTCTAGCCTTATGTGACTTCTTTATTAGTGAAATATTAGCCCCGAATCATGACTTTTCGGAATGTCACGTCTGAAGGGTAAGATAAAACTCGAGATACCCCAGCTATCATGGTTTGGGTATTTTGACAGATTAAATATCAACTGCGGGTAACCAGTATATGAAGTCTTATCCTATCTCTTCTCTGGAGAGCATATGTATAATCTAGTAGTATACGCCCTCCTATGTATTCAGTCTCAAGGTCACATGTTACCGGCGTACTATATCACGCAAACCCGCGATGAAGCATAGAAGTCATACATGTATCCACCCGTTGAATTATGCTTAATGCTATGCTGCACCCAGTCGAAGGTGTAAGCTGCTGGTCGTTGAAACTATGACTATTACATTTTACCAGAGAGTGATCCAAGTCCATTGGGACCTTAATTGCCGTAGATTTGACAAGTATACTAGGATATGTAGTTGACTTCATCTACTTACATATTTGGGAAAGCTAAGAACCAATCAACGCGAATATAGCGTTACCGTTGATGCCGCCCTGAGTCTACATATTAAAGTAATATGATGCTTATGATGCTAAGACTTGTGTATATCTGTATGTATATCTCCACCTTATCGGAGTGTTACGCGATCAACGTCCAGCCAGCCCTAAATGGTGTTGTACTGCATTGCATGGAAGGGTGACGGCTAGCCGAGCTGTCACCTCGATCTAGACACCTTTCAGGGTCGCCAAGTTTCCCTGCGTCAGCAAACAGGGAAAAACAGACCATTGGATTCATGTACCTATGTATATTTTCGTACATCGGAGCTCAGCGAAAGAGTTACCACGTAACGCAAACCGCTGCAGCGGAAACACGCCATTATCTTTTCTCTCCAGTCTAAACACGGCACGGGACGAGGAACGGGATCAAAAATATATGATCACTTGCTACAACAAGATACTCGTTTTGTATTTATGAATGACTTTCATTTATAAAGCTCTAAAGAGTATAACTACCTGCTTACTTGTTACTCCGGAAGTCAGCGAGAAGCCAAGTATACAATATATGTATAACTATACATTATACACTACTTGGTATCCCTGTAAAGACAGCACCGGATTCCTTCTTGTAGTTAAAGATCTCTGCTACATACATACATAAGATCACGGTAAGGAATGGCTCCATTACGTATCGGCAAAGAGACGTCAGTGCTCCATAGCAGTGGATACGATCGTGACGATCTGCATGAAGAGCGCGGATAGGTTGCCAAGGCACCGTTTGACGCAGTCCAGAACGTCGGATTTAACACTGAAAACAAGTTGGTTTATATTAAGAGATCTAATTGACACCCCTTTACGAAATAAGGTCAACGTGATTCTTATTGTCTTATTGGCTGGTAACGAGTTTGTTTCTCCTCTTTTGTAAGATTCGGTAATCGTTTACATACCGTACTTGGGAGAATGGCTCTTCGCATCTGCCAATGCCGATTCCCGAAACATTCCAACGTGTCTTGGGAAATTGAGGTTGTCTGACGTTGCACATCGCTGCTATATCGAGTTCCGGTAGGCTGGGCAGGCCCCCGAGTCGCTCGTTTTCACCCTGTTTTCCTAACTCCACAACCTTCGGTTCGACGTCGCATGTTAGTATCAAATTAACTAACATAAAAAATGGATTATTGTTCCACCGCTTAGGAAAGGGAAAAGTGCGGTAAAGGCACAGCGGCTGAGCGGCAGACAAATCGGCCTACATACATACACTACACTAGTATGTACTATGTGAGATGGATACTTGTCACGATACCCTTGTACCTATTCAGCAACTTGTGGGGGATTCTGGTGTCTTATTTTTCGATATACATACCTATGTATTATGTATAGGTACATAGCACAGCGGCTTGGACCGAAATCCTAAAACTAGAGATAGATCATGGAGTAGTTAAAAAAACTGTTTTCGGTATATTACCATGCAACTAGGTATGTTAAATCGATGACATATCAACTTATCCTATGTGCCTATACACTACTTAGCTTATTCACTTAGCTTATTACTAGTCGCCCGTCCGCTATCGCTCAGGAATTGACCGGGATGACCGGGGTGGCTAGCGAGAATTCCCGGGACTGAAAATGAATAAGAGATTTCTTCTAACAGCCGCCGAACTCCCCCCCAAAGCGACAGACTGGCCCAATCCGGACTCAGCCTGCCTTCTAGAACCCCTTCCTGACTGGCTGGCATTACTCGAATCATAGATGGAAATATTATTTCTGGCCTAGCCCGGTTTTTCCAGATGATTCCCCCGTATTTGCCCAGACTGTCAGACTCCCGGTCGGGGGCGACGATGACTGCGGGTCACACCACCCTCATCTCTCGCCATTTAGTCACGATAGATCTCCAGACCTCTAATCCTCGGCGCCTCGCCAAGTTGCCAGAAGTGGATCACATCTCCACTAAACAGTGATCGTAGTAGTGTGGCTAGTTCTCGTAGGCCGTAGCTGACCCCTTACCGCTTTCTTCATGGCGGCGGAATTTATAACCCTCCCGTCCCGCGTAATTCAAGTCTTCGGTAAGTGTCACGACTCGTCAACAGACTATCGAACGAGTTTCTATCCACGATATATCTGAAGATTTCCTCCACATCGGATCTCCAGACCCCAGAAAGAAAAAGAAAAACCCCATATACAAACCTAAGCTACAGCTACAGCCTCGGCTGTTCCTTGTTCCTGACTAAAGCAAATCCATCGTACCGCTGTTATCAGCCACCATCTAAGCGGCAAATTTTGCAATCTTAGAACTGAGGACCCTAGTTATCCAACTTGACCCTAGGGGCTTGTCAGTCTTATTGTAAATTCGAGAATAACATTCTGAAAACCAGGTGCTTCTCACTGCTACTTGGTTAAACATATTTGGGTGCAACAAATAGCACCTTTCGTCATATTTGAATTTGAAAAAGACACCAACCTACAGACAACATGGTTGAAGTTCTCCGCGCCCCGTCCCTGGGACAGCCACTATCACAAGGTTCACCCGACATGATGGACATCTCGAGTAGATTCCTCAATGTGGACCTCGGTCCGGCCTCGGAAACATCAGTGGTGGTATTGCAGCAGCAGAAGGTGTCCGCAAAGGAAGCCGTAGCTAAGAACGGCCTCCTCTGGACACCTCGACGTGCTTTTTCCACAACTGATTATCCACCCTCGGTTAATTCGTCTGTTGTCCTGCAGAGACAACACCGTCTACCCACTCCGCTTGCTACACCAAGAGAGTCTGCGGAGACAGACTCATACTTCGAGTTCCACCCTCACGTTGCGACTGCAAAGCCGCAGCTCGCAGCTTCTCCGGTCGTACTCACTCCGCGAGGCATAAACTATGTCCAGCCCGCACGTCCACCCATGCCAGTACAGCCAAGGTCGTACTCAGTGACGGACGTCGAGCCAGTCCCATTTACACACCAACCGGGTGTGGCCCTTACCATAGAGGATCTCCCTCCCGAGCTGCACTACGCTATCTTCGACTTTTTGGACCCCATCGACAGCACGTGCTTAGGGTTGACAAACAAGCATTTCTACTCGATTCACAAGCGAATGCACGGTAAAGTGCCGCTGTCAGCTAGGCGAGAGGGTCCTAACGACATGGAATGGGTGTGGCGGAACGCACTTATATCGGGTCCGTTCGTGGCTAGCAGCGGAGTAGGCAAGCAGAACTCGCTGGCGCTGCTATCCCCACGGGGCCAGGTATACTGCCGCAAGTGCCGCACGGCGCGCTGTGAGCTGCACAACCACATCCGCGAGTGGGTCGGCGGCAACCAGGAATACTGCGAGGTATCGCAGAAGTTTGGCGCCGCCGCTCCCGAGAAGGCGAGGGCATTCTGCTACCGGAGTTCTCCGAGACATCCGCACCGCTGCGGTAGACACACGCGACAGCAGCGGCCCGTTCGGCTCGTGTAAGACACGGCCGGAGGGGACGGGGACAGTCAAAATAAAATAAAGCTAGTCAACTATAAAAGTCAACTATAAAAGTTGACTAGAGAACCGAGAATAAACTCTATTCTTGGGGAGGTCGAGAAATACCTCATTACCAACCAACCAACCAACCAACCAATATGTTGTTATCTCTCTCTCGAGGGAGGCTACATATCCCCCGTGCCGATGGAATTGGTCAAAAGGCAATGATTGCGGGGTGCGCGTCTTGCAGGACCAAGTTAAGGATCATGATCGGTCAAGATACCGTACCGCAGACATCTAAGTAAAAGGCTTCAAGTCACATATGTATGGATGAATACATGTTTGGGAATATTAACTAACTACCTGGATATAAATAACGGACTTAATGACTTAGTTACTTAACAGGTAGTTATTGGAATATGGGTAGATATGTTTATGACATGCATTGCATAACTCTGCATTGCATGCGGAAGGGAATAAGACAACAAGAGAATGTTGACCTGTCGTGTAAGACGGCTTGGGATAGCTTTTGTCTTGGATTGCCTCGGATGGGAATTAAGAATAGAATTAAGAATAAAGAACTTGGGACGAGTTTTACTTCAATGCTGCTTATGATTGTATTTCCTATGGACTTGGCTATGTGATTTATGTGACTTAGATACTTAAACTACCTAGGTATGTTTAAATTACTTAGTACACAAGCTTTATTAGAAGATGAAATAACCTCATGTCATGGGCGTTTGTTTGATGTAGAGTTTTAAGATACTCCCATCCATGGGACTAACACGGGTGATACCTGGGTACCTACATAACTGATAACTGAGACTGATAACTGATAACCTAAACGGAAATGGATGTCTTCCACCACATATCGGGATCTCGGTGCCACGCCACATGGTACTTCCGGAGCATTAGCCACGACCAAGCATGAAAATGCTGGATTAGAAGGTCCGGGTTCAGCTAATTGGTAGGTTATGACGCCACTTACATGGTATCCCTAACCGGGGGATCGAACGATTACTGTGTACCAAAATTTTTGAAATTGTCAAAATTATCAAAATTTGGAACTTCATGGATGTAGCATTGATTTGTGCAATTTTAAAAACAACGGGCTCCTTTTGAAAGATCTCTTTTTTAGTTGGAGCCCCCTTTTATTACTAGCGTAAATCTGTCCTCGAGCTGGGGTAATACTATGTACTTAGTGTAAGTACCTAAGGTAAGGTACCTCCAGCAAGCACCCGACCTGCCGACTTAAAGTTAAAGCAGGGGAGAGAAAAGAGAAAGCACGTCCTTCGTCCACGTTGGTTTCTTTATCGATTATTATATGCACTACTTAGTACACATCACCGTGCTCCCATCATTATCAGCATCATCATTTCTTCTATTCACATCCCACTGAGGGCTCCCACATTCCGGTGATTTTAATTCTCATTCGTCACCGATATCCCGTAATTGTTACCTATCTATATGTGAGCAATTACTTATGACGTTTTCCTGAATCTATTCCTGTTGATAAGCTATAAAGCTACATAATTCACGGTTCAGTGGCGGTGCCCCAACTTGTTCTCGAGCGCCTCAAAGGGTTCCATATACGGGGAAGTAGAGCTACATGTACATAATCTGTATCGTTACAGTCTTATGTCAATCAGGTAGTCTCAGCCTACGAATCATCCTTCCCAATTCCTAAGCTTTAAGCTCGGCGCCTTAATTTTTGAGCAACGCCCATTCCGAGCATCCACTTGGGCACACAATTCTCTCCAAGCTTACCCACCAAAGCTAAAGCCGAAATGTCATCTCCTTCAAGCTCCTCACATGCCGGCAAGCGTAAACGCCCGGTAACCTCGAGCTCTGTTAAGATGGATGAAAATCCTCTCTTGCAGCCTTCCTCGAGGGACGCATCTGGCGAAGAAGGAGATACTACAGCGCCCGAGTCCGGAAAACTATTACACCGCAAGTCGGAATCTGCTTCCAACTCGAACCCAGCGAAACGACAACGTGCTAATTCCGATCGTACATCTGCCCTCGAGACAGCTGGTCATACCGTAGATCCCGGTGAGCCAAGCGACACCACCGAAGCGAGCATTGATATTGCCGATCGAGTTACTAGGAAGGGCAGGAAGCCTACTACTCTTAGGGATACCACGATACAAGATGACGAGGAGAGAAAGAAGCAAGCTGCTATGCTGCCACCGCCAACCGGGCGTCTTGTACATCCTGTTGGATACAAAACGAACCCCCCGCCCGCTGGACGCACCATTAGGGTTTATGCGGATGGTGTCTTTGATTTATTCCATCTCGGGTACGTAGGCACTGCTTAGCGAGGGCAATTTCCACCTTTCTACGCTATTAAGACGTAACTAATGTTGTGGTAGTCATATGCGCCAGCTTGAACAGGCGAAGAAGGCGTTCGACGACGTCTACTTGATAGTTGGCGTTACAGGCGACGAGGAGACACACAAACGCAAGGGTCTAACAGTTCTTTCTGGCAAAGAGCGTGCCGAAACACTGAGGCACTGCAAGTGGGTTGACGAAGTTGTTGAGAATTGCCCCTGGATTGTAACGCCGGAATTCCTGGAAAAACACCGGATCGATTACGTTGCTCACGATGATATTCCATACGGTGCTGCCGAAGGCGATGATATTTACGCTCCTATTAAGAAAGCTGGAAAATTCTTGGTAACACAGCGAACCGAGGGTGTGAGTACAACGGGCATTATTACAAAGTAAGTACTACTTAATGGCATTGGATCTGTTTAAGGTGCAGCGATATTAACTTCAAAACTAGGATTGTCCGCGACTACGAAAAGTACATTGCTCGCCAATTGAAGCGAGGGACATCACGCCAGGAGCTTAATGTAAGCTGGCTCAAGAAGAACGAGCTCGATCTCAAACGTCATGTCCAGGATCTGCGTGATAACATCAGAGCAAACTGGACTACGACAGGTCAGGAACTTAGTCGTGAGCTCCGTCAGTACTGGCCCGCAAGTCGGCCCCAAAGTCCAGCTCCGGGTGGTCGCTTTAATTTTCCTACCACTCCAGGCCCTTCAAGTTCGAATGGTGAAGGTAATTTACGAGAAGCCGCTGCCATGGCCGCTGCTGCTAAATCGCCCACTACGCCAGGCCCATCAGGCGAGAGGACACCAGCTCCTAATGATTTTATTACTGGTTATACACTTGGTTTAATTGGTGGTGTGAGGTCTTGGGTAAGTTTACTCATAATGCTCTAAAAGAAGTAATGAATTCGCTAATATGAACAGATGACCAAGAACCGCCGTAACCTCCGCGATAGTCGGCCGCCAAGTGACGACGATTCGGAGAGCGAAGATAAGAACAATGGCAACGACCACGGGCGGCCAGTCGCGTCCACCAGTTAGTTGCTTCGACCGTTGGCCCGCCTTAGCGTCAGCACGAGGCCGTACGATGGGGATAGCCAGTTTGGCTCGGAAGACGAAGGGGACGACGACGAAAGCAACTAGATAATTTTTTTGACGATCAGGGGATCGGGGAATACACAAAAAGTGCAATAATTACGAAGGAAACGGCATTTTAACGGGTTTTTTGTATGCATTTTGACACCGTAAATAAGATTGAGGCCGAGGAGTCGAAGGCTAAAGAGGGAGAGTGGGAGAGTAGATAAACGACCTTGCTGCTTACGTATGCCAACCGCGCTTGATAGAGATAATTCCCAGCATGAATGTTGATGATCAATCTGAAGTTTGCGCATGGATGCCGTGAATTGAGCGTCTGGTAAAGGTAAGGGATTATTAGTAAGTCATGGCTATGTTAGTGTAGGTGCTTCCCCTATTTTATCCTCAAGGCTTACTAGGTAACTTGATGAGATATTTCGTAAGATTGGTTTCACAACTTGGAAGTGCAGAGTTTCTTAGATGCTAATAAGTATTAATTAAGCATTTATTATATTGATATTTTGAAAGCGGAAGAGGTATAGTAATTTGTACTTTGGTTATTACATATTTGTAGGATTTATATCACTTCGCTAGACGGAAAGGGGCTGGCTACCTTGTATAACTACCTCTCAAAAAGCAAACACTGTTTTTTCTAATGCCTTTGTAGATTTTGGGTTCTCGCTTATAACTTCAAGTATTAGAACGTTTGCTCTTTCCGGTCACTTTAATAAGATAAGATAAAGCTGTACTGGCGAGGAGGTAGGTAGGTGTATTGGTTTATGCCGAATCGGGGCTTGTATTGCTATACCTAGTGGCAATTGAGTCTCCCGGGGAGTCACTGACGATCCTATCGGCTACGTCTTGACGTGGGCGTGACGGATATGGCTTATGTTTGTAGAGGTATGTAAGTAAGTATTCTTAGGAGTCGAGGCGAACCTCTAAGCTGTGGTTTACAGATCAAATCGGGTCATAGGCACAGTAGTATTTAGTAAGGACTGCACGCATGCAGCTTTGCGGATTACTTTACTCTATGGGTAGGATGGTGGGATGCTGTTGAGTTGCTTGCTTCATCGTACGATGGGTAGTATATCTAGGTAGGTATAGGAGGCAGGTAGGTAGGTATGTAGACTATCTTTAACCTACCTATGTAGTCACTTCTTAACAAATCAAGTTATATTGCGTTGCTACGACGACAGTTTTATATACGCCCCTGAATGATCTCGGTTTCACTCTTGGGGCTGAATACTCAAGGTAGGCAGGTAGCCTGACTGTCTATAGCTGTTATCAGGTCTCGATAGTGTACAACCCAGCTAAACGCGGTGCCTGGATTGTATATTCACTTTATCATTCTGGATATATCTCTCGTATACTACCTCACTCCTCGATGCCGTGCGTTGGTGGCCCAGCACGATAATAGGGGTAACGTAGGTAGGTAGGTATTCCGATTGCCACGTTGGCGATGCGAGGCGTTACCTCTAGAATCAGCTGCTATATTCCTCATCCAGGACGACGCCTTTAGGATCGTTAGGCTTTGACGTACGTGCGAGGCGTTGTCTAGATAGATGGATATTGTGACGATGTGTAAGACGATCCGAGTACGGGGGTGTGTCTCCTGAGTACGGTAGGACTCGACTCTACATACTACGTACGTCAAGGCCCGTGACTCGGGTTATAGGGTACGCCTTGTAGATCTGTGCTACTTGAACGGCCTAGCTGCTAGTTAGGAGGGTTAGGTCCGTGAATACGAGGGGATGGTGTCGGGCTTACTACTCGACGATACTACATTTCACTATCCTGTCGACTTGCGAGGTCACACAACAGTCGGGAACTAGTCAAACTTAAGGCTAGAGCCGAACAGCTTCTTGGAGCCAATATGTTACCATAGCGGCTATAGCATACAGCACCCATCTGTGCCGTTTCATGTAACCCATCAGGCGCTGTTGTAGCCACACGAGTGGAGTTCAGAGCCGTTAGACGCGCAAGATAGGAAGTGAAGCGCACTTGCGGCTGGGCATTATCCAGTCCGAAGGAGGGTGGGTAGGTATACAAGGCTGGACTTTTAGTAGAATGCCATTCTGGCCGTGGTAATGGTTGCCGATAGACAGACACATGGGAGAGTGGGCGATTACGACGTCAAGCGCGATATAGGCAACAGTAAGCGACAGGAGGGTGATGTTGGTAGTATTCGTGATAATGTCGCGGTTGGTTGGAATAGGAAACCGTCAAGGAACAAGGCTCTATCTATCCTCTATCACGCGTGACAAGGGGAAAAAAAAGAAAGAAATGAAACTCTGGGCTGGTACGTTGAGTAGCCCTCCGTGGAAGCAAGGGAGAGAATGGTAGTGTTGTAATACTACAATCGTGAGCTAGCCCCTTATTAGCCTTACGCCATTGATGGAGATCATCTCTAAGCGCCTGGGAAAGTCTCTGTTAGATTACGAGTGATGATATACCCTCTGAGACATGTGCAAGGCATGCAACGGGCACTAGCTGGGTAGGTAGTCATCACATATCTACTACTAGGGGCATCAGGGGTAATTCGCGTATTGGGCTATCAGACTGAACGTCGAGGGTGCGCGTTTTACTTCAAAGGCTATAATTATGAATATTCTCTGTAACGAATCTATTTCTGACCCGGCCTTATCCAGTGCGGGCTTCGAAGATATCCCACGTCCCAGCAGCTCATGAGGGAATGGGGGATCATACCTCCTCCTGAACCTACTAAAAATATTATCCATACACTTGCTATCACGCGATCAGTCCTACTAATAAAAGCTATATGAGAGAATATGCGATTATAGATCTCTCTGACGAATCACGTATGGCTTAAGACCTGCGTCTTCGACTAAGATTCGCCACCGGCTTCTTAGCACCCTCATCGAAGCTATTCCGGGCCGCGCTACACTAGTTACGGTAGCACTACTCGGAACTGCCCGTCTGTCCTAAGATAACGGGTGTATCCTTTCCCCCCTGAGCTACGGTTCCATGCAGGACACCAAGCTAGCGTAGGCATTCTTGTGGAGTAGAAGATGGGGTCGACTTGTGAAGCGGGCCGCAGCGTTTGAAACTTAGGGGGCTACGATCTTGACCTTGCCCTCACAAGTTAAGGATCTTCGGAAACCCTTCCGGGAACGCCTTCTCGTAACATATTTCAAGCCATCTGTCTCGTAATACCGTACCGGTGTGAGTGGAGAGCTAGGCATCCTTATCGTACAGTATTCACTCTCACTCTCACGGTAGCAGGAGATGTGAGAGAATAGAACATGCCTATGCATGTAAACTTAGAATAATGACACGACAACCGGAGTGATAGAATAGAACGCTAAAAGCACCATCTCCCAGACCTCGAAATAGAGTCAACTCTCCGCGAGAGTACTACTCTTAGGGGGCGGTACTCTTTAGAACGTACGTCCCTAGGAACAAGAGTGACGTTGAGATATACTGGGGGCACAGCCGCGTTCTATCCGGCAGCTATCATCTTATACCAGTATAGTTATAGTCAAAATCCATTGGGCCAATAAGGGTACTATACAACAAATTAGCATGCAAGAATCTAAATAAGCATGTTCTTGATCGAGCGAGGCTAAGTTTATCTCGATATAGTCAACGGCTACTAGCCGTCGGGGTGAATGCAAGGTACGATGCAGTGAGCGGTAACCAACACTGGGCTTGGCATGACATCCACGATACCAACAGTTAGACAGGAGTATAGACATGCAAACACTCTCAATATAATTTTGGCCGGAGATCTCGGGTTGTGATCGCGGCTGGATCGGACCTTAGGCTTAGGACAGAGAGGGGAGACTCTTCAACTTGATATGACACCTGATATGACGTTGGAGGGGTAGAAGAGGCGCTTTTTTAGACGAGGTAGATTAGTCACCGACGTATGTCTCGCCTACACAGGAGCCGCTGTAAGTGCCACGCGACCGCTAAGGATCCCGCAGGGCAGAGAAGCGCCTGTTAAGTTACACAAAGTGCTATAACTGGCGTTATACGGCATGGCATGGTATCGTGCTGGTATCGTATATTATATCCGGAAGTAGTGGGCGTAGCCGAGACACCATAAGAAATCTCGTGTAGGAGAAAAAAAGCCGATGCCAATTTAGTCGCCGGCGCTCACAGCAGCGTGGCGCAGACGAAGCCGGATGCGGAATGCGAGTAAAGAGCGAGCAGCGAGCAGCGAGCGAGGACGCCAAGTTGTTTCCCCAAAGTAGGTTGGAGACATCTATTTTGGCTACCGGCTTCGGGTGGTTAGGTTATGGTGTGCGATTTGGAGAACGAGATAAAGTTGAAATGGAGGGTAAGTTTGAACATGCAAAGAAGCATGCGAGAGGCGTAGTAGGTATTAGGTATGCGAGTTGTATGTAGGTAAGTAAGTTTAGTTGGTAAATCTTTATGTAAATTTGCAAATTCCGGACGGTAGACGCAGTAGCCGGGCTATAAATAACTTTAAGCGCCGGGACTAGGGCTGTTCCGGTTAAGATTACCTTACATAAACTGCCCCAAAAAGGGCTATGTACGCTGTATGTACGCTGTATAATAATAAGGTTTAGCAGGTAGGGCTAGAGAGGCTAAGGCTGGGTGGGTGCAGAATCGATAAGTGTGGTAGTGCTGTGCGGACGTAAGTACGCGGGGAAGGGAACATCGAACCTCCTACGTACAATACATCAATAGGTCATCATCACGGGTATCTCACCGTACCGGTCTTCCGGTCACTTCTGACTTTTGTCCGTGTTCTGCACCAGTTTCTGCATAGGTTCTGCCTTAGGTAACCCAAAAGACCTATTTAATATTGCCTACATAGGTACCTAGGTACATACCTCTTGGCTTACATCCCCCAGCTAGGCCTACCTAATATATGCAAGTGTTTTGTCTCATGTTGTCTTGAAGCGACACACCCTCCAAAAAAAAAGGTTGCTGTATCTACGACATGTATCTACGACATGCGTCGATAAAAACGTGGGAACCCTGTTGCGTAAGGCCATTACCATTACCATGGCCATTACCTGCCGAAGCCTAGCCGGAAGCGTTCATGTACGATCCAAGAGGAATTTCTTCAACTAACAAATCCTACTATGTCATATCCTATGATATCGTCTAAGCGTGGTAATCGCTATCGAGCTTATCAATCGAAAAGACGAGGTGAATACGCGAATACTTGAATACCTGAATACCTGAATACCTAGGTAGTTACGTCTTCTTTGCGTGCTTCCATCTTCTATGCATGTCATCTTCTCGGCAATCATTAGTTATAGCGAAGCTTGTTTCGGACCCCGAGGGGACGGATACGGATAGGCG